TAACCATTACTTTTTTTTTTGTCACAAAAGCAGCTATTTGCTTTGATCAATACAGCATCTTTCCTGAAGTTTCGCATCTGGTCGCTAAGAGGAGATTTATATATGTTTATATTTTGAATTTACGTGGGTGATGATATATTGGCACTTTTTAAAGGGTGTTGTTGTTTGGGTGCAAGTAAAAGAGAGATAAAAATAATATATATATGATACGTGATGCGATACAGAAATTTTTTTTAAAAAATGGTAAGAAAAAAAAAGCTATGAAAATTATATCATTGAACTTATAAATTATTAAATTATATTTCAATTGTTTAAAATTAAAAAATACATATAATTTTTTAAAATAATTATATTACCACCAATCAGGATGAATTTATATTGTCCCTTATAGAAATAGCTGTCTCATAAGGTTTTTCATTTTTTATAATGTGTATTATTTATATAAATTATTCCCAAAAGTTTGATAATATTATTTTAATGTCACTCAATTAATTCAATATTTGCTCCTAGTATTTATTTTGTAAAATTATTATAATCATCCAAATTGCTTCAATGTTTGACTTTAAATGTTTGTTCCCCAGTAATTTAAATTTTTTAATTTTTCCCTATTATTAATTAATTTTTAACTATTCATGAATAATTATATAATTTATTTTTATAAAATATACACTTCGATGCAAACACATACATGTATAAATATAGGAAATAATTCAGACGAAAACACTTAAATATTGTGAGATCGAATAAAATTAATAAGAGAAAAAGTTTAAATTTTATTTAAATAATTAAGATTAAAAACAATAAACGTAACTTTTTTAAGCGTGACTACAACTTTAACGTTGATAATTTATATTTATAGTCTAAATTTAATGTTTTTTCAATTTATAAAGTTGTTGATACAATATATATATATATATATATATATATATATATATATATATTTCAACGTGCTGATACAGTTGCCTTGCCGCGAAACCAATGGTTTGGATTTTGGATCTATTCTGAAAAAGCCACGGAAGGAGAGAAAAGGAAAAGTTGAACTATTTGAGTGAATCTAATTCGGTGGGTCTTTCTTTAGGTAGAGGGAGAACCCTAAGTCGCCCTTCATTTTGTATCAGTGGATGACATACAGTTATATCAATACCGCACTTGTGCCAATATTGTTCTGAAATATTTTTACACTTTTCTCTCTTTTCTTGTCATGTTTCTTTTTATTACATAAAATATTGTAAGAACAAAATTCATATCAATACCAAATTGAATAGGATTACGTATCCATACCTAATTTGGGCACTCGAAACCTATACTGCTTTTTATATCGTTAAGTTATTTTCAAAGCTTTCATGTCATCAAGTAATTACATTTACATTATGGAAGTCAAATCTCACATTTTTGGTGCATCTAGAGAAGAATTTTCAAAAAGTTAGTGAAAATAGTCTATGATTTATATATATATATATATATATATATATATATATATATATATATATATATTTTAATAATCTACTTTATATTATTTATCAAAATAAACTATTTTTATGTTAATAAATTTTACGAACAAATTTATGATATAAATTTCTTGTGCTGAGTTAAATTGCTACCTAAATGCACGTATACATATACAATCGTAAATAATATTTTCAAAGGTCTGGCGTAATATTCTTAGATGCTTACTATTGAACTTAAACAATATTATGTATAATAATCAAAGGTTGAAGTTTTCTTATATATTTTCTTTTTTTTAAATTATCTGCATTTTAAAATAATTAAAAAAAGTTAATAACACTGATTAGTATGACGAAATAATTTTTGAATAAGGGAATAAAAGGTATACTCTAACCAATTTATAAAGGTTCCAGAAAAAGAATGAATCAAAATTGACTTGAACAATACAAAAGACTCGTATAACAGTTAAAAAGGGAAATACAAGTCTCCTTGTTTTGACTAAGAATCAATTCCTAGATTTCCCCTTAATCAAGTCAAGAAAATGTAGAAAATCACAATATTCCACACCACCCAAACACATCATACAGAACTCAAATAGAAAAAGGATAAGTGTAAACTTTAAATTAAATTTATTTTATAAAAGCAATTTCAAATCATGTAAATTATATTTAAAGATTAAATACTTAAAGAATTTCACTTAAATTTTGTTAAATTACTTGTCGGTATGAAGATGATATTAATGAGGCATCTTGATTTGTGTCCTTCACACTTATATTTCCTTTTTTTTTTATATATTTTCTTAGTTTAACAGTGACCACATCAATTCCTTTAGAGTCTAAAAAGAAAAGGAAAACACTAAAAAGCAAATGCTCATCAATATAATGCTCAAGGGAATTGATGAAGTCATGAAGTACTTAATTCATATATTGTTGATGAAAATGACTATGCAAACTATCTTCAAGAATATGTAGTTTGATGTAAGCGCTATTCTGAATCCAATAAGTCACAATCTCATAAGCAACAAAATCAGCCGACTCACACATAGATATATACTTGTGAACATTGCTTATATTAATACATCATCCATGCTGCTACTTTTTTCAATTAGGAAAATAAAGTTAGAAAGTGAAAAATACGTTACATTATGTGTTTTCCTTACTTATTAATAAAAAAGATGGTGTAAAAATTTAGATGGATGCTTATGTATCCAATAAAATAAAATAAGAAACTTTCAAAAAAGAAAAAAATAATGTTAATCTACTTCGTGTGTGACGTGAATTAACGTAGCAATCAACCTTAATTAGGAACTGGGCTGACTAGGACAACAATTTAACAACTGTCACAATGAATCAATAAATACTTAATGTTCTGCACAAGTATGTGCAAGCATTGGACATAGCTAAGCATTCATTTTTCTGATATTTAATGTTGATGGAAGTATAAAAAATTAGTAAACATGTTGATGGATTACGTATGTTTACATTTTTTGTAGACATTTAGATTGTTTATATGTTGATGGATTGCTAATCTGAATGCTTTGAATTCAAAGCGTATAATAATATTGGTTATATTGGATTGTTGAGGCAACACCAGACTTAATGATGAATAGTAAAAACGATTAGGATAGCAATAAAAGTGGTGGTGTTGATAATAGTACAAGGTGATGGGTGATGGCAGCAACTAAATGTTTTCTCGAACGTAAAAGTAACTTTAAAGTAATGCGAGTTATATGTGTTTAAAAAAGCATAAATTTTTAACTAAAACACATAAATTATAATTTATTATATTAATTCAAATGTAATATTAAAAAAATACATTATAAAATTGTCAAACATGTTTACTTAAATTTTAAATTACATTTACATGCATTCTTAAATTTGAGTTTAAAAACTTTTAACATCCTTTAAACATGCCCTATGATAATGTGGGAGTTTAACTTATGTTGACTTGTGAGTGTCCAAAAATTTGCAGTTTGGTTAGTTAATTTCTATACAAATTAATTTTCAATGCAAACATGGCCTATAGAAATTTAGATTAATAAAAAGACATTAAAATTATTATAATTTTACTTAATTTATTTTATTAATTTTGAAAATGTAAAGGGAAGAGCAATGGCGTCTACCAATGAAGAAAATAAAGATATATAAGACTTTTTTATACAAGAAGAGACCAAATCATAAAAAGCTAAGGGGTTTTTTTTTTTTTTCTAAAATATATTTATAAATTACTCCCGAGATGCTAATTTAATTAAAAACAAGCAATTAATAAATAATGTCAATACAACTTGTGTACGTGCTTGGAATTAAGTTAATGCTATAAAATAACAATGTACTTATAACATTTTGGTTTAATTTTTTTCAACTATTAATTTTATTTTTCAATATTAAATTTTGTTTACTGAATATGACTAGGCCTATTTAGTATTTGGGTTTAAGATTTGTTTGGTTTGAGAGAAGACAAGTCCCACCAAACAATAAATACATGTCCAAAAGCCCAGAAACTTTTGACCCAATAAAAAGCCCGTAACTAAACAACCAGTTTACTATAAGTTGACCCAAAAAAAAAAAATCAGGTACATGACACTAATTAAGAAATAAAAAAAATTATAAAAATATCATTAAATATACATCTACCATACTTTTTTTTATGTATTTTTAATTAACTGTTAATTCATTACCTAGTCCTTAATAACTAAGACAAATAAAATAAAATAAAATATGAAATGGAACATCTAAAAAAATAATATCTCAAATATCGGCAATGGCATCCGCAGTGATTCTTGGATCTCACATGCACACACATGCTTGCTGGCATTAGTTTGGTACAGAAACTAACTTTATGTAAAATGGATTTTTATCAATAACTCGTTATAAAATTTGTCATCTTAAATTTGAAAGTAATTGAACTTTTAATCATTATTATTTGTCGAAGAAACTTTATCCATACAACTTGCTATTGTACATCTATATTGTTATCTGAATAGGAAACAATGTTATCAAGAAAATAAATATATTCACATAAAAATTCTCCAGAATAATTATAATTTTACAACCAACCAATAACCGTAATCCTAAAATCAGATATTTTTTAAAATATAAACTGTAGAGTGCAATGTTGTCCGTACAAAAGATATTATTGTAAAGTTCCTCAAAGTTAAATCATCAATTCAAATGAAAAGAAAGATATTTATGTTATTAGTATGATTTATTCAATAATCATTTGTATTTTTATAACAAATAGATTAAAATAAATTAAAGAATTTATTTTAATATTTTCATAAAACTTATTAATTATAAATTAAAAGAACACATAAAAATTAAACATTATTTTTATAAATTTAAATAAACTCTATGTTCCAAATACAATTAATAATGCATTTGCACTGCATGGTAATAAGATAAAAAAAAATTAGAGTGTAAACGAATAGTAAATTTCGATGTAATAATAATAATATCAGTATCAGAGGAAAAATGAAAAGAAAACAAAATGAAGGAACAAAGAAAAACTAAAAAACAGAGACCGAGGCCATTTCAAAACGAGGTTGGCGAAAAGGGAAACTCAATCAGTGTAGAGAGAGAGAGAGAGAGAGAGAGAACGAAGAAGAAGATGGCGATGGAAGAGAGCATGCTGACTCTCTTTCTTCTCCTTATGCTTCTTCTTGTCATCATTCTTATCTTCTTTGCCTGCAAACCATGGCGCTTCTTTTTCGCTTCCCCTTCCCACTCCTCCATCAAGGTTCTCTTCTAACCCCATTGAATTTTTTCAATCAATTTTCATTTTTTTCCATTCCCTTCGATAACTGAGTATTCATTCCTTACACTTTATGGGCAATCAATAATGCTCTCTTAGTTATCACTAACTTATCGAAGTAATCTTTGTCACCACCGCAATGGCGTAGGGAAACAAAACATTTTAAAATTATTTATTTAAAAATAGAATCAGTACCAATTTTATTAAAACTGGAAACAGATTAAAAATTTCTTTTAAAAAAGAAGCGATTTGTCTCCGGTTGTGATCTTGGTGACAATCATTCTAAACGTGTTTTGTTCTAGGGTCTAGAATTAGGAGCCAATTGTTGATTTCAATTTTGGTTTCTGTGAAGTATTGTCAAGATTTTGTTGTGTTGTCATTTGTCAGTGACTTGCACGTGTTCTTGTAGTTATGTATTTGAAGGAACCAAATTATCTCTGTTCTGGTATATGATCAATGTAAGATGGTTCGATTCGCTTCTCTGTTTAAAGATTGTCTTAAACAGCTAAATTCATGTCCTTAACCTGTTACAGTTTTTCAAATCTTGTGCTTTTCCTTTCAAGAATTTGACATACGTCTCACCTACATGCATTGTGTGGGCTAAACATTGCTGGCCATTGGAGTACTCCTTTACATCATTTAAGTAGTCCAAAGATTTTTGTGTTACTTTCAAGAATAGTATTCTATGCCTGCTGAATTTGTTATGAATTATGATATGTCAACTGAGATTAGGTTCTTGACCCTCATGAATCCTGCTTTTGTAGGATGGTGAGCTGGAGAGGCCCCTTGTTGCGGAAGATATAAATGTGTCACATAATCAGAGTGCTGAATTGCCTCGACATTATGATATTGAGGGTGCCAGCTACCCGAATGAAAGTAATCTGCACTTGCCTCCAACCCATGGACTTGTTAATAAGCAAAGGCTTCCTGCTGTGCCTTTTTCTTCTAATGTGTCTCAAGGTACTCTGATCCTCTTTCAACATTGCTGTTTCCTCCTATTAGAATATGCTGCCTGGCAAATTTGTAATATTGTTTTGTAACTATTTCCCGGTGATATTTTGGTTTCAGATGTAATTTGTGATCCTTCAGAAGATGTTTCTGTTGGTCAAACACTTAAGCTGTCCCCAGCCCAGTTAGCAGAAATTCAAAAGCATACTAGAGAAAGCATTGAAAATGATAGACTGCAAGACATTGTGCAAAGTGATATCTTAGATCAAAGTACTTTCTTAACTCTTTTCATTAAGTGTTTTTTACTCTGTATGTGCATTGGCTAAATGTATGAAACATGTCATCATATCCTCCTGTTAGAAGTACAGGATGTTGCCTCACCCTGGAAGTTATCGATGGTCCTTCTCGGGGACTTCATTGTTCTGTACAGTCAACAAATCCTTCTGATCTACCATTGACCTTGGGAAGAGTTCCTCCAAGTGATTTGTTGATAAAAGATTCAGAAGTGTCAGGAAAGCATGCTCAAATAAAGTGGAATTTGGACGTAAACCTCTTTCTATTCTTAGAGACTTCCATTTGGAGTTTTCAAGATAAGTGCTATACAATAATTATTTTTAAATTGAATTTTCAGAAAATGAAATGGGAGTTGGTAGATATGGGTAGCCTAAATGGAACACTTTTGAATTCTCGGCCAATCAACCATGAAGACACTGAAAGCAGGCATTGGGGTGATCCAATGGATCTTACTAATGGGGATATCATAACACTTGGAACAACATCAAGAGTAATTGTAAGTATTATGCTTAAATGTCTTTGAAAATTGATTCCTTATTTTAATGTTTTGATTATTGTTGATGCAAAGCTTATCTCTGAATGCATGGTTTGGCTGTTTGACTATCTGTAGGTTGAATTGTCATTGGTAATAATAACTAATTTGTTTTCTGCTCTTCTCCACTATCTAAAGAATATTTTTCTATTTGTTATGTCATTTTAACTTAGAAAGATTTTGTTTAGAAATGTATTTGAATGCCAATAAATACCTGTCCTTTGTCCTGAAATCAGATGTGGGAGGACAACTTACTTTTACAAAACAGAATCTCTGTTTACATTTAGATATATTGATTAGAAGTCTTACTTTCATGTTTAGAAAATGATTTCAACTATGTTGATTTGAAAATGTAGCTTTTATCCTTTCAATTTCCTACCCTGATCTAGAAATGATTTGTTTGGTCAAAAAATTGTTCTCTATGAGTTTTCACGGAAGTCTCTGTTGTTGGTGTAAATTTTAATTGTCCATTTATTTTATGTGTTTGGCTCTATATTGTTAACATCTGCTCAGGGATGCTTGGAATGAAAATGCTACTGTGGTAAACAAAATTTATTGCAATGATTAAATTTTGTCATGCTTCTTTTTAAACATACCTATATAATCTTCTGTAATTATAATCTATGGCAGGTTCATATTACTCCACAAAATCAGCAGCACATTCCCTTTGGAGTGGGTATGGCATCAGATCCCATGGCTTTGCATCGAGGCCGAAAAAAATTGACTATGGAAGATGTTTGCTATTATCAATGGCCTCTACCTGCGCTGAATCAGGTTTGGGACTCATTCCTAGTGCTTTTTCAATCAAGATTTCTTGTATTGTTTTATTTTGCACTTTTCAGAGGGACCTGATGTAACCCACCTATGTTCCTGATTTTCATGCAGTTTGGACTGTTTGGCATTTGTGATGGGCATGGTGGAGATGGGGCTGCCAAGGCTGCTAGCAAGTTAGTATTTTCTGCCTGAGGTCTGCAATGTTTGTTGTCTGCTGTTTTTCTAGAAAAATTTATATTTTGATTCATGTCAAGTGTATTGCTACTTGCAAAGAAAAACATGGGCCTGTAAAAGGAAAAATTTCTGAAAATTATTTCTATTCTAAATTCTGTTATTGTTGCACTTTTTCGGGCAAAAGCTAGCCTCGGCTACTTTATTTACTTATCCATGATCATTGCAGTTTTTAACCTGTGAAACATTGCTATATTTTTAAATCCTTTTTTCAGACTTTTTCCAGATATAATTGCCAGTATATTATCAAATTCATTAATGCAAGAGAAGGTTTTATCACTCCGTGATGCTTCAGATATTCTTCGAGATGCATTTTCTCAAACAGAAGCATCCATGAATCACCATTATGAGGTATTATTTGTTCCCCGTTGACTGTGTTTACACTATTTTTGCCTTTGTGGATTGCTTTACCGCTTACCTTTTGGTTTAAAAATTTAACGATAAGGACTTTACAGGGATGCACAGCAACAGTGCTTCTGGTGTGGGCTGATGATGATGGAAATTTTTTTGCACAATGTGCAAATGTTGGAGATTCCACCTGTATTATAAGGTTTGTTTTTTTAATCAACTATAATGCTTGAGAATTGCCATGGCATGTTTGAGTTTTGGATCTGGCCATCAGATAAAAAATAATGTGGTTAATAATGGCTTATGGTATTTAACTTTTCTCATTGTGTTTAGATTCATGAATTATAGTTATGGATAATATTTTTGAAGAATGGTTCTGGAATTGTCGAGGTGGATGGCTGAGAAATTTGGTGAATGAAGACAGTGTTAGACTCTTCTAGTGGCATGGTGTTCTGTAATTTTGTCTAGTTTTTGCAGCATTTTGCAGATCAACTTGTATGCTTCAATTATACTAATACTTGTCTCGTACTCTAGTTATACATGGGTGATTATTATTGTAGCTATTGACTTCAATGTGGTTTATGGGGTTTTATTTGCTAGTGGACTGGAATTCTTCTGACTATACTTTAATGCCCTTTTGAAACTCATAAAAATTGATTTTTGGTAGTGTTGATGAGAAGCAAATCATGATGACAGAAGATCATAAATTAACAAATGATTCAGAAAGACTCAGAATTGAAAAGACAGGTGAACCGTTGAAAGATGGGGAAACACGTCTATATGGTATGAAGGATAAAAAACTTCCTGTCATTCAACAAAAGAATAACCACTTTCGGATTTACAACATTGACTTGGCAATTGCCAATTCTGATTCTCACACTGATGATGCAGGTATAAATCTTGCAAGGATGCTTGGGGACAAATTCCTGAAACAGCAGGATCCACGGTTCAGTTCAGAGCCTTTTATCAGTGAAGTTGTGCATATTGATCAAGCAAGCAGGGCCTTTGCCATTCTAGCTAGGTAATTTTGTTTACATTGTGTGCTTTTATAGTTTTTCGTAGCAAAATATACCTTCTGGATACCATTGTACTGTCTTGGGATACTTCTCCTTCTACAATACTTGATCAATTAACCGACTTTGTGTTGCCAAATTCAAACCACGGTGCTTTATTCCCCAAATAATTCAGTCTCCGGCATATATATATATATTAGAATTTTATGGTGATCATTTTCATTTTGCTTTGGACCATGTTGAATATTGCTGAGTTTAACATCTGCTGCTAATTCACAGTGACGGATTATGGGATGTTGTCTGTGTGAAGAAGGCAATTCAGCTTGTGCTTCAGGTCTTGTTCAAAATGATTGTTTCTAGTTTAATTTTCTTTGTTCTGTTTATCACCAACTTATTCTAACACTTGGCTTTCTGAACTGCGTAGATGAGAGAGGGATACTCCAATGATAGAGAGAATTTGGCAGAAAAGATTGCCAATTGCTTATTGAATGAGGCTAAAACACTCAGAACGAAAGACAATACCTCTGTAATCTTCTTGGATTTCGATTCCTTGGCCAGATAGATTCTCTAGTGAAGTTGAATCTTAGTATGACTAAGGAATAGGCTTACAGCAATGTTAATACAGAAATTTTGTTCCCTGAAAGGTTTTACTATTTCTTATGTACTGCTATTAGTTAATTGCTACACTGGAATACATTGATATGGGTGCAGGTATAAGAAACATTGGACTCAAAAGATAAATATAATTTTCATAATCATTTTCAATGAAATTCCATGAAGAGTACACAGGATTTGAAGGGGTGAAGTAGCTGTTTCATTTGGTTATATTAACAAAACTAAATTTTGCATGGATTAGGTTATGCTTTTATTTTGGGTCCATAAAATTAGTGTACTTGAATGATATCGGTTTATTACTATATCCAAAGAGTATTTGAATTTTGATAGCATAATTCGAGAAATATATTCGGCACAAATCCATGAAGCGTCAACAATGGTACTCATTCGTGAAAGGAATTGTCCTTGTTTAACCATTTTTTAATTGTAAAAAAGCCAAAAGGGTAATTAATGTATATTTATAACAGAAAATGAGTAATTGATAACAATTAATAAACATTTTAAATAACCATCCTAATATGAAATAATGATGATAAATTATATACCTCTGTATTTAAACATTATATATATATATATATATATATATATAGGCAAAAATTAAGCTAATTTCAAGAATATTTTTTTTACGATAATTGATTTGCTTAATAAATATTTTTTTATAAATATTGAATTTTGTTAATATAATATAGAATTAAATTATTTTTAAACAAATTAAATTTGAAAAAAATCATATAAATATAAAATTAATGAACAATTTACCGGACAACTTTACTTTTAACGTATATGTGCTTTTAAAACATTTAATTTTTCTAAAATTTGATAAGTATAATTAACACGAATATATAATTTTATTCAAGTATATAAAAAAATATAAGTATTAAAATTATTCTGTTTAATAATTTTTATAAGTATTAAAATTTATTAATTTAATTATTAAATTAAATTTTATTCTTCATAGATCAAAACTATTAAAATTATGTAAATTAAAAATTAATCAACGAATCATTGAATATTTTTAACATGTATGAAGATATATTTATTTTACTATTTGATAAAAATTTGTTTAAAATAATATAATTTCTGGATTTTTATATCTTTTATAGAGTTTGATAATAAGAATACCTAATCAAAATAGCAGTTAAGTTCCCGAATTATACAATAAATATGATAAAATTTTGATTTATAAATACTAAAATAGTGTCAATTTTTATTTAATATTTTTTATTTTTCTATTATTGTATCACATAATTTTTTTAATATACATTTTTATCTCACTCTAAGTGTAAACAGCCTTTGAGTGTTTAAATAATAATTTTTATATAATTACTTTCAAATATATATATTTTTATATTTTTGTGAAATTTTTGTTGTAGTTCATAATTTTTTTCAAATTCAATATTTTTTGTACTTAGCGATGATGTGGTCTAATAAACAAAATAACACATGACAACTTTCTAATTAACATGCTATTATTAAGGATAAAAATATTAACATTAAAAAAAAATGAGAGATTGAAATAAAAAATTACATAAATCATATAATATTTTAAATTCAATAAAGATAACGTTTTTGAGATATTACTTTATATATAAAATTCTTTTTAATGTCTTTTTAAATTATAAAAACATGAAGACTAAAAATATATTTAAATATAATTATTAAATAAAGATTTAGAGCAGTCATGACAAAAAGTAAAAAATTAAGCAAAAGAAAAAAAGTGCCAACTTGTGATGTAAAAAGTGAACAGAGGCTTAGGAGCTCCGAAAACCCTCCAACACCATCGAAGGCAAGGGAAGGCCCAGCCATAGAAATGGCGAAGAAGAATAAGAAGCAGACAGCAGATGCAGAGGCCGAACCACATCTGAACGTCGACAATGGCCACAGTGATGATTCTCACAGTAAGAAGAAGCTTAAGAAGAAGAAGAAGAAGAAAAAGAAGATACCCACAGTCACCATAGCGGTGCCTGCTTCTATCATTGACAACGTTCCAACTCTCGAGCTCGCTACACGGGTACCTTTCCCTTCTTCTTTATCATAACTGGGAATCACCAAAGTTTCGATCACCCTAAACACTTTTTATTATTATTAAAAAAGAGAACTTTGTTCAATTCAAGAGGTCATTCATTTTTCCATTTTCTCATTGCCTTCTCATTCTGAATGTTCTTTTTTGTTTTGGTTATTTTCCATTTTCAGTTGGCTGGTCAAATTGCTCGTGCTGCAACTATTTTTCGAATCAACGAGGTTGCTAATGTTCTGTGCTGTTTACAGTTTCACATGTTGCTTTTATTATTATTATTATTATTATTATTGCTGTTAACTTTTTGCTGATATAGGATGATTGTTATTTGTTTACATAGGTGGTTGTGTTTGACAATAAAAGTGACCCTGATAAAGATTCCATGCTGGATAATTCAGATGATGAAAGTGGTGGTGCTTTTCTCATGCGAATCTTGCAGTATCTTGAGACACCTCAGTATTTGAGGAAAGCTCTCTTCCCAATGCATAACAGCCTAAGATTTGTGGTTGGACCAATTCGCTAACATGCTTCTTTCCTTGCATTTCTGAAGTGTATTAGTTTTGTTGACCGTTAATCCATGCTTAACTTTAGTTATTTATGTTGTACTTTGCAGGGCCTGTTGCCACCCCTTGATGCTCCCCACCATTTGCGCAAACATGAGTGGGGTCCGTATCGAGAAGGTATGTCTTTGCATGCCGGTATGATTTCTAACTGCGTTTTATTTTCTCATGGATATCGGTAATAATTCTGTAACCTACTGTTCTCCATTCTTAACTTGAAATTATGCTTTTCATGAGAGTAATTGGAAGATATTGAAGGGTTTGAAATATATGGTTCCTGCAGGGATTGGTTGTGCTTCTTTAATTTGAGCCACACATAGCGTTCAAGCTATGTTGTAATTTTGGGATTGCAAAGTACATATTAAACTTATAGGAAATTTGTATACTGAACAGCCATACGGTTATGTATGCTTAATGCACTGAATGCCAGGCAATGAAGGACTAATGGGGAAAAAAATAAAACGCAATAGAGACAAGAATACTGAGGTAAATGAGCAGACTTTCAAGAAAGAAAAGATTAGCCATGAATTTACTTGGAAGATAGTTGTAATAGGATGCCTAATAAAGGAGAATATGAAAGAACTTATCTAGAAGGTGGTTTGCTTGTGTGAGAAGTGAGGCTCGGGTTGAGAAAGTTTAGTTGGAAGGGATAGACAAAGACCTAAGAAAACTTTAGAAGAAATCATTAAAAAAGACCTTACTCTAAACAATTTTACTGAATGTTTGGTTATTGATGGAGTCCAATGTTGTCAATTAATCCATTACTTGACCCCTTGGGGTGGGATAATGCTTGGTTATTGTTGGTTCTCCCTAATAGATATTTTGATGGTTGGTGATCTTTTTTGTATTGGTTGCCTTTTGTAAGACTTTAAGAAGACATCTTATCCACTTTATTGAATTTCTTTTTTTTCTTTTTTTAAATAATAAAAAAAGAATTTTTAAAGTGGAAACATTTTTAACATTAATCTTGTTGTTTATGCTCCATTGTTACTCTGGCAAGGTTTTGATATATTGCAATAACTGCATAGGTGTCACAATAAAAGAAAGAGACACGAACTCTGGGCCAACATTGGTTGATGTTGGTTTAGCTAAGGTATGCATTCACATGTCATAGATTTCTTTATATATATAATGCATTTCATTCATGTTTGCCATGAAGTTGTTTAGATATGGGAATCTGACAGCATTTTCCTGTTTACCATCACATCATTTCCTGTTTCTTTTGCATTTTCCTTTCCTTTTCTTCCATTTTATTTTGCAAGTTGTAATGTTTGTTGATTGTTAATTACATTTTATAGATTAAATCACTTGTGACTAGTTTCTATCGAATTAATATATGGCTATTAAGTAGGATTCAGTTTGTTTGTTTATGATCTGATTCAGTAAACAACATATGCAGCATGTTATAGTTGACCAAATGCTTGAACCTGGAATAAGAGTCACTGTGGCAATGGGTGCCAACCGCAATTTGGATTCTGGTAATTAATTGATCTTTGCTTGTCTGTTTTAGTTAGTTCTGCTTAAGATGCTTCATGGTCTTTGCTTGATGTAAATTGTACCATACAATATTAGCTATTAACAGTATAATAGTTGATTGTGTGAACTTTCCTGTTGTCCTGATTGTCATAATGTCGTTCCCTAGCCTCCGCAAGATATTGCCCCTCTCATGTGAGTGAACTTACCACTGTTCTTATCAATTCTTTTTCATCCCTTGTGCTAACACACTGGTAGAGTTTGATAGATGTGTTAGAATGAGAAGGAACAGAAATCTGGGTCCAAATTTACAGTTGGTATGTCTAAAATACTTCATGTGCATGCTGTACATAGTTTCCCTGCATTGCTAAGATAAGTTATTTAATTATTGTGATTTATTAATCGAAAAGGAACATTGCTCATTGATTAAATATCAAGCTATTAATCAAGACATTACATATAGGAAAAGAAAATACTAAGGAAGTGTGACCATGCATTATTAAAAGATTAGTGCCAAATACATTCATTCAACATCTTGGATATATGAATTAAGCTGATTTGCGGCTCTGTACTTCATCTAGATTTACCACGCCAGGTTGTCTCATCATCTAAGCCTAGGGAAGAAGGAGCATATTGGGGATATCAAGTGCGTTATGCACATAATATGAGCTCAGTATTTAAGGATTGTGCATACAAGGTATCTTCCCACCTCCCAATCACACAAATCTGCCTTGCGATATCCATATTCTAATATTCCTTGTTCCACCCTAACTATACTGATGAGCCCTTTTTTCCATTTATGACAGGGTGGCTATGATTTTATAATCGGTACCTCTGAGCACGGTCAGAATATTAAGTCATCTGATCTTGAAATACCTTCTTTCAGGTACTCTTGTTATAACATCAGGTGCAAAACAATTAATGTTAAATTGCTTGGGTCCTGCTTTAAATCTTTCTTTAGGTTGCTGCTCTAAGTGAAGAGTTTATTCTTCTAATTTGTTTTCTTTTTAGTTATTTATATATTTCTAAAACAATTAATGTCTACATGGGGAAGGATTACAGACTTTGGCTTGCTCCTCAATAGTACACATGACAATAAAGGTATTGCAAGTCAATGTCTCAATGGCAGTGGTCAACCACTTTGTTTCTTCTGTAAAATTTCCTTGAAACAGGAATCTGGAGTCTGGACCAATATGGACCAGGAAATGCAATTCAGTGTGTATTGGGAATGGGTTCTTTGCTATGTTATGAAAATGGTTTCTTATTATCATAAATGTGGTTGATGTATGAAGGATTTCCATGTTTAGGCTTTCTTTTCTCTTTTCTCTGTAACTTCTTACTTATGTTGAGCTTCACTGGTTGGCTAAATTTGAAATATGGTTTAAAATAATTATGTTGTGATGATGCAAGATATTTTCACTTGACTTGATTTATTAATTGTTTGTTTCACTAAATTGATAGACATCTATTAATTGCCTTTGGTGGACTGGCTGGGTTGGAAGAGAGCATTGAAGAAGATGATAACTTGAAGGTATTGCATTGTTCAATTAATTATTCATATATGTGATTGTTATTGTGACACTAATGCCAATCAGAGATTCCATAAATTTGCCAGAAACTCTCGGTACACGTCTTTTCCTGTTACGTTTCTGTTTGATTTACTAATTATTTAGAAGATATTGACTATTGAATAATGTTGGATATCCTCATAATGTATGTACTCTTTTAGAGCTTACATAAGACAAAGGAAGAACTATGATGTACTGAACATAAATTTTCTTGCTGCTTCACTCCCTAAAAAAATGCAGGGAAAAAATGCACAGGATGTATTTAATTTATATTTAAATACATGTCCACACCAGGGGAGCCGAACAATTCGAACAGAGGTAATATCTGCTTAATCTTTTCTAGTCAATTTATGTATATTAAGTCACTACTAATTTTTCATCTTTTTGAATAGGAAGCTATTTTTATCTCTCTTCAGTACTTCCAAGAACCAATCAGCCGAGCAATGCAGGGTTGAACATTGTTGAAGTCTTTAAAATTCTATTGTTAGGACATTGATTCTCCAAATGATGGCTGAAACTGTGACACAGGCTGAATCAGATACTGTCCCTCTGCCTCATCCCAAACTGGGCATTTTGTGGCAGGATTTTTCTCCCAGACTCTTTGAAATTGTAATACCTTGGGTGTAAAACGTTATAAAACTTGCAAATAGAGTAGTGTTCCATCTATACATGTAATTGAGAAATGGAAATTGCTATTGAATCAGATGGAATAGATGTTAACGTTATGACGATTGTGTCAAGCTTAACGATCACTCTGAGCGATTAGTTTCAACTGAACATCGAGTAGTGTCATTGTGACATTAGGCTAACAAGTCTAGTATTATAAGCATTTTTGGCCCAAAAACTGGGGTCCACCTGTTTATTTTTCTAAAAGAACAAATATTTTAATTAAAAATGTTTAAAAATTTTAATGATTAAATAAGCTATAAAACTGCAAGTGCAGTGTAATTTTAAAAAATAAATAAAAAGTACCTAGCAAAGTTGTTTCCTCTTAAAATAACTTGATTAAATAAGCTATATCCCCATTTCTATTTGTTATGTGCTTAGAAAGGCTGGCTCACCTAATCTAAGATCAAGTTAATTTGAATAATTGCACCTGTTCATTTTTAGCAATGCTGAACCTAAAATTTTTCATCTATTCTTTGCGAATGACATAATTTTAATTGCCAAAGCTGATGTTCAAAATATTTAGATTATAAATTGTGTCCTACATAACTTTTGTTCTGCCTCTAGGCCTGCTATTAATAGAAACAAGTCTTCTGTTTATTTTTCAAAAAATTGTAACTTTGTAGTTAAACAACACATTGATCTCATTCTTGGAATTAAGTCCTCTCTCTACTTTGATAAGTACCTAAGTATCCCTGTTAGTCATGTTAAGCTTTTTAGAGAAGAATTTTCCTTTATAATTAATAAAATTAGAAAAAAAAACTTTCAATCTAGAAAATGAATTCTTTATTCATGGTTGGAAAGATTACTCTTGCCCACACCTCTATTATAAATATTCCTAAGTATTTCATGCAAACAATAAGAATCCCTAAATCTATATATGCAGAAATTAATACTATTTGTAAGAGATTCATTTGGGGATCTTTGAATAATAAAAAAATGCTATCTTATAGGTTGGGAACAAATCTATAAACCTAAGAGTGATGGGGTCTAGGGTTTATAGACATTAATATGGTAAATCAAGCATTCACAATGAAACTTTGCTGGCAATTAATTACATTCCCAAATGATCTTTAGGCTAAAACCTTGAGTAGTAAATACAAATTCTCATTAGAGAAAAGTCCTCATCTTTAGCCTAATAAAAAAGCTTCCCCTCTTTTAGAAGGGTATAGGTTAAGTCTGAGATTGTTTTTCCAAAGGTTTGGGATGGGTTCTATGGGATTAGGGATGACAATGGGTAGGTATGGGTAGGGTACTATAGTACATATCTTCATACTCCGCGTTTTAAAAAAATACCCGTACCCGACCCCATACCCGCGTGGGTATGAACATTAATCCTTGTATCCGTATCCTCTGGGTACCCACATACCCATCTTATACTCGTTACCTGCGCTTGTTTGAGAAAAAAATATTTATAAAGAAAAATATGTTTATATAACTTCACATAAGTAGCATAATAATACAAAAATTTAATATGTAGTTGCCGAACAAGGTACAAACATAGATAAAAAAATAAATATTCAAAGATCATAAATGTTAAATGTATCTTAATATAATAATTTTCTAAACAATAATTTTTAGAAACAATAAGCGAAATTAAATACACAAGTTATTTGTCAGTGATAACCCTATCTTGTGTGAGATTTGATCGATTGGCAATGTCAGAGCGACAACGAAATAAATCTGTACGATCGTTGTTCCTTCGTGTGGGATTACTTGGTGACTGCATTGATAACTAACTCTAATGAATAACATTTAATAGTTGTTTGGTTTTAATGAGACAGACATTGAGAATGAGAATAGAGTTAGAATAGAAAAATTCAATAGTAACAATAAAAAATGGATATATAAAATATCATTTTTAACTTTTAAATTTGAAATTGTAAGAAAAATAATAGATTTAATTAAAATAATATAATATAATATAAATATATATATATACTAGTATTTTTAACTCATATACTATACGAACGTAATTTATCAAAAATATAAATTTTTGAAAAATTATTTTAATAAATTAAATATTTATAATGTATATAAATTTTAAAAGAAAGATTTTGAATAAAAGATAAATGGTCGCAATAAAATTTTATAATAAAGAAATATACATGTATATTAAAAAAATTATACTTTTTTATTTGAAAAAAAATTAACAAATAAAAATTAACAATAATTTTTTATATTTATATCTTTTCAAAAACTTTTTTGAACGTGAATAAATAGTAAGAATAATATTATTTAGATTCAATAAATTATAGTTGTGTTTGTAATACATATGTTGCATAGAAAAATATTATTTTAAATTAAAATATAAAAAATAAAATTTAAATATTATTAATAAATAATAAATTTACGGTAACAGTAGGTGATTGTAAAATTTATAAAATATTTATAATATATTTATTATTTATCATTCACTTTATGATTTAAACATCAATATGATTTTATTAACAAAAATATTAGTGTGAAAAATATTTTATGTGTGTCATATATAAATAATATTTTTAAAAAGTCAATCTCATATTAACTATATAATAATTAAATTGTATTAGCCTAATTAAATGATATAAAATAGTAAATAAGTTTTTCTATTAAAGATATAAACCAAAATAAATTTTTTGATTTACTTTATTATTAAATATATTTTTATATTAATTTTATATAACTTCACATAAGTAATATAATAATACAAAAGTTCAATGCGTAATTGTAGAATAAAGTTCAAGCATATATATATATATATATATATATATGTGTGTGTGTGTGTGGGGGGGGGTATGGGGCGAGGTGGGTACTTAGATACCCATACCTACACCTGTCTCCATTAAAATTTGCGAGTTTTACCCACACTCATACCCATACTTATATAGCGGGTAAATACTCTACCTATTGTGGATAAATTTTGCGGGTGCCCATCGAGTATTTTACCCATTGCCATCCCTATAGGGGATGACTAGACAGTTAGATTTTGGAAAGATAGTTGGTTGTCTAATAGCCTTTATCCAGCTTTACTACTCAATCTATTCCTATGGAAGAGGTCAATGATCAAGTGGCCCTTTTTATCAGAATTTGGGATTGGAACAAGATTAGAATCCTACTTCCAAGACATATTTGTGATCTCATTGATCATATTCACCCTCTTGCCTTTGATAGTGGTCATGATCAGGTTTATTGAAAATTAGCCAGTAATAAAACATTTTCAGTTAAATTTGCGTGTAGCTTAGTTTCTAATATCTATCATAACAATGTTGTGCATACCAAGATTTTTAATTAGGTTTGGGATTGAAAAAGTCCCATTAGGATTTCTACCTTTTTATGGAATTTGCTTATGAAAGGCTCCTAACTAATGAGAAAAAGTCCCACGTAAAATGACTACTTCCCCTTTATGCTCTAGATGCATGGAGACTCCTAAAATTCTAATTTATGTTCTTAGAGATTGCTAGGTAGCTAACAATATTTGGAACCAGATTCTGATCCTGACAAGTGGTTTCAATTTTTCAACCTTGATTTATCTAGTTGGCTGAGTTTTAATCTATCCAAACAAAATTTTCCTTTGTATCCTAATTGGGATTTAGTTTTTTGGGTGGTGACCTAGAACCTTTGAAAAAATAGGAATTGTTGTATTTTTCAAAATAACTCTTTTAATAATGAGGAGCTGTCACATAAAATCTTTTTGATGTTGATTACTTTTTTTTTTATTGTTGCAGGAGTACTAAGAAAAGTCTGCATTTTGGTTGGAAATTGTAGCACATGGTGAATTGGCAACCTCCTCCTGAAAATCAACTCAAACTTAACACTGACAGATCTGTCTCTTCTTCCCTAAACCTGGCCAATTGTGGTTGGTTGATCCGGGATAGGGTTGGAGGGTTTGTTGCTGGGTTCTATAGAGCTTTGGAACACTGTCACCCTACTGTAGCTGAGTTATGGGAGATCTATTGGGGTCTTCGATTAGTCATTGATTGTAGCATCCAGCTTATTTAAATTGAATGTCATTCTAAGGATACTATTTCTCTTGTTATTAATGTTTAAAACTGTAATCATCCTTTCTATTTTGTCATTAGCAAGATTAGAAAACTTCTGAGATGTGTAAAGTTTGTTAGATTTCATCATGTTTTGAGAGAGGTAAACTAGAGTATCTATTGTTTGGATAAAATAGGTTTTGATTTTGGATTACCTTCCATTATTTTTAGTAAAGCTTCTTTTTCTTTGAAGCCTTTCCTTATACTAAATTCTTTAGGGTCTTTGTAACCTAAGCGTATAGCTTAGTTTTGTTTTATGGACGTTTTGCCCCTTTTAATATATATAAAAAAAAAAGCTTAATTAATGTATTTTATTATTTTAATAATTTTTTATTTTCAAAATGTCTTGTTTTGAAAAAGTCAAATTCGATAAAATGTTATATATTTCTAATTACATAATCTATATGCTGAAAATCAGGTTTTAGATATAGATTTGAACTTTTATTCTCTTAATGGAAATATACATTTTTAAATAAATATGATAAAAAATATTTATATTTAAACATACAAGTTATGTGATCAATCTTTTGAATTTGAATTTAATCACAAGTGTTCTTCTTATCAATTTTGTTAGTAGATATTAAACATGTACTAATAGAAATCTAGAATCTCCATTAATTTGAGGGCCTAAATTTGCTATTAGATATTTATTTTGCTACAAATTGAAAGATACTTAAAAAAATAAGTATGTTTGATTTTAATTTTAAAAATAGTTTCCTATTTTAAAAAAAACATTCTCTAACTTTTTAAATTTTCTTTGAATTTTTAAGATGTACGTAACAAGTCAAGTCAAACATAATTTTACGTGGATAAATATTTCTAATAGTATTTTATTTATTAAATAAAATAGAAAAATTTTGATTAAATTATTTTCATTAAAAATAATTTTTTAGTTTAATTGTTTAACCTTTTGAAAAATAAAATAAACTAAAAAAATTCATATTTTTTATTTATTTTGAGCAGTTTTTGAAAAAATATATAATTATAATAATATTTTAAAATAATAAAATGTTTCTTATGATTATGACTAAATAAAAATAACTTTAGAGTTATGCCTTACATAAAATCACTAAAAATTAAATCATTTTTAGATATTCTTAAAATTCTTGTAGAAAAAACTTAAACGGGTGCTTTTATTTTTTTATTTCTGTTTTTTACTATAAGAAAAAGAATGAAAAATTACCAAAACATAGAATTTTGAAAAAAGTACCAGAATATGAAAAATTTTTAAAGTGATTTTTGAAATGTACTGATTAGTTTGAAGTTAGTACTTCAAAGTTTTTTAATAATTTTTTAAAAATTGTCATAATGGACGATTTTTTATATTTTAATTTTTAAAAAATTACTGTAAAATTTTATGCACTTAAAATAATGATAATGTCTGTATTTTTATATTTTTATAATTTTTAAAAAAAATATCATGTTTCATTATATTATTTTTAAAATTTATATAACAATAAAAAAAAGCAGGAAAAGAAGCTTAAGTTTCCAAAATAGGAGGAGGGCGTGCCGGCGTTCAACATAAAAAGGAGAGGGCAAAAAGGTCTTTGAAGATAAATATAGAGGCGTGTTTGGCGTGAAGTAAAAAAAGAGTGGCCCTTTGGTAGTATAAAACATAATTCATCCCCAAATACGCTGATACCCAAAGAAGGCGAAGAGAGGGTTTTTGGATTGCGAAGTAAACACAACACAAGACAAAGCGTTAGAGAGTGCGTTTGTTTTGTGAGTGAGAGTCACAGATTAATTGGGATTTCAAATATTGGTTAAGAAAAAGAAAAAGGGACCGTTGGTCTCGCTCCCGCCATGGCCACGGTGATGGATCAAGAAAACCAGAATGAGAAGCAGAAGAACCACACCAAGACACTCTTCTGTGCTCTCAACCTTCTCTCACGTGACCTCCCTCTCCCTTCTCACCTCCTCAACTCCGTTTCTTCCATCTACCACAACCATGTACCTCTTCTCTCTCTCTTTCCGATTCCAATTTCTATTACCTATTTTCATTTCACGTTTTGGATTCATATATCATTTTTATCTCATGCACTCGCGAGCTATGTCGCAATTCATTTACTCACTCGCTGTGTTATTCTTTTCGCTTTCCTCTTTCGCGTTTTCGACTCCGGTTAGTCTTGTTTTGACATAACTGTTTTGTTCTAGATTGTTCGAATCAGTCACTTGTATGTCGCAACTTTTTATGCAGTTTCGAAGTTCTGATTGAAATTGTATGATGACGTTTCTGTTGTTTGGTAATTGTTCTGCAGGACGGTGTAGGAAATTCTGAAGATGGTTTAATGGCAGATCTTGAAGATGCGCTGTTGAGTCAGCGCCCAAATTGTGTGTCGGGTTTCAAATTGGAAGGAGCAAGGAAAGATCGTTATCGGAGTCAGATTCAGCATCGTTTAAATGAGCTGGAAGGTTAATAATTTTAGTTAAAGGGGAAATACTTTTGTTGTGAATTTACGCTTGATTCTATGTTCACTTGGTGTACATTTTGGATTTAATTTGTATATGATTCCATCATTTTCATTACCGTTGATTGATAAGCTTGCATAGCTAATGATGATCTTTAGAGGTATAGCTTGTGCAAGCCCATATACTTATATATTTCAAAAGGATTATGTGGTTACGACGATTGTTTAGTTATATTAGTGTTGTCATGAGGAGAAAAGTGGGTTGAGGCGGCAAGCCCTCAAATCATTCAAGACCATTAAGCAGCCATTTATTACAGTCATCATCACCATCTCTATCATTTGCAGAGGTAAATGGGTTTTTCCACTGGGCGTCATTTCTATGCTCTCCCTCTTCCTCCAAATGGTTTCACCCACCCATTCTCCACTTCTTTTGTCTTCATTGAACCCAAGCTCCACCCATTACCAATCCCATCTGTACCTTTGCTGCCCTACCTCATACACCTCATCTCCTGCTCCATACTTGATTTGTCCTTTTTTGTGAATTGGAACACAAATGGAAGCGAATTACAAATTGGTTTCCAAAAACCAATTTGCCATTCTTTGGACAAACCAACAAATTATGTTTCATGGAGCTTCAGTTGCCTCATTGCCTAGAAAGACACATCAAGCTCAAGCACTTCATGGAAATGCTTATTTTCCCCTTATTTTGATCGTCTTTGTTAGAGAGGATTAGTAGGATGAGGTATCATTCTGAAACCATCTTATCATCCTTGAAACTTAATTAAAGTGGCAAACAGTCTAAGCAGCTCTAAGATATTTTTAAACATGTCCTCCTTATGACCATGTCCATTAAGTAGGATTGATCTCTAAGCAAGATTCTTGACAATTTTACTGAAGAACTGTTCTACTGTTTTGATACAGAATTGCCTTCAAGCAGGGGAGAGGACCTGCAGACAAAGTGCTTGCTTGAACTTTTTGGACTAAAGGTAAAATTGATTCTGGAATCTTTCTTCAATGCGTAGTGTTGTGAGCATGTCTAACTTTAATGCTTAGTATGTAGTAATATCAACAGCCTTATCTAACTTTCACAAATCGATCACTGAATTGTTTATGTGGCACACAATTGTACTTCACTTTTGTTAATCATGTCACATCTACCTTTTTAAATAGCTTTCTTTTTTTATTATTATTACAAGTTAGACAAAATTGCTATCTGTTTATGACATATATAAGATAGAAAATAGTTGTCATTCTTTTATTCCCCTGTTGCCCCTGAAGTGTGACCAAGTTTGACTTCTATAATAAGTCAAATATTTTACTGATAAAAAAAACCTTTGTAGCTTACTCATTATTATATTGAAAAGAACAGCTGAAAATAATTTCTAGTGAGGAAATTAGTTGAATTTTATATTTGTTTTTTATCAACTGCAACTGAGAAATGACAAGAATTGTGTCCTTGTTGGCAAGGACTTCCTTTCCGGCAGCTAGCAGAGTTGCAGTCAAAGGTTAGGTCTGATGTGAGTTCTGAATACTGGCTCAATGTTAAGTGTGCATATCCTGACAGGCAATTGTTTGATTGGAGCATGATGAGGTTGCGCCGTCCTCTGTACGGTGTTGGAGATTCATTTGCCATGGATGCTGATGATCAATTAAGGAAGAAACGGGACGCTGAGGTGATTTAATTTATTTTTTTCTCTATCAATAGTTATTTCCCCTTTTGTGAATTTGAATTTGCTTTCCGTATCATGAATATCATAGGTAAGGCTTCATTGATGCAGTGAGTTTATATTCACTAATTCATCGACTCCTTCAATTGTTTTAAGGCTCCCACATGGTTTTCTCTTATACCTTGGCTAGTAAAATCCATTATTATTTGATTGTAAATATAAGATCATATACGTTATCACCTGGAACAGGCAAAGAAATAATGCAGCTGTCTTTCTTCTATTAAACATTTTGTACTGTTAAAGTTACTTATCAATTCTTTCTCCAAATAAACAAGAACAGTGTAATGTGTTGACAAGACAGGCAGACAGATCAACACATGTGAACACATTCACACATGCATGCATATGGAGGGACAAGGAAATACAAAAATATCTGGAATTTCAACTGTTATACGTGAACTGCCATATATATCCTAGTTAAACATACAAGGCATGTAGTGTAGTGATCCAGTTTCTTTTTTCTGCACACATGCATGATTTTCCAGTATCTGAACATGAATTAAATTACTCTGCACTGCTCATCTCTAATGGATCCCTGAATGCAGAGATTATCAAGAATAGAAGAAGTGGAGAAAAATCATATAGAGACTAGAAAAAGAAAATTTTTTGCAGAAATACTCAATACTGTTCGTGAGTTTCAATTACAAATTCAAGCTTCTTTGAAGAGGAGAAAACAAAGGAATGATGGTGTCCAGGTATACTATTTCTTCTCTTATTTTTCATTTATGATAAATAATATATATTTGTGGGAAATAGATATATAAATTTAGGTGTAATGTAACATTTGGTGTGTTAAAGTTAGAAGTTCTTGTGAAGTATGAACTCTTCTTCCTATGAGAATTAGGTATTTTGGGGCATGTGTTTAAAACTTAGGTTGAAATTATAGGGTTATAGATATAGAAAAAAGGAAATAGAAGATAAAAGAGACTAAATACACTGAGATTGATATTGACTTGATTTGATATAATACAAAATAATATAAAAATGAAGCATTAACCCATATTTATACTAATACTTGTCATAATCCTTACTAAATAACAAAAACAAACATGAGATAATAAGGAAATATGAAAACCAATCCTAAGAGATAAGTTAAGCTATGATTGGATATTTTTCATATATTCTAATTCTCCCTTTTAAGCTAAAGCTTGCTAAGCTTATTACAACTAAGCCTTTTAAATATACTGTGAGGTCCACCAAACGGCCATAATAATTATCATCTTAAGATTGATTGTTGGCAGAGCTAGTGTGTTTGGCATTGGAGACCAGTGGGCTAGTTCATGTCTCGGTCAAAAACCAGGAACAAATCATATCTGCCTGGGACAGACAACACTGTATTGGTTTAGCTGGTGGCTAGTGGTGGACTAGCCACAAACAATGGGAGAAACTACTGAACAAGGTTCCAAAAGAACGATGTGGCAATGGGTGTGACTGGAAATAATGTAAAAGCTCCAGGATTTAGGAAGTTTGGCAGTGGAGTAATGATGGGAGAAACCATGGAGGATGGTACCCATTTGATACCATGTAAAAGAAAGGTGGGCCAAACTGCATTTCCAATTACAGTCAAGAATAGAACCAATCAGCAGAATGACAAGCCAAAATGGAGCCAATCTACAAGATAGACTGAAACAAAGCCAATCTATGAAAACTTATATGTGTGTGTGTGTATTCCTCATCCTAAATTTTAGAAGGATCATGATAATAACATGTATCTTTTGGTGTATTTTAAGAAAATAAAGTTTATAACTTGTTAACACAAATTCATATGCGCAATAATCATTTGTTTTTTTCTCTTCATTATGGGTCAAAATATAACTTGTCAATAATTAAATATGGGTTATTTATTTTCATAAATATTTTTGCAGGCATGGCATGGAAGGCAACGACAACGGGCAACCCGGGCAGAGAAATTGAGATTCCAAGCCTTGAAGGCCGATGATCAAGAAGCTTACATGAGAATGGTGAAAGAGAGTAAGAATGAAAGATTAACTTTGCTTCTTGAGGAAACAAATAAACTACTAGTAAATTTGGGAGCTGCTGTTCAACGTCAAAAGGACTCCAAAAATCCCGATGGTATTGAACCCTTGGAAGATACCGAAGCTGATTTACCTGAGTCAGATGCTTCAAAGAATGGAATTTCTAAGGAATCACCTCTTGATGAAGATATAGATATGATAGATTCTGATCATAATGGTGATTCTAGTGATTTACTTGAAGGTCAGCGGCAATACAACTCTGCAATACACTCAATTCAAGAAAAGGTAAGTATTTGTGAATCACTTTATTACGCCTCTTGGAGAAAAAGGCAATGAAGTTTTTCTACCCAATTTGTTGGCTCTGTTATTAAAGTTATTCCTTACTAGACATTTACTATAATAGCTTGTTTGGGATATTTGATGTTTGGCTTCTATTTGGTGTAAAGCACATTGTCTTTTTTAAGGGGATTTCCTTGACATGTATTTTGAGGGATTGGTATTCTTGCTCCGATGATATTTTGTGCTTTCTGAGTTGTTTTGCTCTTATGTTTAGGTGGATGCCTATTGAGGAAAAGAAAATAAAAAAGTTGGTTGTTTCTGAATATTGTAGCACACTGGAAATTTAACCTAGTTGTTTACAGGTAACTGAGCAACCGTCTATACTTCAAGGGGGTGAATTAAGAACATACCAGATAGAGGGGCTCCAGTGGATGCTTTCTTTGTTTAACAACAACTTAAATGGAATTTTGGCTGATGAAATGGGGCTTGGGAAGACAATACAAACAATATCACTGATAGCGTATCTTATTGAACACAAGGGTGTGACTGGTCCCCACTTGATTGTTGCTCCAAAAGCTGTTCTGCCAAATTGGATCAACGAATTCACAACATGGGTTCCTAGGTATGCCCAGGCTGATGTTGTTAATTATTTCCTCCCTTGCTTATCTTGTGAGGAGAGGGGATATAATTATTTTTCTAAATTCTACACATCATATTCACTTTCAAATCACGAGTGCCTTTTCTTTCTGATTCAGCATCACAGCTATTCTTTATGATGGAAGGCTGGATGAGAGGAAAGCAATGAAGGAAGAATTGTCAGGGGAGGGGAAATTTAATGTTCTGTTAACACACTATGATCTTATAATGAGAGATAAAGCATTTCTAAAGAAAATTCCATGGTACTACTTGATTGTAGATGAAGGGCATCGGTTGAAGAATCATGAGTCTGCTCTAGCTAGAACCTTGGACAATGGGTATGATTCTACATGACATCTATTGCTGAACTGATTAATATTTTTATCTTCCCTAAAATATTGGTTATGATAGCCTTTTATTTTATTTAGCTAAACTCTAAACAGCCTGACAGCTGTTCTGAACTGGAGAAAAAAGATATAATGGCAGTCAAAGCATTCCACAGTTAACACAATTCATTATCTGATAGTGTGGTGCCACCCTTCAGGTGGTTTAGCTCCTCACTTCTCTAATTTTTAAATTTTATTTGTGTGCAGCTATCACATCAAACGAAGGCTTCTGTTGACCGGTACCCCAATTCAGAACAGTTTGCAGGAGTTGTGGTCTCTGCTTAATTTTCTCCTTCCAAACATTTTCAACTCAGTTCAGAATTTTGAGGACTGGTTTAATGCTCCCTTTGCAGACCGAGTCGATGTCTCTCTGACAGATGAGGAACAGCTATTGATCATTCGGCGTCTGCATCAAGTGTGTTTCTCACTTCTAGCTTCTAATTCTCTTACTCTTTTTCACTTGTTTCTGATGTGTTTCATTCCGTCTTAGGTAATAAGGCCCTTCATATTAAGAAGGAAAAAGGATGAGGTGGAAAAATATCTTCCTGGGAAATCTCAGGTCATACTCAAATGTGATATGTCAGCCTGGCAGAAAGTGTATTATCAACAAGTTACTGATGTAGGCAGAGTTGGCTTGGACAATGGTTTGTATCCATTTCTTGTTTTCATTTATCCCCTAACCCACTTCTCCTTTTAAGTTTTAACAACTTAAATGTATCTTTTTTCTCAAATACTTGGTTTTGAATATTGATATGCTAAGGTTTTCACTTATTCCCATCACTTGCTGTTGTTTCCTTGTCAGTTGGTTCTCAGCACTCATGAATTTAGTTTATTTTGAATATGCTTGTGAATAAGTTTAGCTCATCTTTTAAGAAGTAAGTCATAGGCCTATATGTTTTACCAGTTGCAACTTTGTTATGAAATCAATTGGTGAAATTTGACTATTTGTTACTTCATCATAAATTTGGCTTGCAATTTCTTCTTGTTGGTGTCTTGCTGTCTTTTATTCAAAAGAGCAACCACCCCTGTAACATTAATTGTGTTTTAGATCCCTGTATGTCCACCTGATTTCTTAGAACTTCCTCGCAAACTTTTTACCAAATATGGATCATTTTACAGGTTCTGGAAAATCAAAAAGTTTACAGAACTTAACAATGCAACTCAGGAAGTGTTGTAACCATCCCTATCTCTTTGTGGGAGAATATGATATGTATAGACGTAAGGAGGAGATTGTCAGAGCATCAGGAAAGTTTGAACTTCTTGACCGTTTGCTCCCAAAACTTCGGAGAGCTGGTCACAGAGTCCTCCTTTTCTCACAAATGACTCGACTCATGGACATTCTGGAAATCTATTTGCGACTTCATGATTTTAAGTATCTTAGACTTGATGGCTCAACAAAAACTGAGGAAAGAGGCTGTCTACTACGGAAATTTAATGCCCCTGACTCCCCATACTTTATGTTTCTTTTGAGCACCCGTGCTGGAGGTCTTGGTTTGAACTTACAAACTGCAGATACTGTTATAATCTTTGACAGTGATTGGAATCCACAAATGGATCAACAAGCCGAGGACCGAGCACATCGCATTGGACAAAAAAAGGAAGTCAGGGTTTTTGTGTTGGTTAGTGTAGGATCAATTGAAGAGGTGATTTTAGAGCGTGCGAAACAAAAGATGGGCATTGATGCCAAAGTCATCCAGGCAGGACTTTTCAACACAACATCAACAGGTTTGTAGTCATTGATACTTTTGCCACATCCGGGGGAATATATCAATAGTTAATTTTTTTGGCTAAAGGCGGAAATAATTTCTTTGCATGTTGAAATAGAAAGGGGAGGGGATGTTTATGTTTTTCACCACTTCAGAACTTGCTTTATGCTAGCAAATTGCTTCCTTTTCATAATAGCTTTTGTCTAACAATTCTTTGCATATACATAGTATGCTTTTATGTGCCAAATTGCTGCTAAAGCTGTAACAGGCTAATGCCAAACTCAAACTGCCACTGGAGCTATATGCTAAATATAGAAGTGGCATCTCAGGTATTATTATCCATGATATGTTGGTGCTTGAGACAGACTCTTAACTATATGGATAAGTAGCCTTTATATTCTATTTATTTGAAAATCCCATCCATTCCAAGCCAAAAGTTGGAATATTTAAAATTTTAATTGGCTAGTTAAATTTTTCCTTGCCATCTTTTTTTTTTATGAACTGCATCCTTGCCCCTTGGGTCATATTGATTATTTGAACTTGTATTTTTATTTCTGCAGCCCAGGACAGGAGAGAAATGTTGGAAGAGATTATGCGTAGAGGTACAAGCTCACTTGGGACTGATGTGCCTAGTGAGAGAGAAATTAACCGCCTTGCTGCTCGATCAGATGAGGAATTTTGGCTGTTTGAGAAAATGGATGAAGAGAGAAGACAAAAGGAAAATTATAGATCTCGACTTATGGAAGAGCATGAATTGCCAGATTGGGTGTATTCTCCAATTAATAAGGATGACAAAGTCAAAGATTTCAACGGTAATGTTACTGGAAAGCGGAAAAGAAAAGAAGTGGTATATGCTGATACATTAAGTGATCGGCAATGGATGAAGGCTGTGGAGAATGGGGAAGACATATCAAAGTTTTCAGTTAAAGGGAAAAGAAGAGACCACCTCTTATCCGACAGCATTGCACAAGCCAGTGATAATGCAGAGGCAGAAGAAAGTTTAGAGTTAAGGACTGATAGTGTCCCCATGGCAAATGAGGGAACATATGAAGAAGATAGTTTCCATGTGACCCCTGCCTCAAAGAGATTAAAGCCTGAAGGAACAAATTTCTTGAGACATACATACAGGGATGTTGGAAGTGGATTGAACCATGTGTTATCATGGAATACTCACAAAAAGAAGAGATCAAGCTATCTTGGCCAGGGTTCATTGTCTGAAACTAGAGGGCAGACTTCAAATGGAAGAGCAAATTGGAATTGATCCGAGTTTAATTAGGCATGGCCTCATGGATGCCAGAATTTTGCACAACTATTGAATGTGATTCGGCTTGAAGCTCTTATAACAAGAAATGATAAGCAACTTTGAGCTAAGCTAGAGTTTGTTCAAGTATGCAACGTCCATATTAACCTCAAAATGTCAATGAAAGAAAATATTTAAAGATAAATTATACTCTTATTCCTTGATAAATGCTTAAATTACATTATTTTTTTATTTTAAAAATTATATTTCTTGTGCTAAATTTTATTTTAGTTTATTTTTCTTAAATTTGGGTTAGACTTAATCTAATTCTAAAAGTTAACTCATATGATAGGAATTGTCTAAATTTTGTAAGTTTAACTTTAGATATATCTATAATCAATGTGGAATTTTAACACTTCTCACACTTAGAATATATTACATTGAGAAAAATGTAAAATTAGGTAGATTGTATTGAAAAAGTTGGGAGATCATATAAATTGCACTAAAAAATTTACAATAAGTTCGAATATCACTTTAAATTTGAGCTGTTTATAGTTCTACTTTAAAGATATTCCACGAGATGATGATTGCACAAGTCTATAAATTTTACACTAATCATATTTATGGTCAATGTGAAATTTAATAATTTTAATACGATTGACCATCTTCAAAATTATTTCTCTTCATGACTCAAGCATTAGCATTGCTAGTTAATGATTTTTAATGTCTACAATCAACTTTGGGACCTGAAAAAATGGAATGAAAATTTTTATTGAAATTTATAATAGAAGAATTTGAAAGATTTTATTTTTAAAATTAATAATAAGGTATTTAAAATTAAGTGTCACTAACGTTAGAAGTTGCATAAAAAAGGGGGAAAATACTCATTTATAATTAAGTCACCATCATTGAGAGATTTATATATATTTAAATAAATTGAAGTGCAACATATTTCATTTCTGGAAAGAAAAAGTGCATAATGCTTAAAAATAAGGAGGAAAGCATTATAATATACCCAATATGTAATTATAAATTTTATATAAATGAAGATAATGATTTTAGTTTAGTTTTAAATCTGTTACTATATATTTAAAAAATCGCATTATTGTATAATTATTTATCATAACTATAAACTTATAATTATTAAAAAACGCTCCTTAATTGGCCTAAGTTTGATTTTAAAATTTTTTTATCCAACAGATATGCTTTATCATTTTGGTTGTTCTCAAGTAGGGTTCAAAAATCTTTTTTCTAAAATAACTAATTTAGACCAAAAAAGAAATATTAACTTTTTTTCGTTCATGATCTCGCTCTTTTTTAACGATCGATTCTTTTATCCTATACACAAAGTACGTAGGTTAAGGGTTTAGAAATTTTTAACAGAAGACAATTTTTATATCAAAATCACAAAATCATTTAATGCATACTTTTAAGTAATTGCAAGTATTTAAGAAAATGTATTTAATATCCTTTAATCTACATACTTGGTGAATAGGATAGGAAAATCGTTTTACAACATTATTGTGTTGAATAATCAATAAAAAAAATCCAATAGATGAATTTAACTAAAGAAAAAAAAATAGATAGGTGTAATTAAATAATTGGTCAACTCATGAGCACACTCACTTGGTTTTGTGGGTGGAACCAGATTAGCTTATTTTAATGAGTAAGGTTTGTTTGAAGTATTTAAAACCTAACCAATGGTGAGCCAATTTAGACAGTCGAATTGACTCCATTTTACAGTTTCAACAATAAATTATTTATTTTCAACCAACGTTACCAATTACGAGTAACAACAAATTGTTAACGATAGCAGTAAAAAAGGAAGAAGATATGTGAGGCTGTAGTGATGACTAAAAGAATACTTTGTTTTTAAAGAAATAAATGTTTATTAACAAGAAGATGACCGTTATCCAACATCTTGGTTTTTCTGGACATATTCAATAAGTTGTCGCGTCGCGTGAAGAACAAGTAAATTATTTTCATAATTGCGGGTTAATTATTTCTGTTGATACCTTTCATATTAATCAGTTCCAAAAGATAAAGATCTATTAGCTCTAGTAAATATATATTTAGAATATCTCTTCAAAAGCAGAATCATATGTTAAACTAAATGACACAGCATCGATTACAAGGTGTTATTAAACTAATTACTAACCTACATAGATGCAAATGCAAATAACATAACTTTACTACATGAAATGAAACACTGAAAACAAGATTACAATAGCTACTCCAGACATTTTATGCCCTCAACGAGTTAAATTTTACGGTCTAAAAACCCTCCTCTGCTACAGTCATGAGAGTTACTTGTGCTGCAGAACATGAAAGTGTCTACAAACAACTGCTCCACTTTCAATTAACTCCAAGGTTCTTCATTTTGGATTCCAGTTCATCTGCACTACCTTCTTCATCAGCTCCTTCATCATTGTCTGTTCCATCAGGATCATTCTCATCGAACGGGCCAAGCATGTTAGGAGATTTTTTAAATATATCCTTCAACTCAACAATGCCTTCATTGGAAATGAAGTTTCCATTGATGTTCAGAAGTTTGAAATCAGCCTTTTTCACCACTGTCAGAGCCAATTGTTGAGCCCCAGACCTGGTTATTTGGTTGCAACTTAGATCAATTTCCTTTAACTGGACATGGCTTTCTAGAGCCTTATTTATCAGCATGGCACCTTCATCCTTTAGTTCATTGTCAGATAGGTTCAACTTGACAAGAGACTGCTTTGCTGCTAAGCAGGCTGCTATTGCAGAAGCAGCATGAGCAGTAATGTCATTTCCACTCATCTCTAAAACTTCAAGGTGAGGAGCTGATTCCTTAAGAGCATCAACTATAGCAATAGCACCATCATCTTCCAAGTTTAGGTAGCTCATGTAAATTTCTCTTAGCCCTGCATGCTTGGTAACCGCTTTACTCAGGGAAACCCCACCCTCTGCACCAAACATGTTGTCACGTAAATCGAGCTTCTTCAAATGGGTACAATTCCCTAAAGCATCACACAAGGCAACTCCACCTTCAGTGCCTATTCTTGTGGAGGAGCAGCGAAAATCCTCCAATGAAGGAGAACGCTTCACAATCTCAGCTATGGCCAGTGCCCCTTCATCTCCAGTCATATTATTATGAAAATAAAGAACTTTGAGCTTCTCTGTGAAAGGAATCAATTCACAGACTGCTCGAGCAGCATCCTCTGAGATTCCATCATTCATCAGATAAAGCTCCTCCAAGCAGTTCTGTGATTTCAAGAGTGCTCCAAACGCTCGAACTCCTTTTTCACCTAAAGCATTGTCAGACAGGTTTAAAGACTTCAAGACAGTGCCCTCTAGAGCAGTTGAGAATATCTTCATGACATCAAGAGCTTCTGCTTCTGATCTTCCAGCAATAAAATCTGATATATCTACTTCTTTCAATTGATCCTTTATGGAAATGAGAATGGGCTGGGCAACTTGTGCTGCTCCTAATCCAAAGCTTCTGTTGCTCAAGCATATTTTGGTGAAAGAATTCCCTGGCTCATTTAATGGCTTTAAAAGTTCCTGTGCCTCTTCTGCTTCAATGAAGGCCCTTTGGCCTTTAGATATATCAAAAACAGATTCATGAGGTGCACTGGTGTTAGTGGATGTCCCCACTTCTTCATTATACTTTTTACTGGGTCCACTTTTAAGAACATCTAGGAGGAGCTTACTACATTCCTTGGCATAAAGCTGGACTGCAGAACCTCCATCGCCATCCGGCTCATTCTCATAATGTAGATTTGCTGTTGCAAAAGCTACATCCTCAATCCTTTTTGCATTCTCCTCAGCCTCTTCTTGGTCTAAAGTCCCATACTTCTGTGTGAAAAGAGAATTAGTAGTCAGATTCTTGGTCATCCTCTCCACAAGGGTCTGTCTAGTATTCTGACTAGGAGGCCATAATTTGATCGATAATGGCCTGTGCTCCGAATTCAGCTCCATGGCAATGAAACCTACCAGATCTGCAAGTAAAAGAGCAAAAAATCAGTTCATGTTGATTTATTAGAGAAAAAAATTGTAAAGCAATGGCATTCACAGGTGCATATCCCCAATCACGGTATAAGCTGTTGTCAGAGAGGATATAACATTTTCCAAGCCCTTGCACACTGAAGATGTCAAAGTGACAATGCAGGTGAAGAGATACCAATTAATGTCATCATCATTAAAGGTCCCACACTCCGAGTGTTAAGAACTTGATACAGATTTAAGTTTTGAATGGGTAAAAGAATCATATTTTGCAAAGTAGAGTAAATAGAAACAGAAGCAACAGAAATCCCATCCCAGAAATAATTGCTATGACAGATATCATATATAGGCTAAATTGATTGCAATAATGAAGTAGGGTCTAAATAAAACTAAGCAAAACTTCAAAGCATGATGAGAAAAAAAGGTGATTAAGGAGTTTATAAAGGGAACGTGGCGGCAAAACATGTCATGAATGTACGAGGTTGTTTCCTCGGAAAAGAGAACACCCAGAAAACCGTCGACAATAAATAACTGACAAACGATTGGTTCACCCACAAATCAAAACCCATCGTAAAAAAATATTAGCTTTAAGTTCATAATGCAACAGATCTGAGACTACACAAAGCCACAAACTTTAAACACAAAATTGAAAGGCATTAGAGAATGCAAGGAAGTGGGAACAAGAAAAACTGAAAATAGAGGGAGAGACGACTCTAACAAAGTGATAAACAAGAAACCCTAAAAAGGAGAAAGGAGAGGAACTACCTCTTTTGTTGATCTGAGAATGAGTTAGTCTTCTACGCAGTTCGCACAATCTTTAATTTAAATGGTACAGAGTAGTAGTGATTAGAGAGAGATGGAGAGAGTGGAGGGAAAACCTTAAAATGTGAATAGAGAGAGATACAATACAAGAGTGCTTGTTGTGTAAAGTGGCTTCAGATTGCTGATTTGATGGTCACTACCCCAAAATCACCCTTTTTATATCCATTAATCTTTATGTAACGTTACATAAGAAAAATTATATATATACCAAATTTTTTATTAAAAAGTAGTATTAATATGTAGAACTTTATTAATCTTTTTAATTTTTAATAAAAATTTAGTATATATAAATTTTTAAATTTTACTTTTTTCCATATTATACACTTTTATGTATTTTATTTTTTTTATTGAATTATTACTAAATCTTTTGTCTCATACTTTTAAATTTATTCTAATTTTTAATTCATCATAAATCTCCAACTATTTGAATTAAGCAAAATTTTAGAAATTTTATTTATAAAAAATATAATTATTTAATTTAAAAAATACTTTATTTGCTAAAAAATTAATAGGTCAAAACCATATATAATTTAAAACTTAAGAAATTAATAATATAATTAAATATGATTAAAAATAAGTACAAATTTAAAAAAATTATATATAAAAAAATAAATTAATAATAAATTTTCTAACATAATATTATGTAAAATAAAAAGTTATATATAATATTTTTATTACAAATTTGACTCTCAAAGTATCCAGACTATTGAATATTATAATTTTTAATAAAATTTTATCTATATATATATATATATATATATATATATTGAATACATAAATTTGAATATGATATATATTTTAATTAAATCTATATTTTAATACAATTTTCAGTGTGTTAAGACTATTAAAAATGTGACAATTATTATTACATGTTAAAAAGTTCGAATTATAAATATATAAGTTAAAATAAAGATGACGTATATATTTGAATTAACTCCATAATTATTAATATTTTATATTTTAAAATAATTATATATATAAAAAAATTATTTTAAATAATTTTTAAAAATATTTTAATTTAACTCTATAATTATAAATATTATGTATTAAAATTATGAACATTTAATAATTATATAATTTTTATTTTTATTACCCTAAAATACAAGTGTTTAACCTTTAATTAATTGAATATGTATTTAAAAATTTTGTTAAAGTTTTGAAAAAAGAGTTATTCTCAAAAGAAATATCATTAAAAAATAACTTTATTTTTGTCCGTTTAAGCAATTTCATCTACAAATCAAAGAAAATAATTAAATATTTTGTTTGTTATTAAAATTTAAAAAAATAAATTAAGATTGATTAACAATATAAAGGTTTTAAAATTCAAATTATATAAAAAATTATATATATCTTTATTTTGACAGTGTATTAAGAAATCAAATTTAAATTTAAGTATTAGTGTTTGAAAAAATAAAAGCATAAACCTAAGTTTTAGATGTAGAAAATATTGTTGGCGTACAAAAAGATTCAACCCTTCAATAATTATGTTGTCAGCACTTTCCCGGAAGAAGGGCGATTCAAATAATTTTGTTCCGATGGACATAATTTCTAGGCATAAAAAATGATTACAATCTTGTACATTTAAAATTAGTTAGATCGTTATTAAAGAATATTAATTATATTAGAATTAATTTTTTTTAAGAAAAACTAACCAAAATGTTGATAGATTAACTTAGGACTTGTTTAGAGTACTTTTTATCCTTTTTTTTTTGTAAGGCTTCTCTTTTTTGTGATTTGTTGTCAGTAATAATATTTTGGGTTTCTGATTCTCTAGAGGAGCTGGTTAATTTTATCCTTGCTATTTAAATTTGTTGACTCCTGTCTATCATAAAAAAAAATTAATAAAGTTTTATTCTTAAACAAAAAAAAGTTTTACTCATAAAAATAGATTCAGTTAAATTATCACATAAAGTAAATATAATTTCATCTTAAATAAATTAATAAAGTTCAACTGTTAAAAAATTGTATTTCTTTTTTTATTATTTATAGACAATTTTATTGATCTATCTAAGATGAAGTTGTATGTCATATAAGTTAATTTAAATAAATTTTAAAATAAACAAAATAAAACGAATACAATTTTTTTTTGTTAATAAAATTAATATAATCTTTAATACAACATCTTGACTTTGTTAATATGTATAGAATGTAGTTATTTAATCCATGAAATAACCTCAACAATTTATCTTCTCATGTATTTATTTATTATTATAACTTCAACATATTTTTTTATTTTTCTTTATTTATTATTATAAGTTATTTTTTTTAAAAATATATGAAAACAACGTATCGCCAACTTTGTCAACTTTAAATTGTAGTTTTGCATTATAGTGACGGTGAATACATATACATATTTATTTTTATTCCACATCATCTTAGAATATAAAAGACAAATGTCAATCGTAAGTATAAAAGGGAAAAATAAAAGTGGGCACCACACCCACCTCTCTTCTTCAATTTATTCCCACCGGCAATTCCTAATCCATCAATTTCTCACAGACATAAGAAAAAAGTACAGAAACAACACGAATCACATATTCAAACAAGGAAAGAAGCCATACGAGCAATCATGTTTTTAGAATTCTGAGTTTCAGGATGGTAAATCTGAAAGCAATGTTCCTCTCCTTCCACATGAACAAGTTCAACCTCCCCTTGCCACCCACTTTGCTTCACAGCATCATAGTACCAAATCCCTCTATCTCTAAGATCATCCTTACCCGCAACAAAAATCAGAATCCTGGGGCAACCAAAGGTAGCCAAACTAGGAGCCCCAGAAGCCAAAGGATTAATCAAAGGGTTATCTATGCCACCAGGTGCATCAGGGTACACAAAGTTCCACACTTGCATGGGTGAACTCTCTTCATGCCCCTCCACAGGTTCTGACAAAATTGGCTTCGAACCCCAAAACAAAGGAAAAGCAAGAAGTGCACCCGCTATTTTCACACCCCCAGGTAAGGTTTCAACCCCTCCACCAACACGAAGTGCAGCATAGTGTGCAATATTTGCACCTGCAGTGTCACCCCCTATGTAAAACCTGTTGAAATCACCATGGTTTATCAACCATGCCTCACTGTTGTTGACGTTGTTGGTTGAATGAGAGGTTACCCATTTGAGAGCATCCCAACCATCTTCATATGCTGCAGGAAGAGGGTGTTCTGGTGCCAACCTATACTCCACAGAAACCACTAGAACGTTCGCTTGTGAAGCTACGATGTTGAGGTAGCGTTGGTGGAGGAAGGAGAAGGCAGATTCAAGGCAAAACGCGCCACCATGGTAATAGACCAAGATTGGAAGCTTTTTGTTTTCTGGGGTGCTTAGTTTTGGGAGGTATACGCGTGCAGAGATGGAGGGGTTTTGGGAGATGACTATGTCTTTTGATGAGACACCTGTTTCAGGGTCTTGAGGGGTGGGTGGCACGAAGGAAGAGCCAAGGAAGCGTTCAACGGTTCCGTCTTTGTAGACACGGAGAAGAGGGGGAAGCTCTCTGTCTATCTCTTTAGAGGTAGTTGTAGAAGCCATTGAAGGAAGGGAAGAGAACAGAACAGAACAGAACAGTGAAGGTGAAGAAAGAACAGAGTGTGTAGTGAGTTTAATAATGTGATGGCTATGACTTAAAATATGGTCAAATGTGTCAGCTGTATATGCAAGAAACTTGGTGCTTCCTCGTGCCAACCCAGTGACCCACCTACCCACCATTTTTTTCTCAAAATTATTAGGAATTTCTGAGGCTCTGTTTCTTTCTCTGTTTTCAACGTCCATTTGTTGAAAAGAGGATTTATTTTTACAAGACATCATATTTTCAAACTCAAATTTTTATATTTATTTTTATCTTTTTTTTATTATATCATTCATCATATTTTAATTTTTTTTTCTCTTTTTTCTATTCACTTTTCACTCACATTGAATAAGAGGTTGTGAAATATTTTTTTTTACTTTAATAACTTTCCTAATATTTGTCTTAAAAAATCAATTTTTGATTTTAATTCTATTATTTGAAAAATAAAAAATAGTATTATAATATTATTTATATGGGACATAATTTTTTATACTAATATAAGTCTAAAATTTTTTATATTTAATTTATATTAGATATAAATTAAATAAAAATCTTAGATTTAATATAAAATTTTTTAGATTTATAGTAATTTTAGAAGATTTCTTTTTATTTATTTATATATATATATATATATATATATATATAATAAAAGAGACAATTTTTAGTTGACTTACTTGAAATTTATTTTCCTTCCTTTTTACGTTGATCACACACACTAGTTGACTTACATAAACACTTTTACATTGTATTGAGCCATAAAAAACAATGATCATCGTCCCACTTAGAACTGAAAAACGGGTCCAAGTATCTCAGAAAAATGAAAAGTGTATAGTTCAACTTTTGCGTATAAGAGGTGGGAAAAAGAACAATAATAGAATAAATAAATAAATTTAATATAAAAAAATATTATTATGTAAGAGTATCAAAGCTAATCAATCGTCTTACCTCTTTCAAAAATCTGTCTAAAAATGGATTTTAAGTTAGCCTATATTTTAAAGTATTGGAAAAAATATATAAAATAACTAAAATAATATTTAAATATGATTAAAATAAAAATAAGTAGATTTTAAATATGTTCTTTCCAATATATAGATCCAATGGACAACTCACTCCCAACCTGCATATTAGCATGATAAAATGGGTTAGGTTAAAAAAATTAGCATGAATATCTCAACCAATACTTTAGATGGGTTAACCAATTGGGTCGCTCACTTCGTAAGTATCTTGAATTTAACAAGGAGGGATTTTGCATATAGTGTATTTTTCAGAGTACACTACAATATTTTTTATAAATTGATTTTTTTTATTGAAAATAACATAATATCACGTAATTTAATATATTGATAACATTCAATTCTAAGGTATTGAATGTAGAAATATTTGCTAACTTGATAACCAACTAAAGTTGAGTGTAGTTCGATTGTTTAACATTATTCTTGACTTAATTTGCTTCATAGATTTGATAATTAATCATAGACAATCATTAATTAATCAATTAGCTACATGCATTCAAGAACGACTAATTCTCAAATGCCAAAATTAGATAGAGCCTATGTTTGGATACGCGTTGCCTTGAACATAAACTTGTGTTTACTTCCAATGCTCTGAAGATTTGTGTTGGATGAAACGTGTATGAGCATATGATATGTTACAATGCAACCCAAGTACACTAAAAGGAACACAAAATTATATTAAAAGTTGGAGAAAATTTCATAATCAAATTACAATATCCTCTATAATCTTAATTATATTTTCTTATTTTTATCGTTAGAAATTTTTAAAAAATTACTGTCTCTTTTAATTTTAAACTAATTATTTTTAACTATTACACAATTTATACAAATTAGAATGCATCGCATTAAACAATTTAACCGAAGCTCTGGAATGTAGGCTGCATCACATTCCTATGGTTTTGAGATTCTCAGGTGAAATCGAAGCACGTCTTAGCATGTTGTGAATCGTAGAAAAAGTGATAAAACTAGGAACCAAGAAGGATGTCAAACGGATTGTACGCGATTTAGCATTGTCAAGGTACCAAATGTAATTTTCAGTTTTCTTCGATTTCAGTTAAAAATATTGTTATCGAAATTTAAAACAAAAGTAAAAAGATTTAGCATTTTATGATCAAATTTCCCTCTACTTAAGTATCCAGCCATCACCCTATATATTCTCCAATAGATAAATAAAATTCAGATAAATGAGTAATGCATTCAAACTCGAGAGACAACCCTTCACCTCTAAATTTTTATGTAGCAAAAAAATTGCTTTTGCTGGGTCCTCATATTCTGGTTGTTCCACATCGACTTGTTCAGATTCTAATGCAGAATTTTTACTTTGCGAAAGCAAATTGGAGAACATGGTAAACCCCCCATTCATCTTGAAAAGTTGAGCCTGCAGAAGAAATCATCAAGGGGGAGACTACGAGTTATAAAAATAGTTGGTGAAAAAAATATTGCCCGAGACCTAAAGCTTACAAGAAAATATTCCATGTACTACAAATGAAAGTTACCCACATTGAATTCTTGCTCGTGTCAGAGAAGTGGATAGTAGGAATAGAGTTGTACTTTTTAATTTCATACAATTAAATTCAAAACCAGAACAAAAGAACCAAAGAGCCTGCACAATTCAGAACAACTGAAGGACTTCTACACAGGATTGTGATCAAACCAGTTATTGTTCACGATTGTTGAGTGTCAAAGATTAAGCCAAAATTATCTAAGAATCAAATGTTATATACCCCAAGTTTCCAAGTTTTTTCACATAAAGAAAGCATTTGCATAACACGACCAAGCCAGCAACTGGTATCCAAGTGTATGTAGTAAACCTTGGGAAACTATTAGATCAATGTTGTGTTGGGCATTTGCATCATGTTCTTTTCCCACGATATGAGAAAGGGAAAATAAACACGTGAGTAAATTTATAAGCAGAGAAAAGTACAATCCAAACAGCTAAAAATAAAATTGGAACAAAGCAGTAACTATTTGTGCAAGATAAAGAAGAAAAGAGAAATTTCAGAACAAGAGACACAAAAACACAACATGCTTAACTTAGCAACTCTGACTAGTAAGTGCATCCTAACAAAGCAATTTTTTTTTTTCAATATTCAGATATAAAAGAACCGAGTCCACAAGTTTAATGTCTTCAATCAGAAGCAAAAGAAGTGTAGCATCTTATTATTGTTATTTGGACACTTCAGCAGCACAAATCAGGCAAAGAAATCCCATTCTTCTACTCATGGAGAAACGAGGCCAATCGCTTGATCAATTTCGTGGCATTTGCAGACTCTGGATGGAAGATATGATAAACATGATCCTCTTCAGTCTCTTCAAACAGTTCCAGTTTCCCTTGCCACCCACTCTTCTTGACAATCTCATAGTACCAAACCCCTCTATCTCTTACGTTATCCTTGCCAGCAACACAGACAATGATCTTGGAACACCCAAGTAAAGCCAAGCTTGGAGCCCCAGGTGCCACGGGGTTAACCATGGGGTTATCAATGCCACCAGGTGCAGAAGGGTACACAAAGTTCCAAATCAAATAACTTAAGTTCTCTTCAGGCCTTGTAACAAGTTCTGGTCCAATTGGGTCTGAGCTACAGAAATAAGGGTGGGACAAAATAGCTCCTAATATTTTGACACCACAAGGTAAAGCCTCAGTCCCAGCACGCATGGCAATGTTATGCACAATATTACCACCTGCACTGTCACCCCCTATAAAAATTCTGTTGAAATCACCATGTTGAATCAACCATGGCTCTGCATTGGTGTGGTTCTTTGCAGAATTGGATGCTACCCATTGAAGTGCAGCCCAGCAATCATGGTAACATGCTGGGAGAGGGTGTTCTGGAGCAAGCCTGTACTCCACAGAAACCACAATAACGTTTGTTTGGGAAACAAAGGTGTTGAAATGGTCATGGTAGAGCTGAGAGAAAGCAGATTCAAAGAAGAACCCACCACCGTGAAAGTAGACCAAGATGGGAACCTTCTGAACTTGATCTTGGTCACTGAAAGTAGTGAATTTTGGAAGGAAAAGACGAGCAGAGATTGAGGGGTCGTGTGAGATGACTATGTCTTTGGATGAGATTCCTGTTCGTGGGTCATCAAGCAAGGCTGGAACAAATGGTGCTTGTCGTGGGCGTTCCACTGTGCCATCACTGAAGACTCGGATATAGGTTGGTATCTCTGCAACAATCTCTTTAGTATTGATGGGTTTTGTGGAAGCCATTTGCATTCAAGCACACAGAAAGACTTGTTAAAATGGATGAGTTTGCTTTCTTCGAGAGAAAGAGGTGCAATAATTTTCTTGAGACTTTAGCTAATGATTGATTGGGGAACGTAATAATTGATAAATGCGACCCCAAGACAACTCGATGCCCGGAGGGGATTCGATTAACGTCAAAGACGACAACGGAATCATTGAAAAAAACAATACAATTCTTGACTTTTACGATTTGTATGGACATGTGGGTGTGGAAAAGGATTTTGTAGGTCCTGCCGCGATTCTGACCAAACATTACTTATATAAATTTTATAATTTATAAAAAAAGTTTGACAGAAAATAAAACGTGATAAGATATAAGTGACATGGACCCATGATTTCAGATTACCTAATAATTGCTCGTGAAATATATATAAAAAAATAACAATAAATGGAATAAAAATAAAATAAAGAAAAATATGATGCTTAAATGAATAAAAATAAATTAAGTCTTCCTCACGAAATCCTTCGAAACAAGCAAAGCTAAACAGTGTATCAATCGAGAATCATGCTCCGTCGGAATTTCTCAATTTTTTTTTTCTTTTTTAAAAAGGATATAAGGTTTTAATCAAGAAAAGGCATTGTTTATTTTTGTGTTTGCAGAATCACTAAAACTGTAAATTAATGAGTGGGGATGGTAGGGCAAAAGGCGCATTCATATGATTCCTTTGGCTTTTTTTAGTGGTCGCACTTTGGTAAGTGCAATATTATATATAGCCTTTCATTTTAATCCAATTGGGTTTGCACAAAATTGAGATTTATAGCTTTGAGCCAATGATATTTTAGTGGATGGTTGGATCCAAAATCACAAGGCTAAATTTTAGCAATTAAAGGAAATGAGTTAGAGGAGCTCTTTGAGCTCCATCCTTTTCCTCTTCTTCTATTTTCATGATTTCTCTATAAATGGGCTTTTCTTATTTTTGATTTATTTTTTTGGAATTTGTTGCCTACTTCTATTCAGTCCGTTTGACGTTGAATTTGTGCATTTTGAAAATAGTTGGACTTCATTTGGTTTTGAATAATTGTGTGGCCAAGTAAAATTTGTTGGATATAGAATTTTACCACAGAAAGACGTGTCAGGTTGTGGATTACATATTGAGACTAACTTTAATGCGGTTGCATCCCTGTTTCTTACTTCAAATTTGTAAAAAAAAAATGCTTTTTGTGTTGCCACGAATCGATGCTTATAAAAGCAATTAAAATTTCATCTATTCTTTTTGTTTTACACAATTTGATAGTGAAAAAAGAGAGAGAAAGGAACGGTAATGTTATTGAATATGCTTCGATTACTGATCAACAGCTAGCCGTGTCAAGATACCTTTTTTCTGATTAAAAAATTAAAATGTCTACAAGATATAAATTGACTCCATTTTTGTCCTGTTGGTTTTTATTTATGTATTGATAATCTATAGGATTACAACTAACAATGACAAATTGACATACGTAATATTTGTTCTGCTATGTAGCTTTTCTGGTAAGAGAAAAGCTATGCCCCAGAGTAACTTTACAGTTTTGTTTAAGGTCTTAAATTTCTTCCTGTTAAATAACAGTTGAATGATTGCTGTCTTTGTGAACCAAAACCTTAATATAAGTAATTTGCTACATAAATTGATTCAAATCTTGGTAGATTGAGCATGTTCATGTGAAGATCAATTGATCAAGAATGAATTTCTCTACCTTTAGGTTCAATAAAATTTTAATCTCCTCAGAATGCAGCTTTCATGTGTTTGCTGTTTATTTTATGAGAAAATAAATTGGGTCTTTGAGCTTCTGAAGACTAACATTGCGGTCAAACCGGAAAGATTGAATCTTCATGTACTCAATCTGGCTTAACATTTTAATATTTCTATTGACACAAAAATTGCAATAAACTAGATAGAGTCACAAACTTACAATGCAAAAGTGTATATGTGAAAAATATGAACCTCAATTCCATCAAAAACATTATTTTGACAGCTTTGTAGTATCAAACCCGTCAACTTTGTAAAACATATGAGTAAATTTAAAAGAAGAGAAAAGTATAGCCCAAACGGTTAAATAATAATAATAAGAATAAGCCATAATGCAATAATGCGATATGCGTCAACAAGAAGAAATGAGAAAGCCGAGAACAAGGGACACGACACGAGTACATGAAAGCATTTAAATTTAAAATTTTCAGATGTTGAAGAAGAGCTGGGTCATCTGGTTAGTCTTCAATTATTCGCAAAACAAAGAAAGCATCTTTTGATTGTCACAATAATTCGCAAAACAAGAACAGGACAAATCAAGCGAACACAGTTTCTTTCACTGGAGGAGAAACGAAGCCAAACGCTTGATCAATTTCGTGGTATTCTCAGACTCTGGATGGTAGATATGATAAACATGTTGCTCTTCAACCTCTTCAAACAGCTCAAGTTCCCCTTGCCACCCACTCTTCTTCACAGCTTCGTAGTACCAAACCCCTCTATCCCTCAGCATGTCCTTCCCAGCAACACACACAATAATCTTGGAACACCCAAGTAGAGCCAAGCTTGGTGCTCCAGGAGCCACAGGGTTGATCATGGGGTTATCAATGCCACCAGGTGCAGATGGGTACACAAGGTTCCAAACCGCATTGAGGGTGTTCACCTCAGGCTCTGAACCAACTGGGTATGAGCTACCAAAATAAGGGTGGGACAAAAAAGCTCCTATTATTTTAGCATCACAAGGCAAAGCCTCTGTCCCAGCACGCATAGCAATGTTGTGCACAATATTACCACCTGCACTATCACCCCCTATGAAAATTCTGTTGAAATCACCATGTTGAATCAACCATGGCTCTGCATTGGTGAGGTTCTTTGCAGAATGGGATGCAACCCATTGAAGTGCAGCCCAACAATCATGGTAACATGCTGGGAGAGGGTGCTCTGGAGCAAGCCTGTAGTCCACAGAAACCACAATAACGTTTGTTTGGGAAACAAAGGTGTTGAAATGGTTATGGTAGAGCTGAGAGAAAGCAGATTCATAAAAGAATCGACCACCATGGCAGTAGACCAAGATGGGAATTTTCTGACGCTGATCTTGGTGACTGAATTTGGTGAGTTTTGGTAGGTAAAGGCGAGCAGAGACAGTGGGATTGAGTGAGAAGACTACGTCTTTGGATGAGATTCCTGTTTGAGGATCATCGAGTGAGGGTGGAGCAAATGGTGCTTGTCGTGGGCGTTCCACTGTGCCATCACTGAAGACTCGAATATAGGTTGGCATCTCTGTCACAATATCTTTGGCCATGGCTGTTGTTGAGAGAGAATGGTTTGCAATGTTTCAAATGCGGGGGCATTTTGCCTTTGATTATTTGGGACAGTTTTATAAGCATAACTCTACAATGTTGATGGGATTGGATTAAGAAGTTTAATTGATATGTTAATTTCTAGAAACTATATCGGCGGCTTTTCTTGTGTAATCGTTGAAATACGGTCACTACGTAATTTATATACAAATTATAATTAGGGATAAAATATGTTACGTCAGTAAAGACGTAAGCCATCATCTGTATTACTGGTGCTTGCTGATGCCTAAGACTTTACCAGTTAAATTAATATATATAATTAAAATGATAATTTTTTTAGTAGCATATTTAAAGATGATAATAATAATGTAAAATTGTAAAATTATGTTTTTAATTTAAAAAATTAAGTTTTTAATTTATATTTATATTTAAATTTATTAGCATGTTTAAAGATAATTTTTTTATCTATTAAAAATACTTTATTATAAAGTAAATTTAATGAATTTAGAGTCACATAGATATTTTAATTTAATTAATAGTCTTAAATTCAAGTGCTAAAAATATAATTTTGATATAGATTTGAAGAAATAACTTCATTTTTATTATTATCATGATACAAACAATATTGTGTTTATAAGTGTAGGATTAAAAAAAAATTCAAGTATGTAAGGCCTCACGAAATGCCCATATCTAATATTAATAGATTAGACTTGGACCTTGGACCTTGATTTTAATAATTAGAATAGGTTCAAGCCCCGGCAAATTCAACCAATTTCCATGCTTACTTTGAATAAAATTAAAATAATATTTAATTAAATATGCATTTTCTAAAATATATTTTAGATTCATTAACACTTATAATAATAATAATGTGATGTTATATTATTATATGCATACTTAATTCAATGACTTAAGTTTACTAATTAATTTTCAGATAAATTTATATATGTGTGGGTAAAAGGAAATGCTTGAAAACAGAAAATACAGAAAGGATATAGTTGTTCTACTCCTGAAGAAAAGAAGCCAAGCGTTTGATGAACTTGTAGGCATTCTGAGATTCAGGACGGAACAAATGATAAACATGGCCAGCCTCTTTCTCTTCAAACAATTCAAGCTTCCCTTGCCATCCACTCGTCTCCACAGCTTCATAGTACCAAACCCCTCTATCCCTCAGCGTATCCTTTCCAGCAACACACACAATAATCTTGGAACACCCAAGTTCAGCCAAGCTAGGTGCCCCTGGACCCACAGGGTTAAACAGTGGGTTATCAACCCCACCAGGTGCAAAAGGGTACACAAGGTTCCAAACTACATGGCTTAAGTGCTCTTCCCCTGTAACGGTTTCTGATCCAACAGGACTTGAACTGTGAAAAAATGGATGAACTATAATAGCACCTGATATTTTAACCCCATTTGGCAAAGCCTCAGATCCAGCACGCATGGCCATGTTATGAGCGATATTAGCACCTGCACTGTCACCCCCTATGAAAATCTTGTTGAAATCACCATGTTGGATCAACCATGACTCTTTTTCTGTTTTGGTAGAGTGTGATGCTACCCATTTGAGAACATCCCAACAATCATGGTAACATGCAGGGAGAGGGTGTTCCGGGGCGAGCCTGTACTCCACCGAAACGATTATAGCGTTTGTTTGGGAAGCAAAGGATTTGCAATGGGCATGGTAGAGTTGGGAGAAAGCAGATTCAAAGAAGAACCCACCACCGTGAAAGTAAACCAAGATTGGAACTTTGCTTTGGTGCTTCAGTTTTGGAAGGTAAATGCGTGCAGCAATTGTAGGGTTGTGTGAGATGATAACGTCCTTTGACGAGACTCCGCTTTGTGGGTAATCGAGTGTTGGTGGCACTATTGGTGAGCTAAGTGGTCGTTCTATGGTGCCATCGCTGAAAATCCTCATCATGGTACCAAACTCACGACTTGCTAGCTCTGTGATCAGAGTGTTGTTTGCACCCATTTCCATTAATTAAGGACAAACCTTGTTGCTCTTCACAAAGTGTTTCGTGTTTCGTTTGGCTCGCACTTGCTAGAACTCACAAAGTTTTACGTATAAAGATAAAAAAAAATCATATTAAATATGCTTTAAATGTTTAAACAAAATATGTGAGTCTAAAATTTAGTTTATTTGCGAAGGGGTCTGCATCCCTTACGTGTGGTCGGAATGAAATCCACTTACGTGTGAACCCAATCCACTTACGTGTTTCAATTGCTTGCTCTATTTAAGGAATTTTTTTACGAAAAAAAAAAATCAATTATATAAAAAAATAATAAAATTATTTTTTGTCAAGATCTTATATAAAAATAAAAAAGAACTTTAAAATTTTAAAATTAAATTAGCTCTCAAATTCATTTAATAAGCATATTTTAAATATTTTTTTTAAAATAATATATATATATATATATAAATAATCTTCTCATTCTAATATAAATTTAAAAAATTTTATATTTGATTTAAATTTTTTATTTAATTTATATCTAACTAAAATAATAAATTATAATTCATTAAATATAAGTTAAATAAAAAATTTAAATCAAAATATAAAATTTTTTAAACTTTTATTTATATATATATATATATATATTAAAAATTATATTATCGGTACTTTTTTTATATTTTAAACTTAATATAAAAGAATAGTATGATTCTTTTGAATAATTTTTTAAAATTAAAAATTGTTTGAAATAATTATAACTTTAATTAATTTAAATTATTGCAGCAAATACTAATTTGTTTATTCAAATTATTTTAGTAGATATTATATACTAATTAAATAATTATACCTCCATAAATAATCTAATTAAACATCTATTATCATAAATTTAAGTATAAAATTTATACAAAATAATTTAAAAATTTATATAACTATAAGTTATTTGTATAAAATCCGAAAAAGTTGTTCTAAACTCCCCGTATACCAATATATATATAAAAAAATACCATTACAGTAATATTATTACATAAATTGTATACACTAAGAAAAACAAAACCACACAGAAAATTGATAACAATCCCTTTTGAGTCTCGCGTAAGCTTTAATAACAGCTTAATAAGAGAAAAAGACTATCGGGGGTAGACCTGAGTGATGGATGATTCATCAACAGATGCTGTGACTGACTTGTTTGTAGAGTTATCTGATTTCTCAACTTCAATTGTTGGGAAGCTCTCTTCATTTTTGGTATGAATATAACCTGCAGGCCTTTCAGGTGCTTCAATAGTAACAGAATGACTACTAAGCATTAAAACTACTGTCTGCATTGTTGGCCTTCGAGCTGGATCTTCCTGAACACAACATAACCCAATATGAATGCATCTATTCACTTCAGCCATTGAATATGAATCTCCCAAAGTCCTGTCCACTAATTCCAATGGCATCCCATCCCTCCATTTTTTCCAGGCCTGCAAATAAAATACACATTAGGCATAAATCAAGAAACAAGAAATTTAATTTGGTCCCTTCTAATTTATGTTCCTTTATAATATGGTGTCAGGGACAATTGGTTCTACCAAAGAAGAAACCAAACTCACAAAGTTCAAGAGGTCCTCAGCATAGCCTGATTCATGGAAGGTTGTGATCTTCTTTCCACTTATTATCTCTAGAACAAGGACACCAAAGCTATACACATCCGTTTTCACAGAAAAGAATCCTTGCATTGCATATTCTGGTGACATGTAACCACTGCAAGCACAACAAATTAGTGGAGGATAGACATTTGGAATTTCAAGTAATAAAAAAATTTCCCAATTTAATTCAGCATTTTTCATTTATTTTTGAGAAGCGACATTGAAAACACAAATAGGCGGTTCAGGTCACTCAGATTATGAATTTTGCTTTTAGATTGATCCCTTGTTTTGAAGCCTAATTATGAGTATTAGATGACAAAATTAAGCTTACAAGGTTCCAACAACTCTGTTTGTGTTTCCTTGAGTTTGATCAGCACCAAAAATTCTTGCCATCCCAAAGTCTGAAATCTTTGGATTTAAATCCTCATCCAGTAATATATTACCAGCTTTAAGATCACGATGTATAATCCTGAGTCGAGAATCTTCATGAAGATAAACCATCCCACGAGCAATTCCATTTATTATCTTGTATCGTCTTGCCCAATTCAACAGCAGTTGTTTTTCAGGGTCTGTGTTACAAAATAAAATTAGGTTGGAGTTAAGAATAAGAGAAAATGGTATCTAAATTTGATTACACACCACAATCAGCAAATAGAAGATCGTCAAGCATATGTTGATGGACATACCAAATAAAAAATAGTCAAGGCTTTTGTTAGGAACAAATTCATAAATGAGCATCTTTTCTTCTCCATCCAAGCAAAATCCTAGCAGCCTAACAAGATTTCTGTGTTGTAATTTGGCTACCAAAACCACCTCATTCTTGAATTCTTCTGTGCCTTGCCTTGAGCTTCTTGATAGCCTCTTCACAGCGATATCTTGCCCATTAAGTAATGCACCCTGAAAATTCATATTTCTCCACACTTTAGAAGCTCTAAAGTCTAAATTTAAGCAGAAGAATCCAAATTTTTTTATAGAATCACTCATTATTCTCAAATTTATAGTACCTTGTAAACTGCACCAAATCCTCCTTCCCCTAATTTGTTGTCATCACTGAAGTTGTTTGTGGCCGCAATTATTGTGTCAACATCGAATTGCAAGTACTCTACACTGGAAATTTGAACTGCAGAGGCTGGAAAAAAAAATCGCACACCGAGAGAGAAAAGAGCTAAAAAAAATTTCATTTCACGATCAAAGATAACATTTTATACATGGACTTCAATATCGTCCGTTGGCCATAGCAACAAATCATAAGCTTGGATGCTAAAAGAATTCAATGAAAATAGCTTTTAATATATTTTTTATTAATTTATATAAATTAATAATATGTCATACCTTATATTTTGTCAATCGGGATAAAAAATTTAATTCAAACTAGAGAGTTACATAGACTAATTATAAATAATTAAAATTAAACAGATTAAAATTATGTATAAATTAATGTATTGAGGTCAAAGTGTAATTAAACTTTATTATTTTTATCGCTCATTTACTTTTTTATATATAAATATTCTAAAAATATATCTCATTTACAAAATAAACACTCTTTAGTATCTTATCTTATTGATTGAAAAATATTTTTCAGCAAAGATAGACCTTTTATTGGTCTAAAAATTGGAAATAAAATAGCATTCGTATAATTATTTATAAAACAATCCAAAGTAAAGATAAAGAGTAATCAAACCTTACCATTTTGTTCTGCCACGGGAGAGTATTTGTCTCTTCTTGCCATTATGATCGAGCAGCCAACGAAGAAAAGCAACAAAAAAAGCAGAATTGGAGCTACAATTGCGATTATTATCCCTCGCGATATCCTTTTTCCTGCATCAACCAATCATCTTCCACTAAATTACCATTTAATCATCATTTTTTATACATGCAAGTGATATCACTCAATGAAAAAGGGTTAATATATTAATTTTTTAAAATTAATTATAAAATTATACATTTATATTTATTTAAAGTCAAATTCTATTATCATATTAATTATTAAAAAACAAAAATTTAGTATTTATAAAAGATAAATTGTTAAAAATAAATAAACAAAAAGAGATAAAAAAAAAAGGGCTCAATTTTAAATATTTTTAATAAATTAAGGAAAAAAACATAAATTCATATAATAAACTATATTAAATATATTTCTGTTACACTGTCCCTGCAAAGTGGGAATTACATAACTAAAGAAAACGCCTTGAATCTGTTATAAAGAAAAGAAGTAATACTCGGACATAGAAACAGAGCAGGGTACCTTTGGGGATGGGCTTGGGTTGTTGTGGGCTGGGCCAGGGGGAACCTTGAGAGTGTCTCTCGGTAGAATGGGTAAAGCTCGTACCTGATATTACAACTCGAAAACAGCACCCTTGCCCCGGGCCTCCCATCACAACACGACGGTAGCTCCGAAACTCCTTCTTTCAGACATTTTTCGCAGTCTAACTCCGACAAATCCGGGCTGCACTGTGCCAACGTGTACAACGTTTGGAAGCTCGAAAAATTTGCTTCTTCGGTCGCAAACTTCTTCTCTCCTCCACCCTTCGCCGCTTCCTCTGCCGCCGCGTTCATTGTGTCACTCAGCACTTCCCGGAACCGATCCTGCTCCGCCCCTGACACACTCCCTGTGTTGTAAAGAAGTTGCTCAGCTTTATCATCGTTTCTCGAGAAGAACGACTCGTCTGAGTAACGTATCATGCATTCTGCGAGCCAAATCACTGATTCCTTCTCGACGGGACACGTTTCAAGAAGCAGTTTCGCCGCGGTGGAAACGCAGTCTTGGCACTCGTTGGCGGTGCGATCTCCGCGGCAGAGAAAGGCGCCGTACACGGTGCTGTTGGCACCGACTGTGGTGTTGTAGTAACCGTTTTTGCGTGTGGAGTTTGATGAAAGAAAAGATAGGAGTTCCTTTAGATTGGTTTCGTAGGTACTGTTGGGAGCGAAAGTAGTTGTGTTTGGACAGACAAAGGAGACGTAAGACTTGTCAGTGGCTGCTTTCGTTGTGGTTATCACAGTAACGCTGGCAGTGAAGCAAAACAAAACATAGGCGTAGGTAACAACGGAAAAAGTAGGCATGTTTTGTTCTTGCTGTAAGGGATACGGTTCTTGTGTAATTGGATTTCACTTCTTTATGGTTTTTCTTTACGTGTGAGTTGTGGAAGTGGTTGTATAATCCGTGGACTCACTGTGCTCCCAAGGTCCATTGCTTTGATAATTATTCACGGGAAATTAATTAACTTAATCATGGTTAACTTTAGGTGTGAAAAAGATATCCCATGAACTGCAAAACACACATTGTTCGGCGTTGACGCAGGGTCAAGTCTTTGGAGTGAGACACAAGTGAAAGAGGACAAAAAATAAAAAGAAGAAATCACAAGACATTTTAGGAAGGAAGAAGTTCATTGCGGTGAAAGGGACTGATATCTCCTTAGTACGTAACATGCATTCAATATCAACAGAAAATAAATCTCTCATTTGTCGATTGAATGGATATTTTAAGAAAGAGAGAGAGAGAGAGCTAACCCAATGCATAAGTACGTGGAAAAAATGCTTGTTCTATTGTAAACGCAATAATAATTAGTATAAATAATAAAAAATTATTTGACCAATGTTAAAAGTTCCTATTAGTTACGTGTTAATGAAGTATTGGTAATTTACGTTTTGTTTGGATGATAAAAAAAATACATATCCATTAAATGAATAAAAATAGAAAATATATTTTTTAATTTATTTGAATTAGTAAAAAAATATAAAAATTGAATATAATAACCTTTCCACCCGTCATCTACCGCCAACCATGTTATTATTTATTACAGACTCTGACCAACTGATTAGGTGACAGATATTTCTTTGAACCAAGCCATTCAGGAGACCCCTTTTCACAAAGGGTTAGAGGTCAATAGTAGAATGACCGCAAACTACAGTCGGTTGTTATGATATGTAAGCGCTTTGAAAAGTAATTGCGAATTCTGGTATCATACACTGAATCAGTATTCAGAAGAGAGACAGTTGGTTTACAATTAGACACAAAACGATGCTATGATATGTGAATTTCAATCATGATCGTGTTATTCATAATTTAACTATACAGATTATTTCAAATCAAACGTTGTTTTCTACTATCACATATCTAAATAAAGTTTATTAATAGTTTCTGTCCATCATTTTTGTCAAAAGCTAGCAGCAGAACTAAGAGCACAACAACAATAACGCAAAAAGTAATAATAATCCCAGCTATATATATATATATATTAAACACAAGTCACAAGCCCTCATATATGAGCACTGTGCAATAAAAATAACCACGTGAAATTACCTTTGCTAGTTGCTGCTTAATCTTTAAAATGAGAAAGGAAACATTGGAAACAAATTCATTTCAATTAAGGAACTAAAAGCTTCTGTATTGTGTAAGTGTAACCCATCCATACTCATCCACATCTCAAATATGACTGGACAACCTCACCCGCCCAAAACAAAAAAAGCTTCATCTATCACAAATCAGGATGCATAATAACTATTCCTTATTAATTTTTATAAGGACACGACTGCATAATTTATTAGACCGCATCATGAACTCAAAAATTTCCCATCAAATATTCGGAATCTCTATGTTCCTGTCCCCGTCATCCTTCCCTTGCCCTTATTATGCCTCTAAAATAGATCAGGCAAGATGTGTTACGGCTCCAACCACTGTCAACAAATGAGCTGTTGATGTTGTGGCTTAAAAAAACATTTCAAGTAAAATAGTAGCTCAGCAATTATATATATATTTTTAACTGATAAAGAAATGTGTTAGAAAGAAAAATACGAAATTACAACTAAATCTAAAATTTTACACGACAATTATGATATATGCCATATACACACACAATACAGAGCTCAGTCCAACGGGAGAGTCCTAGTCATGGGACATGTTAGCATCTGAAGTTACAGAGAAGAAAATGCGTCATGCACAAAACTAAGGGGCCTGTGAGGATGAGCATTCTTAAACCTTGATTCTTTAACTAGTCTTGTAAAACACTTGTTAGTCACGCCCAAAATTTATATAACAAATAAATAACAATAGAGGAGTTAAAAAAAGGAGTGGTAACAAAATACTGAGTACCCTCTTTTTAAAATAATCTCTACTATAGGTTAAAAATTCATTTAAAATTATAAAATTAAATATTCGCTAACAATGTGTTTAAAGAAATACAGATATATGTGTTGAATATCTTATTAGCATTTTAGTAATAACAATATTTATTTTTAACCCACGTACTCATTGTGGAGATCAATTTGGATTATGGTGTTTGGAACTCGGGATACTATAACTAAACGACAAAGATTGGACAAGTCAACAATAGGAAAAACATAAAATTGCACCGGAAAACGAGGTCTTATCCATCCCCGTAACAAGGAAGATAATAGAGCTTAACATTATAAAGGATAAACCGTACACCAACCAAAGGATCATGATAACTCCATCTAACAAAATCTAATTGCGGATGAAAGAAGCCATGAGGTTGATCAATTTATGGGCAGTCTCAGAATCTTGATCAAGTGCAGGTTTGAGCAAATGATAAACATGGTCCTCATCTTTCTCTTCAAAGAATTGTATTTCCCCTTCCCAGCCACTCTTCTTCACAGCCTCATAGTACCACACACCTCTCTCCCTCAAACCATCTTTGCCAGCAACACAAACGAAGATTCTAGAACACGCAAGTTGAGCCAAGCTGGGTGCCCCAGGAGCCAAAGGGTTAATGCAAGGGTTATCGATGCCACCCGGAGCCGATGGGTACACGAACTTCCAAACCAAATTGAAAAAGTTATCGTCGAGCCCAATAACAGGTTCTGACCCAACAGGGTTTGAGGAATAGAAGTAGGGGTGGGCCATAATGGCGCCCATTATTTTAACATTACCAGGTAAGGCCTCAGGCCCAATACGAAAGGCGAGAATGTTATGCACGATGTTTGCGCCTGCACTGTCACCTCCTATGAAAACGCTGTTGAAGTCGGCGTGCTCAATCAACCACGGCTCCGCGTGGGTGGGCTTTTGGTTAGAATGGGCCAAGACCCATTTGAGAGCGGCCCAACAATCATCGTAGGCGGCGGGAAGAGGGTGTTCTGGAGCGAGCCTGTACTCGACGGAAACGACAATGGCGTTTGCTTGAGGGACGAAGTTAAGGAAAAAAGTATGGAAGAGTTTGGAGAAAGAGGATTCGCAGAAGAATCCACCTCCGTGAAAGTAAACGTAGACGGGAAGTTTGAGAGGTTTGGATTGGGTGAGTTTTGGAAGGTAAACCCGTGCTGAAATTGGAGGGTCTTGTGAGATGAGAATGTCTTTGGAGGAGAGTGAGGCATTATACGACGGTGGGACGATCGGAAAATTGCGAGGGCGTTGGACGGTGCCGTCGCTGAAGACGCGGATCCAGGTGGGGATCTCTGTAACCATTTCTTTGCTATTTAGGGAAGCCATAGGGATAGGGTTACTGAGTGAGAACGGAGAAGGCTCTATCAAATACAAATATCAATATATCGTTTATAATTGGAATACTCACACTTATAAAATGAATTTCACAGTTGACTTTCAATGGAGTCTATAAGAAAGTTAAGTAGGCGCGTCGTTCGAGCTGACAGCTCTTATCAAAACATGGAATATGGATCATGGATGGACGTTTTTGTCCAATAATATTATTTTATTATTTTTTTTTATCTTCTAGGTGTGTAGAATTTTTAATCATATCAAACACAGGAAACTGTAGAAAGATTGTTCTAATCGACTTTAAAATTACTTGAGACAATAAATGTAGGACCGGAATACTCTTGCGCAAACATGAAGGTGATGTTATCGTATTTTTATATTTTTGTTTAAACAAAAAATAATTCATTTAAACAGGTGGGATCTTTTCCCAATAAATGTGAAGGAAGGCACAGAAATTACAGGCCACGTGATTCATGAAAGTTTTGTGCACTGAATTTCGTACTAAACAGTAAACTCCTTAAATAATGACGATGATTTTTAAGTTTAGAAATACTTACAAGTTAAAGACCGTACAAGACAAGAGAAAGAATTAGAATCCGAAAATAAAAAATTACGAGTAATTATAGTTGAAAGAATTTTTGCCTGTAACCTTATTTTCGTTGTCATTGCTTTCTCTTGGGAGCTGTTGTTCCAAGTGCTGTAAGCTTTGCTGCATCATCATCTACTTTTTATTGCCGTTGGAGAACGAATAATAAGGATACTCATGCCCTATCCTTGTGCAGTTGTGGTTATTAATGCAACATTAAGGGTGTTCTGGGTTTGGAATTGGTCAAAGGTGCGTTCCCGATTAGGGAAGGTGTTTGTGGTTATAGGTTTCGGTTTTAGTGTTGGGTTATGTACACAGGGTTCGTGGTGGGTGCAAGTGAAACTGCACCACCAAATGCTGCTGAAGAAGATGATGCTCCTCAGCGCTTGGACGTTGCTGGCGTTCATATCGTACTGTGTTTCATCAAAAGGTTTTTCGATGGAGATTTAAATTGGAGAATTTTGTTTGTTAACGGTAAGCATAATAAAAGAAAAGTGAATTGATGCTGAAAAATATATTGAATTATTGTGATAAGCATTAAATATAGAGAATGATTTAAGGGTCTTATATGGATAATAAGTAAGAGAATGAATAAAAAAATGAGTCTAATAGAACTCTATCTAAAATAACTAATCACAATATTAGGTTGCAGATATTTTGATGGCAGATGAAAGACCCGAATAGCTCCAGTAAGCATTTTATCTTTGACAAAGTATAGATCAAGTTCAAAATATTTAGTTCAAGAGTGCATGATAGGGTTAGCAGCCAACAACACAGCACTAAGATTGTCAAAGTAGATTGTTGGAGCAGCAGTATTCACTTGAAGTTCACTAAGAAGTGATTTGATCCATACAATGTCAGCAGTAACAGCAGCTAAACCCCGATACTCGGCTTCGATATCGCTTCTAGAGACGGCACATTGTTTCTATGATGACCAAGACACAAGATTGTTCCCAAAGTACACACAATAGCCAGTTGTAGACTTTCAATCATCCAAGTTAGAACTCCAATCCGAATCTGAGAAGGCCATTAAGTTCAAAATAGTTGGTCTTCTGAAGTGTAGACCAAGTAAAAGATAGATCCAAGAATATTTTGAAAAGGCATCAAGGAAAACTATATAATATCTACCACTAGTAGAAGTTGCAACGGGAGAAAGGCCCCAAATGTCTGAGAAAACTAACTGAAGAGGAGTATGATATTCTGAATTTGAATTTATAAAAGGGAGCTGATGAGCTTTGCCCATGCAACATGACTCACACAATACAAAATTTAGAAAATGATGATAAGGAATGTGACTATTTCTTAAAGCTTCTTTAAGAACTCTAGAAGAGGGAGGACCTAGCCTTGAGTGCCAAAGAGTAAAGTTGTGGTGAGATGAACTCCTCTGAGCAGAAAAAGCTAAAGCAAGTTGAACCTTGTGCATGGGTGGGAAAACATATAAACCTCCTCCAAATTTTCCTTGAAAAAATGTCTCCGAAGTACCCTGAGTTTTAACAGTATAAAAATCAGGATAAAATTAAAAAAAGACACCATTATCCGGAGCAAATTGTGACACGCTAAGAAATTTTTTGTTATGGAAAAAACATGAAGAAGATTATTAAGAATGACAGTTTTAGAGAATTTAGGGCAATGCAAATATGAATGACCAACATAATGTATATCTAAGCCTGTACCATTACCAATATTAACTTTTTCAACCGGTGTAAGGACTCTTAACAAACAGGGTGGAATCATCATGAGTGATGTGGTGAGAGACACCTAAATCTGGATACCAAAGAGGATCCACTACTATAAACGGTGTGGCCAGCATTGTAGCATCACCTAATGCATTGTTGTGATGATAAATTTGAGAGATATGGGCCTATGGTTGAGTCTGATACTCCTAATTATACCTGTTCCAGCAACCAAGAGCAATATGGCTATTTTTCCCACAAAGTTGGCAAGAAATTTTCACCTGATCCCATGCATTGTGACTATTCTAATTCTATTTTGTCCTTCCACTGCCTATGCTACCATAGCTTCTACCAAAACTGTTCCGTAATCCACCTCTTTGGTTGAACCTGCCGCCAGGAAAACACCTCGGTAGTTATTGTTGCCTCTACCATAATTGCTGCCATTGTTTTTCCATTGTGCAGGTACTGAGGCAGTGTTAGCATGAACAAGACTTATTGAGTTTTCTCTTGTCAAACTTCTCTTCTTATGCAAGGAGAGCCTCGATCTTATCTACTGTGTATGGATCAATTCAAGATGTGATGGAAGTCACAAAACTATCGAAATCATCAAACAAACCATTAAGAATCACATCAATGTGATCTTCTTCTGAAATTTTGACTTCTACTGCAGCAAGTGAATCAATGATTTTCTTAATTTCTAATAGGTAATCGTTAATACCTTTTTCCTTCTTAATCATACACAACTGAAGCTTCAATTTCTTGATCTTGCTACACATGATGCTCGTAATCTTGACTTATGGTTTTGCTCGTCGCATCCTCCTTTGTCACAAATTTTTCCGGAGTATTCTTATTAGTGATGAACTTCTCAGGCTTTAATTCACGAATACTTGCAAGGACTTGTTGCTACCACACCAAAAGATTTTCATCGTCTAATTTGATTGCAATTGGATTATGAAAAGTTTACAGTTTAAACGATGTTTGTGTAGCGAAAGACATGTCTGATGGATCTGTGCTTTGATACCATGTTAACGATAAGCATAAACAAAGAAAAGGGAATTGATGCTGAAAACTATATTCAATTATTGTAATAAGCATAAAATACGAAGAATAATTTAAGGGCCTTATACAGGCAAAGTAATAGAATGAGTAACAGAATGAGTCTAATAGACCTCTATCTTATCATAACTAATGACAGCTAAAGTAACTAATCACATCTAAGCAAATGATCTCATCATAAAAGAATTAGTTTAATCTAACTAACTTTACTATCTTTGACATTGTTTAAAACTTGAATTTCGAATGATTCATTTGTTGTTATGAACATCTAAGCAAATGATCTCATCATAACAGAATTAGTTTAATCTAACTAACTTTACTATTTCTGACATTGTTTAAAACTTGAATTTCGAATATTCATTTGTTGTTATGAACATCAGAACATATATCTGCGTATAAGTGTTATATTGACAGCAACTGACAAAATCTATTGAGAGTTAACCTTTCCACCCTAAAAATATCCTAAAATTAAGAGTCACTTTAATGCCTCCTTTTATAAATAATTATAGTTAATATTATATTAAATATATGAGTTAATGGTATGTTATGTAATATATATATATATATTAATTTTTAAAATATTAAAAAAACCATTAACCGTAAATTTAATCAAAATATATAATATTGTTTTTAATTCATAAACATGCATGTTTATTTTATCTACAATGATTAAAAGCTTGCTTGAAATTAAATTATGTGCATTTTATGACTAATAAATTTATTGTTTAATTAATAATTACTTGAATAACCATTTTATTAGATGAGTATATACTTAAATTTTATGGATTTTAATTTAATTTTTAATTTTTAAAAAACTATTACTTTTTTCACATTTTTAGTAATATTTTTAACTAATAATTATATAATTATGTTTTAAAATTAAACTCTTATATTAATACCTTAATTATTCTAGTTATTGTTAACGTATAATATGTTAGTATAAATACTAAGTTGATGCATACTTGATATTGACAAAAAAATATAATTATCTTATTTTATAAAATACATCAAGTACTTAATCAATTATATATAAGCTTAATTTTATATTTGACTTATTCATTGTAAAATTTTTGCCAGATTATAAATCAAAATATTTTTTTTCATTACAATTGATTTGTAATAATAATTAACATTTATTAAAACATAGTAATGTAACTTGATTTAAAGATAATACTTATTTTGATTAATTCGTCAAAATGTTAGAATCATGATTTCCAAAAAATTATAAAAATAAAATAAAATTCCTTCAGAAAAGAACATTGACATGACACTATCTATATTTACATAAGATTATATTATATAACATAATATATAAATATATAAAAGATGACAAATAATAATTATAGATTATTTAAGATATAAAAACAATGATTCTAAAAAGTTAGATGATTCAGTTATTAATTATTGAGAAAAACTTTGATCACTCACTATTATTCGGCTGAAATATATTAAAATTTTATTTTTTTAAAAATACGCGTTCATCTTAATTTTAATTTAATAAATCTCTTATGTTTTATAGTTCAAATAAATTTTAATTATTAAATAAAAATATGTTAAAAATATTTTCCCAACACTTTTATTTATTTGTTAAATTTAAAACCCAATGAAGTCCCAATCTATTTTACTCCATAAATTGAGCTTGGTTAATACATCTCCAGAAGCAAGGTATTAGAGAACTTATCATGTTTTGAGCATGCAACCACTTAGCAGTCTCTGTTGGCCTTTGTCCTGCGTAGATGTTTATGCACGTGCTTGTATAGTTTAGCAAGAAGTCATGATTCGCAGTTTAATCACTGAATAGCTACCATAATTAGATCAAGCTAACTGTACATATAACTAAGATATACTGTTTCTGCCATTAATGAATTATTTCTTTTCATCACAAACCAAGAACTACTTTTGCTGGATTGCATGCATACATAAATATTGAAATTTTCAGCAGTTTCACCAGCATGCTTGGGATATGCGAGTATTTAAATTATTTGCAACAGCAATTTACAACACATTTCCTTGTCGGATGACAGGTTTTTAATGGCCAGGCATAAGTTACTCCAGCCTCACAATTTTCTTGCGGAAAACTGTCATATATACATTGGGGAAGCAATATTTACACCTACAATAATAAAACTCAACCACTGTAATTCCCCGAATGTAGAATCATCCGAGAAAAGAACTATCATGTCATATAACCATCACTTGAATGAGGAAAAAACAATGTTCGTGAAGGTCATAATTGCTATTCTATGATAATGACGCTAAAGACAGAAAGGGGCTTACACCTCATTTGAAAAACAAAGAAGAAGATGCATGACTCAGGTGTCAGATATTTCTTTTAGCCAAGCTGTTAGTGTATACCATACAGGAGACCCCTTCCTGGTTCAACAAAAGGAATAACATCTACAATATTCTGTTCTGTACAGCACAATCGGTTAGAGGTCAAGAATAGAATGACCGCAAACTACAGTCGGTTGTTATGAAAGTTGGCCTTTGTAAGAGCTTTAACAAAATAATTGCGGATCTCTGGTGTTATGCGCTGAATCAGAAGTGAGTGCCTGCAAACAGTTGGTACACACAAAAATATAAAGGGGTGTCGAATTATACAGAGAAACGATGACATGATAAATGAGAATTTCAATCATCATATTCAATTTAAGCATGACAACAACTAAATTATCCATCACAGTATTTCAAACCAAAGGTTGGTTTCGACTCACACAACCTATCTACCATGAAGTTTAATATCCCTGTCCATTTTTGTCGAAAGCAAGCAGAACTAAAAACATAATATGCAAAAAGAGCTAAACAGCCAAGTACCCAACTATATATTGAACACAAGCCACAACATACCTCTCCTCATTAAATTCAATAAATAAATAAAATCATTTCATGGTTCTCGATATAATACAAATATCAAACCCTTTACATCTAATATGAGCACTGTACAATTAAAAAAAAAAAAACCACGTGAAACTATCATTGCTGGTTGCTGCTTAATCTTTAAAGAAAAAAGTACTTTAACTAAAATGAGAAGGGTAACATTGGAAACAAATTCACTACACTGTTCAATATTAACAAGTTTCAAATAAAGGAACCCAAAACTTTTGTATTTTGTGAACCATTGATACTCATCCACATCCCAGATATCACTGGACCCCACTACCCCCTCTTCCAACAATAAATAATCTAATCACTCACAAATTAGACAAGATTCTGAAGAATTAGCAAGGCTGTATATTTTTTTATTGACAACCCATGACAGATGTTCAAGTTTCAATATCTGAATTCCTTTTAAGTCAATAACATGTTTCACCAAACAAACACACAGCACTATTAAACCAGATGACCAAGTTTATTATAACCATCCCACAAAAAGAAATCACATGATTAAAGGTATAGATCAATACCCAGGTCTTGCACTCAATTTATCAAATTGCTCCAAGATAAAAAGAATGCACGCATGCCTCAATGATATAGCATTGAAGGCTTCTGAAAGTTCATACATACTTGACACGTTCTCAAGGGATATATCCTGCAACAAAACCAGGGGGTTGTGAGGAGCCCGCTTCCCAGTCTAATATTTAGTACAGGAACACAGACACAACATTTTTTCCCCAACTCACCTGTGCAATTGTGTACTCACAAAGTCTCTTAAGTCCTTCTAAAAGATATTGATCAGCTGCTCGAAGAAGATCCTGAGCAATATCCAGAGTGACATCAACTGATCCACAATATATAAATCTGGATAAAGATCAAATAAACAATTAAGTATTAGGTTGTACACAAATTATTACAAGTTTTCACAAAACAACTTTTATAAAGCACGAGCCATCACTGCAGAATTTATTAGACCTCATCATCAACTCAAAAACTTCCCATCTAATATTTGGAATCTCAATGTCCCTTGCATCCTTCTCCTGCCATGCAATAGAACAGATTTTTACATCACTGACATAAACAATCACTCTCAGCTTCAAATTAATATTAGAACACAAGTCTTGGTTGTTATATACTTAAGATTTAAATTCACCCTCCAAATCAAAAGCCAAAACCATGAGTGATAAATAATACTTCATGAAACCAAGTGGGTCAATAATGGAGTTTTTCTTTTTCTAGCCATTTTTATTTTGTAATAATATAAAGAAATTAGAAAAATTGCTTATTGTGGTATACTTTTTTATTTGAGGGGCTTTGGGGATGGGAAGGAAGGGGAAAGATGATTCATTGGTGGATCTCAATGTAAACTCACCCTATAACCACCATCAAACATTGCCCGAAACGCATCTGATGATGCAAGTAGACAAATTCTATGTGCATAAAATCGTTTACCTGCAACAATGAACAAAGATAGCTCAGTTAATTACCAATACCCACTGAAGCTACGATGCCGCAATTCAGGGAAGGTAGTTTTCAAGCGACAGTTTGAAGAATGAAACAATGTGGACAAAGTGCATCAACCTTCGACCAAAAATGTAACGTCAGATAATGTAGCATTGTTTACATACTGCTCTCCTAAATAAACCTGCAAGAAAAATCGTCTGTGAATATACAGGACCATCTCCTAAATATACTTTCCTTTATAATTAAAGTCTAGGCAGTGAAAATGTGAAAACCATTGACAAGCCAATTAGATTTAGGCCTACCTGTGGTGTTGGAGAAGGAGGAGCAGCATCCACAGGAGACAGGGTCAAGGCTTTATTGGCCAACTTGCATAAAGCTACAGCACCATCAAGTTGCTGCTTAGAACCAGACGAGCCAAGAAGTCCAATGAGCAAGTCAAGACCTGCATGGACAGATGATCAACTTCAAAATAGAGCAAGCACAAAAGGGAGTTCATAAAACAAGATGAATCAAACTCATGAAAAATATTTTACTAAGAAGATGCATACCATAGTGATCAATAAAAAAATTTCTCTGATCATCTGCAGAACAAAGATGCGCAAGAGCTAATGCAACTCGTCTTTGAACACCCTTTTCGGAAACTCGCATAAGATATAACAGATGATTCAGCACCTACAAAAGCAAAATTAACATGAGCATATAGAACTGATAATCAATATAGTACTGTCAGTAGCACTCCCATCGTTTCCCATGCAATTACAACAAAATGCAGAAAGAAACATGAATATGACATCTTACACGGCCGTGAATCTTCTCCTCTAATCTTTTCAATGTCTTGGCAACACAATCTTTTGTTGCCTGCAATAAAAACCAATTTCATATTGGTCACTGGTCAGTATAGGTCCAAGAAGAATATATTTTCCTTCAGTTCTTAAATTTATAAATATTCACATGTAACCATAAGTATTTTAATTCCCTTCAATATAGCATCCAAGGTTAAAAGGAAAAAACTCTGAAATCAAAGCTAAAGTAGGTATTAAAAACAAAACTTACTTGAACAATAAATTCTCCATCCTGCAGTTTCTGAACTCCACCTACCCTGATGAAATCGGACACATTATCCTATGGGACAAAAATAAATAACCAAAAAACAGAGAATAATTAACTTAGTCTCAAAGTAACAATTTTTTTAAGCAATTAAGACAAGATCATACCTCATTATCTGCAAGGCCATAAAGAGCAAAAGCAGCATTATGTTGCAAAGATCCATTTTTTGAGTCAAGAAGCTTGAGTAATGGAACTAAGCCACCATTGTGTGCAATACCAGCCTGGTTATGAGAGTCCTGAAATTGAGATATGGCCAAAAGAAATGGATATGATGTTAAAAAGAACGTAAAAAACAACCTGTAAATGGAAATAGTGCATAGCACTTGTATATTAAGAACTGCAATATATTTCTAAGCGGACTTCCATCAGTAATAAGCCTAATAAATATAAGGCACAAAGATGGAAATGAATCAAATGCATTACAGATCCAAAAACTATCATATAAAGAATGAAAATACTAACTTATTTACATGAATATAATGACAATTTTAGATTCCTAACTAATGCAAGTGAACTACAAACACAACACAGAAAAGTAGATATAACCTGGGCCAATCTCCCTAATGCAAAGGCAGACATTTCTCTGAGTTGAACATCAGGAGACTGAAGCATCTCTATCAAAGGTTGGACAGCACCTCTCTGTACAATGTGAACCTTAAAAAGACCAAGCAGAAAAGATGGTAAGAACTAAGGGCAACAAAACAGAATATAAAATACATAATCACAAGATCAGCACCTATAGTCCTATAATATCCAGTACTCTATGAAAATCAGAATCTTTATTTGGCAAGAAATAAATAATACAAAACAATCAAACTTGGACATGGATATGTCATGAAACAATCATTCCCAACTAAAGTTCAGTTGTTGATTGCTGTCCACTTGTCCTTTCCACACTTCTTCATTATTCAAGCAACAATCATAAAAGTGGACATGGATTTCTTCCCTGGCAACCCCCCTCCCCTCCTTCATTCCCCTTCCAGTCCAAGTCAAATATATGCAATAAAATGAAGTAAACAATAGCTCCCAATTAAAAATTCGTTGTTGTCCTTTCCAGCCTGAAGCTTATGCTTTACCTTGCAGTCTGAATCAGTTGCTGCAAATTGTCCAAGTAACAAGGCTGCTTCCCTCTGGCTTTCAGAGCAGCAGGAACTGTTAAATAAAACATTATTAGAATACATTAATTCAAAGATACCTTTTGTGGAATATATCTTATAGATTATTACTTCCAGGAAAATAAAATGGACATATAATAATAACAATTCAAATCCAGGATAGGTGTGTTTTGGAAACAGACTTGAATTTAACTCACTCTCAAAAGTTAGCTCAAGAAAAGAGAATCATCCAAGTCCTATAAGGAGTATTCTAGACATATTTTTAATAAATGCAGAACATCTTAACAGGGTGGAAAGGAATTGAAGTTTATCAGGGTCCAAAATTGAGAATATACCTAAGTAATCCAATAACTGGTTGTAAAGCTCCAGCAAGAAGAACCTCCTTCTTTATATTAGGTGAAGAATGGACTAGATTTCCAATCACACCAACCTGTAATACAATCCAATTCATTGCATATGCCAAGTAAGAGACATGCAAAGACAGAGCTCAATAATATGGTAAAACCTTGCATTTTTAATTAAAGGTTCACTAGACATACCGCTTCATAATGAATAGCAGCATCTTCAGAACGTAACATTAAAATCAAAGTTGGAAGAGCATTGCATTCAACAATCTGGCAAGTCATGACATTGTGTGAGTTACTTGAATCATATTCAAACCCCAACTTTCAGCAACAACCACTTACCTGATTTTTATTTTCATCATTTTTAAAAGCCAGGGTCCGCAGTGCACCAGCAGCTGCTCTTTGCACCTTTGCATCAGCAAATTCAAGCAAATGAACAAGTGGTGGAATGCCACCTTCCATCCTACATATTAAGCCTAGATAATATTAAAAGCAAGATTCAAACTAAGTTTTAATGTATGGTGGGCCTTGAAGAAGCAAAAACCTGACACGAGTTTTAATGCTGCTGTTCTCATGAGCAAGATTAGTAATAGCATCTGCAGCCCTACGAATGAGACTATTAATGGCACGAGAAGTTAAGCCATTCTTATGTCTCTTTAAAAGTTCAACAAGATGTGTTAAGGCACCACTGTCAACAATGAGTTGTTGATGTTCTGGCTGTAGAAAGCATTTCAAATAAAATTGTAGTTTAGAATTTATACTTTATTTAACAGATAAAGAAATTTGTTAGAAAGAAAAGAAGGAAAATACAACTAAGTTTAAAAGTTACATGACAATTATATGATATCCGCCATATATACACAATATAAAGTCCGGTCAAAAGTGTGGCACGTGTTGGCATGTAAATTACAAAGAAGGAAATGAGCTATGCTACTCTATTCACTTCCCATAACCAAGACTAAAATTAATCCTGCAATTGACACAACAGGATACATTAATTCGTGTTTAGTACCGAGAAATCAAAAGTAGTTAACTCACTCCCCATAATTCCAAACCAAAATGGGGGACCTTGTAGAGCAGACTGGTTTCCAATGCTGGATCTTCATCAGGACCAAGGAAGACAGCACCCCCCCCCCCAAAAAAAAAAAAATTTATATATATACACATACATATGTACTATAACTATAAGTAAGCATTTCAAAAGAATTCACCATCCCCCAACTGATCCTGTATTCAATCAAGTGGGGTTTTGCATTAGGTTGAATGCTAAAGGATGTCTCCTTTTTACTTCTACTCTTCATTTGTTATATTAAGATTTGACTCAATTTGAGATCATTTAAAATTTTAAACAAGTTATTTTCATCAAATACTCATTTACAACATCCATGGTATTTTAATCTTGCTAGAAGTAATATTGTAAAATAGCATACTCCATTAGGAGTGCGTCTCAGAGAGTGCTTCGCAAAAGAATTGTGTGGCACAGTGAAAGGTTTCCATTGGGGTTTCCTGTCCCTGGTCTTCAACCTAATTGTGGAAGAGGGGAGGTGCATGGAGTATAACTCCTCTCGCGCCTCTCTTCAGCTTGTTCCTGTTCGTCTATTTGGTAGAGGGCAGGCAGCCCACATGCATACATGAAGAGAAGAAGAGAGGAGAGGGGTTCCCTGAGATTAAGTTGCCAAGGCGGTTTGGAATTTGGACTATATAACTAATAACTGTCATCTTTTTTAAGAATTGTCCCATCATTTTTTTTTCCCTAACTTATCCCCCTAGACCTATAATTTTTTCCCTCTCAAAATCTTGAGTCAGTTCCACCAGTGATGACTACCATCAAAACTATAGAAAAGGGTAAAGTTAAGGAAGACTACATGCCTCATCCAGCTTTGAGACAAAAAGAATGCATTCAGACAAACTCTCAATCTCATCCATAAATTATTATTAGCAACCAGCAGGTGCTTGATTCAATTGGAATTGATAAACGAGGGCAAACAATATGCACTATTTTCATTAAAAATATTTGTATATTCTCAATCAATTCTAAACCCTCATATTTCACCTCAAATCCTCAGATCTTCTCTTCTCTCTGTTTTAATTGATCCCCATATTTGGAATGGGATAGCAGGAAGCAACGGAGCTGTCAAAACAGAACAGAACTGAAACTGACACTGGATGATGGTATGAACCAACACTTCCATTCTCCACCTTGAAACACATACATTACTCTGAATTCACAGAATAACTCCTTTAAATTCACGCCCAAAATTCGACATAACACAGCATTTAGCAGAGGGATCTACAAATTAAATCCTCGGGCATGATCTTCAAAGCCTCCCTTCACTATTATTAAATAACTCGCACCATTTAGTCAAAATACACCGATAACAAATAAAGAATGGAATAATATTTTAAATTAAAATGCATAATTACGTAAATAACGCTCACCAGGCGAATTTGACATAAATAAACCTTCCACCAATACATCACAAATACTTGGATTCAAACTACAACCGTAAACTCATTTATACTTCAGAACTTACAGAACGCTAAGGAACGTATAAAAGATTTAAAAAAAAATAGAGTGTGAGACAAAGTACGGGGTATAAACAACTAAATATGAATTAATTCCAAAATAACAGTTACAGGAAAATCAAATTACCTTGACGGCAAGAAGTCCTAGAGCGAAAGCGCTCCCTTTCTCAACCTCATGCTCAAACGGCAATGGCTTCTGAACACGATCACTCAGAGGCGGCGCCTGAAGATGCTTAACCAAAGCCGGAACCGCGCCTCCTTCAACAATCACGTTCACCACTTCCTCTGCAAACACAACCACCAATCGGTTCATAGACGCACATGCAACCGACAGACAGAAACACATAAGAAGAAACACCACACCGCGACCGCAATCCAAACGAACGCAGCAACACGCGGCGAGATCGGAGGCATCGATTTACCATTCTTCGCTAGATCGGCGAGCGCGTGAGTGGCGCGCTTGGCCGCTGCTCGATCGGCTTCGTTCCACGTGTAAGTAGACTCGAGGACGCTCACCTGTTCGGCGACGTCGGCGAGAAGCGCCTCACGCTCGCCGGCGGTTGGCGGCGCAGCCAAGATCTGCCGCTCCTCGTGTAGTTCCTCGTCCAGCTTCCGCTTCTGCCCCTTCCTCTGTGAGAGGCTCTGATCTTGGCGCCTCTGAAGCTCCATGAACGAGAAGAAGAGGAAGGTTCTTCACAGTGTGGTTGCTCTGGTTAACAGAAAAGAGAGAGAAGGAGAAGAAGAGTGGTAGGAGATGGAATTTGAGATTTGAATGGGTGACAGATGGAAGGGGTATTTTGGGAGTTTCAGTGTAAATGTAAACCATGATAAAGAAAATAACTACACGCACACTCACTTTGAGGAGCGACGTGTCGGGCTTTGAACCGGCCACATCATTCACAGTTCTGAATTGTGGCGAAGGCGCAGTGATAACACTACACAGTTTCGCGCCCCCTATTTTGTTTTTTAGAACAAAAATTTTGGTTAGACATTTTTCATATTAAATATTACTCCTAGAGTGAAGTTCCATTTGGTTAGTGATTTTTGTGTCAAATTTTTATTTATATTAATAATTTTAAAGATCTGTCTATGTTTCTATTTATTAATTTTTTTAAAAATTAATATATTTAAATAAATTTTACGATAATATTAGTTATTATTCTTATATTAATAATTTTTTATTAAAATATCAAAACATTAATATATATCAATGGCACATAATAAAAATTAATCAACAGTAAATTAATTTTTTAACGTGTTAAGAAAAGATATTTTTTTTTACTAAAAATATGTAATATTTATTATTTTTAATAAAAAATAGCTAAATTATAATTTTTATTATATATTGTTTGATTTATGTTAGAAAATGTGATAAAAATATTCAAAAAATTAAAATAAACTTCAATAAAATCATTAGATTATTTGATATATGTAATTTTTTTCTTTAATAAATAAATAAATAGTCATATAAATATTTAAAGTGAAAAAAATATGATGTTTATAATCATTAATAAAAAAACATTTTGACATGCCGAGAGTATTTTTTTAATTAAGCAAAGTATAGTAAGTTAACACAATTAAGGTTATTAGCTCGTAAATGTCGTCGTTGATTTACCCATGGGTATACCAGCATGGGCTTGGGCTTGTTAGGAAGCTCGTTAATCCGAACACGAACCAGATGATGCTAAAGCTAAACATGCAGAAGGCAGTAACACTTCCATTTGCTAACCACAATGCCAATTCTACGCCTAGTTATCGGATGCAATAATGCACACAATAGTGACTAAGTAAATATAACGTTGAATCTGATAATACACACAATACCAATTCTATGATGAAATATTTAATATTAATAATCATAATATTTTTAAATTTATAAAAAATGTTAATTTTATAAGTAGTAATACATTTTTTTATTTCATATTTTAATTTAATAATATTTATGTACTACGTTACCTCTAAAATAAATATAACTACATTCAATAATAAATATCGAAATCTCAAAATAGTAGACAGTTAAAAAATAAAAATAAAAAAATCTCAAAGCAAACCGGCCAAAAAATGTATAGCTTTATATATTTTATCTTTCTATTGGTGCTATGCGATCATTCACTATAATGCCACTTTCAGCATAATTTTTAACGTTATTACTAAATACTAACACAACACACATCAACATCTAAAGGTACAAAACAACGAACGTCCATCATTTCTTAATAATAGAAGAATATCTTTGTCACCAACAACAGAAATTCTTAATTGTTCCATGTATTAATTTTTACTTATACTATTTATTATAAGAGTTAGTGTTATTTTAATTGAATATATTTTGTATAAGCCCATTATCTTAATCATGAATAGTCGTAATATTATCACATTATTTTTATTTCTCTATTTAAATACACTAAATATTTTTCATTATCACTATTGAGGAGATACACAATACTATAAAAATATTCAAAGATTCACCAAATTTTGTTATTATAAAAAATAAATAAAAACTATTTAAAAAATATGAAAGTATAAATTATTTATAATTTATAAAGAAAATATTATTTTTATACTATCTTTTTTTTATAAAGATCTACGTTACCAAAAGTATGTTGCTTTTGTGTGTGTAAAACATTGGGGTCCCGAATTCAGAAAACTTAGTCTGTTGAAATGTCGAAGCTATTAACCAGACGTCAAACCTACCAATGATTTTGGTGAAATTGCTAAAGAGCGAGTTGAAATGGGCAAACTCTTAACCAGACATCAAACCTACCAATCATTTTCGACCAATTGTTAACGAGCCAGAAAGAAAGATGCAATGTATTTAATAAAGAAAAAAAAACTACTTGTAATCAAACAGCATTAAAATGTTTTAAAAAATTACATCGACGTTTTGTTTTTTATTATTCTGTATGGATAAAGAACAAAATAAAAGAGAAAAATTATATATGAAACTTGTTATTATTATTAAAAATTATCAACTTATTCTTCACTTGGTTTTTATTTTAAATATGAGACTGGTTATTACAAACAATTCTATTTTTTTATAATTTTACCCTAAAAAATTACTTATACAGATTTAAATTTACTCATAATTAGGGATGGCAATGGATAAAGTACCCGATGGGCACCCGCAAAATTTACCCACAATGGGTAGGGTATTTACCCACTATACGGGTACGGGTATGAGTGTGGGTAAAAATCTGCAAATTTTAATGGAGATGGGTGCGAGTATGGGTATCTAAGTACCCACCCCGCCCCATACCCGCATATATATATATATATATATATATATATATATATATATATATATATATATATATATATATATGCTTAAACTTTATTCTACAATTATGCATTGAATTTTTGTATTATTATATTACTTATGTGAAGTTATATAAGATTAATATAAAAATATATTTAATAATAAAGTAAACCAAAAAATTTATTTTAGTTTATACTTTTAATAGAAAAATTTATTTACTATTTTATATCATTTAATTAGGCTAACACAATTTAATTATTACATAGTTAATATAAGATTGACTTTTTTTAAAATATTATTTATATATGACACACATAAAATATTTTTTACACAAATATTTTTGTTAATAAAATCATATTGATGTTTAAATCATAAAGTGAATGATGAATAATAAATATATTATAAATATTTTATAAATTTTACAATCACCTACTATTACTGTAAACTTATTATTTATTAATAATATTTAAATTTTATTTTTATATTTTAATTTAAAATAATATTTTTTTATGTAACATATGTATTACAAGCACAACTATAATCTATTGAATCTAAATAATATTATTCTTACTATTTATTCACATTCAAATAAGTTTTTGAAAAGATATAAATATAAAAAATTATTATTAATTTTTATTTGTTAATTTTTTTAAGATAAAAAAGTATAATTTTTTTAATATACACGTATATTTCTTTATTATAAAATTTTATTGTAACTATTTATCTTTTATTCAAATTCTTTTTTTTTTAATTTATATACATTATAAATATTTTATTCACTAAAATAATTTTTCAAAAATTTATATTTATGATAAAATATTTTCGTATAGTATATGAGTTAAAAAATACCAGTATTAATATATATATATATATATATATATATTAATTATATTGTATTATTTTAATTAAATCTATTATTTTTCTTACAATTTCAAATTCAAAAGTTTAAAAAAATATTTTATGTATCAACTTTCTGTTGTTAGTATTAAACTTCTCTACTCTAACTCTATTATCATTCTCAATGTCTGTCTCGCTAAAACTTAATAAAACTATGAAATGTTATTTATTAGAGTTAGTTGTTAATGTCGTCACAAGAGGTTACTAAGTGATCCCACACGAAGGGACAACCATTGTACAAATCTATTTCGTTGTCGTTCTGACATTACCAACAATCAAATCTCACACAAGATAGGATTATCACTGACAAATAACTTGTGTGTTTAGTTTTGCTTATTGTTTCTAAGAATTTTAGTTTAGAAAATTATTATATTAAAATACATTTAACATTTATGATCTTTGAATATTTATTTTTTTATTTATATTTGTATCTTGTTCGGCAACTACATATTGAATTTTTGTATTATTATGCTACTTATGTGAAGTTATATAAACATATTTTTCTTTATAAATATTTTTTTCTCAAACAAGCGCGGGTAATTGGTACAAAACGGGTATGCGGGTACCGAGAGAATACGGGTACGAGGATTAATGTTCATACCCATGCGGATATGAGGCCGAGTACGGGTATTTTTTAAAAACTCAGGTATGGGGATGGGTACTGTAGTACCCTACCCATTGTCATCCCTACTCATAATCCTAATAAATCTCCCATTATGTTAGAAAATAAATTTTAAATTACAAATACATATATTTATCAACTTAAAATCAATAAAAATTTATTATTTATTTAGTAATTACAGAATTTTATAAGAATGAACGTTAAAATATTTAAAGTCATTCTACATGATATTTGTTATATATTTTTAAAAAATATAATTATTTTATAAAACATTCAATAAAATATACATTTGTTTATTGTGAAAATATCAAAAAATATTTTTGTATCTAATGATTCATTTTTTCTTAAATTAAAATTATTCCACATATAAATTATTAGTTAACTAACCTACCACCGTCACTCTCTTTACCTCCATACAACATCATTAAATTAAGAGTTTAAACAATTCAAATAATGTTTTTAAATTTAAATTTTTATTTAAAAATTATTAAAATTTAATATATTTTTTTTTATAAAAACTGTTACTATCAGTTTAAATTAAAAATTACATTTTTCTTAAGTTAAATTTGTAATAATCCATGCAGAAGAAATAATGTTTTACGATATTTGATCTTGTCAAATACATGGATAAAAACATCCAATCCTTTTTTATTTGTAAAATATAAATTATTTTTTCAAATGAAAATACATTTAAGAATATATTGAATAGAAATATTTAAATTTTTTATCGTTATATAATAAAAGTTCTTTCTGTATTTAATATGAATTTGATTTCAATTTTTTATTAATAATAAAAATTAAATATTATAAAATTTAAATCAACTATCTAACTTCGTATTTAATAATATTTTTAATTGAAAAATAGTGGATGAGTAACTTTCTAGTTTAAGAATCTTTTTAGATTCGATGCTAAAATACACTTTACTCTTACCCACTAGATTGTTAAATTAAATAATTAAATTGTACATACACTTATTTTAAAATAAAACAGCCGTCTATGGCAGAGGCTACGCACTAATTACAGTTTACACTTAACGACTAAAAATCCGGCCAAAATCTTAACAACTTGCGTGCAGTCCCATTCACATTCTTTTAAGAAAACAATATTGAGCAATGTTAATTATTGGTTACAAATGGAAGATAGTAACAAATTTCACTTTATTGGTAAATAACCACGTCTCATATTTATGCTGATAAAGACTCAATCAATGCATGATTACACATACAAAGAAATCTATTAAAAAAATGGAAGTTCAAATAAGCGATTAAAAAAGCCAAGTCATTAACTATTAATTAAAGATATTTATTGAAAAAGAAAATAGTTTTATCGACATTAATTTGTTATTAATTTTAAGTATCTAAAGTTATTTAAAAATTACTACATAAAAAATACGAAAACGTTATAAATTAAAGTTAAAATTAAAATTAATAAAGGCTAATAATCTTATAATTGTCTGAAAAAAGTGTCAATGAATGTTTAAAAATGGTTAGAAACGGAAGTTGGGAACCTAATCAAACAGAAAAAGTCAAAGGGAGACACGACGCCCGTCCCACTAAGACTCTAATTAATTAGTTTACTGAAACCAAACAAGAGCATTGTGGTGTCTGACCGGTAAACTCTGTTTCCCGCGTTACTCTCATTATTCTTTTCTTCTTCGTTCCCCTTTTCTTCCCTACCACTCCAACCAAGACCCCTTCAATCCATAATCACAACCACTTCAACTCATTCATTCCAACCACCATGTCTCTTCTCTTCTTCTTCTTATTCTTCTTACCCTTCTCCCTCTCCCAAACACCCCCTAAAGGCTTACTCATTAACTGCGGAGCCCAATCGGGGGCCCAAATCGATGGCCGCACGTGGCTTCCCGATTTCGCCTTCGTGTCTTCGGGCTCACCCAAAAACGTCACTTCCCCCGTTCTCTTTCCCACTCTTCAAACCCTTCGCTCCTTCCCTCGCCAAGTCAAGAAGCACTGCTACTATATTCCCGTGTATCGCGGCGCAAAGTACCTCGTGCGGACCACTTATTTCTATGGAGGGGTCAACGGTGCTGATCACCCTTCGCCGCCGGTGTTTGACCAGATCATCGATGGAACATCCTGGAGCGTTGTCAATACCACCGCGGATTATGCTAGCGGCAACTCTACGTTCTACGAAGGGGTTTTCTTGGCTCAGGGGAAGATCATGAGTTTCTGTATCGGCTCGAATAATTATACGGATTCAGACCCGTTTATATCTGCTCTGGAGTTCCTCGTTCTTGGTGGCTCCCTCTACAACACCACTGATTTCACCAGCTTTGGTCTTGCCTTGGTTTCAAGGAGCAGTTTTGGATACTCTGGACCACCCATTCGGTCAGTGCTACCTTGTTTTCACTTTAGTTTTCATTAACCATTGGTGTTCAGTTAATGTCTTGTGTTTCATTAATGATTAATTGAAATTTACCCTCTGTAAAGTGCAAGTTCGTCTCCCCCATGTTTGTTTCAAGTACATGTTTAAGCAAAGTCTCGACCTTGAGTTTGTCATTTGAAAAATGTTTCTGTTCGAGAGCTAGTGCCATTATAATGTACATGTTCTTAACTCCAATATGATTGCCTTCTATTGAGCATATACTAATTAATATACACGGTCTAGATAAGAAAAAGTGCAGGCGTGTAAATAGTTGTGTATGAGTAATGATTAGGTTGCGTTGTGGAGTTCAAGGAATTTTTCTACTTTTTTCATTTTTTGCCATCTGCTTTTGTTTTGGGGTGCTTTGCCATGAAATTCAGATCAAGTACTTAGCAAGAGAATTTTTTTCATTCAATATTTAGCGAGAAAATATACTAACCCTTAGAAGAGAGAAATTTGGGAATGATAGTGTCAAAGGTTACAAGTTACAACTTATAAGGTGCTTGAAGAAGTTATAATTTGGGTATACATGGTGTCACCAATAATATATTGGATTTACCTAGTTTTTTTAACACTAAGAATTCATTTCATTCTTCTTCCTTTTTTGTCCTTCAACTCTAATGCTGGATGTGTTTTTTTTTATTTTTTTTTATCAGATATCCCGATGATCAGTTTGATCGTATCTGGGAGCCTTTTGGACAGAGTAATTCTACCAAAGCAAGCACTGACAATGTTTCTGTTTCTGGTTTCTGGAATCTTCCACCTTTGAAAATATTCGAGACTCATCTAGGATCTGATCAATTGGAAGCATTGGAACTGAGATGGCCTACAGCATCTCTTCCGAGCTCCAAATACTACATTGCTCTATACTTTGCTGGAAATTCTGATGGATCAAGAACTTTTAACATAAGTGTAAATGATATAACTTATTACCACAATTTGAATGTGATCTCTCCAGGTGTTGTGGTCTTTGCCAACCAGTGGCCTCTTTCTGGTCCTACAACAATAACTTTGACTCCCGATGCTAGTTCATCTTTGGGTCCTTTAATCAATGCTGGAGAAATTTTTGATGTGCTGCCACTTGGAGGAAGAACTTCGACTAGAGATGGTATATCTTTTGATTTCATGTTTCTGTGCTTAACTTTGGGTTATTCCTAAAATAATCTTAAGGCCAAAAAACTAAGTTAATGAGCAACCAGAAATTAAGTTATTTTAAGTGACTGAAATTGGACACATTTCTAGTGAGAAGTGCAAGGAATAGAATACTACTGCAAGTCAACACAACATTTTGAACCAAGCTATGTTTTCCTTCCCACATGTCAAAGATAAATTATCAAAATGATAGTATTTACTCTTGGTTGACTAGTGATTCTCTATTTCAAGTCACAACGCATTCCATCATAGTTGTAGCGCACTTGTATGTTAATCATGAACATTCAAGGTTTTTAAAAGGGGAATTTTCTCCACAGTTATTGCTTTGGAAAAGGTAAAGGAGAGCTTCCGAAATCCTCCACTTGATTGGAATGGTGATCCTTGTGTGCCTCGGCTGTATTCATGGACTGGCATCACATGCTCTGAAGGACCCCGTATCCGTGTAGTGACTTTGTAAGCTCGGACTAGAGATGTTAAAGCATAATACTTCGTCATTTCAATTCTATTGTGCTGTGTAATGAATAGCTTATTTTTTATTTCCTGTTGTTTTCAGAAACTTGACAAGTATGGATCTTTCAGGATCTTTATCACCTTTTGTTGCCAATATGACTGCTCTGACCAACATGTAGGTTTAAGTATAAAACATATTTGTTTATGAAATTTAGTATTTGAAATTTTATAACCAGCTAACTGTAGCCCTCTTGCAGCTGGCTTGGGAATAATAGTTTGTCAGGACAGATTCCTAACCTCAGTTCATTAAAGATATTAGAGACACTGTAAGTTTTTGTGTGTTTAAAGTCTGATAATGTTTTTTTTAGCATATGACTAATCACATCAGTGGCTGTACCTGTAACTAGTCTACTTTTTTTTATCCAGTGGAAAGAGATATTTTGAAATATTTCTTTTTGTTCTGAAGTAACTCGTGTAGTCATGTTCTATAGCAATTTCCATCATCCAAATGCTTGAAATCTAAGAGAACTTTAATGTATTCATGGAGCTCAGTATTTGCAAATTGTTGTTGTATTTTAAGGCACTTGGAAGACAATCAATTCAATGGAGAGGTTCCCTCATCCCTGGGGAACATCAGCGGCTTGCGAGAAGTGTAAGTTCTCCCCTATTAGGATATGTTAGACGTTACAAGCAAATTACTTTTTTTTGGGTATTCAATGTGTTAAAATTTTCCCTCTGACCCCCCTTTTATCCCATGTAAGTTCTGATAGTGCAAATTATGCATGGAAAACTGAGTTTACACAACTATCTTTTCTACATGATTGTGGCCCAAAACTACTGATACATTATGATCATTGTAAGTTATATGAGTAATATCTGCTTACTATCTTGTCATATTAGAGATAATCAAAACAAAGATTTGTTGATAGCTAAACGAGTTTTGACTTTGGGCTGATTAATAAGTATTCTGAGGAAACTTAGTGGATTAGATGTACATTTAAGAAATATGAGACTTGATTAATCAGCTGTTGCATATTTTGGTTCCAATCAATCTAAGAAATTTGTCCATCTGACAACAAAAAAACAAGTTTGTAGATTAGAGAAACCAACTATTAGTAGAACTCATACTTGACCCTGTATTTTATGTACTTTTTCATTTGTATTATCGCTCATGTATGTCTTTCGTTTGTAAATTATGTATCTTTGAATCCGCCATCCCCTCGTAGGGAAGATCTGCCATTTGCTCTTCATTTCTATTACAATTTTCTTACTTTCCTTTCTTATTTCATGTTGCCTGATGATTGCCCCCATTTGTTGATGCAGATTTTTGCAAAACAACAATTTGACTGGTCAAATTCCAGCAAATCTCATTGGAAAACCAGGACTGGATCTCAGGTAAATAAGAACACCTATCATCTTGTCACCATGCGTTTTGCAGTTGTTGTTTTGCTGACTTGTGCATGTTCATCAACAGAACTTCTGGAAATAATTTCTTATCACCTCCTGCACCTTGATGAATTTGCTTAGTGCCTTCCTGGTAAAGATGAAGATTTTCCTTTTATCAAGAAATTTTTACTCTTTTTGTGCTTAAATTTTTCTGATTTTGGTGGAAGTTCTTCGTCATCAACTCAACTGAAGATCAAACTTCATTTCAGCCTTCTCTTGCGGGAGGACATACAGATTTCTTAACTTGGAGTATACTTTCAGATTGGTTGATCATATTCTTTCATGTTTGATTTTCAGTTCCTTGACAATTAGAATGTTATTTGAAATTGTATCTTACATATCCTTGTATAGGCATTGTTTAACATTATTTTATTGAAATTTTTGCTTTGTTTATTTTTCATACCTTTGTAATTTGCATCGTTTTTTGATTTTAGTGTAATCATTGTATCTTATTGTTTTTCATACCTCATGTAGCGTCGACTGTTCATGTTTACTGTGGATCAATTTATAACTTCCTCTGGTAATTGAAAATCCTGAGATATAAAAGGATGTAAAAATTATGTGCCCATTTTTTCAATCACTTTTATATTTTTGTGGTTACGGGCACAGTCTTTCTTAAGGTGTTTGTTCAGGAATATGAAAAATAAAAAAGATGATACTTGAGATTGGTGCGAAAACAAGTGATGGGAATACTTTGTTTCCACTTGCATGATAACGGGTGAAAAATCACTAGAACTTATCTGCACATTATAAGAATAATAAAACAACTTAATTTTTATGGATTGTTATCGTAAAAAAAATGTTAAATTATCAATTAACTAGTAATTTCCCGTGTCACATGTATCATTAAATCAAACTAAAATTTCTAAAATAAACAATTAAACATATATTATGACTATTTTTCAATTTAATAAACTTTTTAAAAAGAGTAAATACTATAATGATTAATAATTTAAATTTAAAATTGTAAAATCGTAGGATTTAAATTAATATTGAATAAATAAATACATAAATGATATAAAAAGTTTATTTGGTATCATAAAAATCAAATTAATTTCTAAAAGTGCTCTCGTCTGAGAATAGCCGCTCCCGTTTAAGAATTTTCTTAAATACTATCATTCAAAAATTAATAAAGTTAATTAAAAAATATGATAAATATGGTTTTTCATTTTTTTACTGTTTGTGAAATAACTTTTTTTTTTCTTTTCAAACATGTATATCCTGTTGAAAAGTCGAGAACGGTGTGCCATTTTCGGTGCCTAACATTCGGTTGAATGTTAACGTTTTCGGTGTCTAACTTTGGTTGAAAAATTAGCAAATTGTGATGTTTTGTTGCCTATAAATACGAAGCTCTTCCATCCATTCTTTGTATCTCATTTTTGAGAGAAAAATAGAGAGCAAATAAGAGAAAGAAAAAGAGAGAAAATAGTTTAGCTTTTGGGTATAATTAGGTTATAGGTTGTGAGTGGTTGTGAGTATTTTAAGTGTTATGTAAACACTGAGTGTATTCCCTTTTTTAGTAATATATCTGCAGCAGTCCGGAGACGTAGGCATTATTGGCTGAACTCTGTTATCAATTTTGTGTGTGCAAATATTCCACATTTATTTTTTACTTCTACAAATCTGACGTTACAAGAAAATTTGGCGTAATTTTCTCAACAACTGGTATCAGAGCTGGTTCGAAATTCTACAATTTTTTGTGAGGTACTGTTCATATGAATAGTAAAATTCTACAATATGTACCGTTCACACGAATAGTAAACTCGCAAGTACTGTTCACGTGAATAGTAAATAGTGAATAGTGAATAGTGAAAAATTTGTCAGCATTACAAATTTGTTCACAGACGTGTTCTAAATACAGTGGTATACAGAAATTGTCAAAAACAATTCTGAGGAGAAGTCAGATTTGAGTGGGAGTGATGGCCGCAGATGAAGGAAAGGTGAAAATTGAAAAGTTCGATGGTACAGACTTTGGCTTTTGGAAGATGCAGATCGAGGATTATCTATATCAGAAAAAGTTGTATCAACCTCTCACAGGAACAAAGCCAGAGGGCATGAAAGAGGACGAATGGAATCTTCTCGATAGACAAGCCCTTGGAGTCATCCGATTGACGTTATCCCGTAATGTTGCTTTCAACATTGCAAAAGAAAAGACCACGACGGATCTTATGAAGGCTCTTTCCGACATGTATGAAAAGCCGTCTACTTCAAATAAAGTTTATTTGATGAAGCGGTTATTCAACCTTCGGATGACAGAAGGCGCATCAGTAGCGCACCACATAAATGAGCTCAATACAGTTCTAACCCAATTGAGTTCAGTTGAGATTGAATTCGATGATCAGGTACGAGCATTGGCACTTTTGTCCTCTCTACCAGAAAGTTGGAAGACTACTGTCACAGCTGTGAGTAGTTCGACGGGAGACACTAAGTTGAAATTCAATGATGTTCGTGATCTGATTCTCAATGAAGAAATCCGACGAAGAAAGTCAGGAGAATCATCAACCTCTTCAGTATTGTATACAGAGTCAAGAGGAAGAAATTCAATCAGAGGAAATGTACGTGGTAAATCAAAGGATAGGAGGTCCAAATCCAGAAGTCATCATAGTTCTCACAAATCGAAGGCAATCGAGTGTTGGAATTGTGGGAAGTCCGGGCACTACAAGAATCAGTGCAATAATGCACGAAAGAATCAGGACGCGAAAGATGAGGCAAATGTTGCTTCCACCTCTGGAGGAGATGATGCGTTGATATGTTCTTTAGAGAGCAAGGAAGAGTCTTGGGTGTTAGACTCTGGAGCATCTTTTCATGCCACTTCGCAGAGAGAATTCTTCAAGAACTATGTTCCCGGAAACCTTGGTAAAGTTTACCTTGGTAACGACCAATCATGTGAGATTGTGGGTAAAGGTGTAGTGAAGGTTAAGTTGAACGGGTCTGTATGGGAATTGAAAAATGTCAAACATATTCCCGACCTGACAAAGAACTTAATCTTAGTAAGCCAGTTGGTCAATGAAGGCTACACAACAGTCTTCCACGGTGATAACTGGAAGATTTCAAAGGGTGCAATGGTAATTGCTCGTGGCAAAAAGAGTGGTACTCTTTATAAGACAGCAGGAGCATGTCATCTGATTGCAGTTGCAGCAAATGAAAATCCCAATTTATGACACCAGAGACTAGGCCATATGAGTGAGAAAGGGATGAAAATCATGCACTCAAACGGTAAGCTACCAGGTCTTCAGTCAGTAGAAATTGACATGTGTAAAGATTGTATACTTGGAAAACAAAAACGAGTCAGCTTTCAGACAAGTGGAAGAACCCCAAAGAAGGAAAGACTCGAGCTTGTTCACTCTGATGTTTGGGGTCCAACATCTGTTCCATCCATTAGTGGGAAGCAATACTTTGTGACTTTTATCGATGATCACTCCAGAAAGGTATGGGTATACTTTCTGAAATATAAGTCTGAAGTATTTGAGGCTTTCAAGATGTGGAAAGCCATGGTTGAAAATGAAACAAGATTGAAGATTAAAAATATTAGAACTGATAATGGTGGTGAATATGAAGACACCAGATTCAAGAAGTTTTGCTATGAGCACGGGATCAGAATGGAGAGGACCGTGTCAGGTACGCCTCAACATAATGGTATAGCTGAGCGTATGAATCGAACGTTAACTGAAAGAGCCAGAAGCTTGCGTGTGCAGTCAGGCTTACCAAAGCAGTTCTAGGCAGAAGCAGTCAACACAGCAGCTTACTTAATCAACCGAGGTCCATCTGTACCATTGGAGCACAAAATACCAGAAGAGGTATGGAGTGGAAAAGAGGTAAAACTCTCACATCTTAGAGTTTTTGGCTGTGTAGCATATGTGCACATTAATGATCAAGGCAGGAGTAAGCTTGATCCCAAATCAAAGAAGTGCACTTTCATCGGTTATGGTGAAGATGAGTTTGGCTACCGCCTGTGGGATGATGAAAACAGAAAGATGATCCGCAGCAGAGATGTAATCTTCAATGAAAGAGTGATGTACAAGGACAAGCATAGCACAAGCGCCAACAATGCAGAACAGATTGAGCCAGTGTATGCAGAAGTGGATGATGTCCCAGAAAATCCTGTAGTTGAGAATCCTCAGTCAGAGGAATCAATTGAAGAGAACAGTAAGCAGCAGTCTGACACATCAGAGGCTCCTATTTCAACTCTTGTATTGAGAAGGTCTTCTCGACCTCATGTGCCTAACAGGAGATACATGGACTACATGTTGTTGACTGATGGAGGAGAGCCTGAAGATTATGAAGAAGCATGTCAAACTATAGATGCCAACAATTGGGAGCTTGCTATAAAAGACGAGATGATGTCTTTGATCTCTAATAAGACATGGGAACTAGCTGAGTTACCTATGAGAAAGAAGGCACTTCACAACAAATGGGTGTATCGGGTGAAGGAGGATCATGATGGCTCCAAGAAATACAAAGACCGACTAGTTGTCAAAGGATTTCAGAAAAAAGAAGGAGTTGACTACACTGAAATCTTTGCTCCAGTTGTAAAGCTCAATACTATCAGGTCCGTCTTAAGTATTGTGGCTAGTGAAGAGCTCTATCTTGAGCAATTGGACGTGAAGACTGCATTTCTTCATGGAGACTTAGATGAGGAAATCTACATGCATCAACCTGAAGGTTTCTCAGAAGAAGGGAAAAAGAATATGGTATGCAGATTAAAGAAGAGCTTGTATGGCCTGAAACAAGCCCCAAGACAGTGGTATAGGAAGTTTGAAAGCTTCATGCACAAGGAAGACTTCCAGAAATGTAATGTTGACCATTGTTGTTTCTTCAAGAGGTATAACTCCAGTTATATCATTTTGCTACTTTATGTTGATGATATGTTAGTAGCAGGTTCAGATATGAACGAGATTAGAGATCTAAAGATGCAGCTGTCAAAAGAATTTGACATGAAGGACTTAGGTCCAGCAAAGAAGATTCTTGGAATGCAAATCACAAGAGATAAGCAAAGAGGAATTTTGCAGTTATCTCAGGAGAAGTATATCAATCGTGTTTTACAAAGATTCAACATGGGTAAGGCCAAGCCAGTTAGCACACCTTTGGCCAGTCACTTTCGCATATCCAAGGATCAGTCCCCTCAGATGGAGGAAGAAAGAAACTTCATGGCTAAGATTCCATATGCTTCAACCATTGGAAGTTTGATGTACGCAATGGTGTGTACTAGACCAGACATTGGCCATGCAGTGAGAGTTGTAAGCAGGTTTATGGCAAATCTAGGAAAAGCTCATTGGGAAGCAGTCAAGTGGATTTTGAGGTATCTACGAGGCACAACAAAGAAGTGTTTGTACTTTGGAAAAGGAGAATTAAAAGTACAAGGCTATGTAGATGCAGACTTTGGAGGTGAAGTCGATCACCGAAGAAGTACCACCGGTTACATTTTTACTGTTGGTACTACAGCTGTTAGTTGGATGTCGCGGATACAGAAGATTGTTGCTTTATCCACTACAGAAGCTGAGTATGTAGCAGTAACAGAAGCCAATAAAGAGTTGATATGGCTTCAAGGTTTGTTAACAGAGCTGAGATTCATCCAAGAAAAGAGTGTTTTGCACAGTGACAGTCAGAGTGCAATACATCTGGCAAAGAATTCAGCGTTTCACTCTAGAACAAATCACATTGATATACATTATCACTTCATCAGATCTCTGCTTGAGGATGAGGTGCTGACATTGAAAAAGATTGTAGGAAGCAAGAACCCAGCAGACATGCTAACAAAGGTGGTGACCATTGACAAACTGAAGTTGTGTTCAACTTCAGTTGGCTTGCTAGAATAACAGATCATGAAAAGACTGCTGCATTGATTGAGGTGTGAAGACAGATTGAAATCAGTCTTCAAGTGGGAGATTGTTGAAAAGTCAAGAACAGTGTGCCATTTTCGGTGCCTAACATTCGGTTGAATGTTAACGTTTTCGGTGCCTAACTTTAGTTGAAAAATTAGCAAATTGTGATGTTTTGTTGCCTATAAATACGAAGCTCTTCCATCCATTCTTTGTATCCCATTTCTGAGAGAAAAATAGAGAGCAAATAAGAGAAAGAAAAAGAGAGAAAATAGTTTAGCTTTTGGGTATAATTGGGTTATGGGTTGTGAGTGGTTGTGAGTATTTTAAGTGTTATGTAAACACTGAGTGTATTCTCTTTTTTAGTAATATATCTGCAGCAGTCCGGAGACGTAGGCATTATTGGCTGAACTCCGTTATCAATTTTGTGTGTGCAAATATTCCACATTTATTTTTTACTTCTACAAATATGACGTTACAAGAAAATTCGGCGTAATTTTCTCAACATATCCTTTCTTTCATTTTTAGTGACCGAGCTGCCCAAGCATATGTGAAACTCGATACTCAGTTTTATTAATTTCACTGTGCTTCCTATTCGAAAAGAGGGGAAAAAATTTGCTTTCAACGTTTTAATCCAATTCCAAAATACTCAACGACCAGGTTTTTAATAAACGATACTTTTGTTGCATACGTGTATTAAAAAAATGTCATGTATACTTTTAAAATATATTATTTTATCACTTATAATAGTTATATTCGTCTCAGCCTAAATTAGTCAGGTTTTTCATGTAATGTTCAGGTGTTGGTGGTCCTAGACCAAAAAAATGCATTGCTTTATATCATATAATCAAGTGTTTTTAGTTTTTTTTCAGCTATAGTTAGCTATTATTCAGGAATTTGTGTACATCCTTGATTAACCTATTCCTTGCAGCGGTAAAAGCAAGTCATTTTAAAAAAAGTTAAACACACAGATTTTCTTCGAAATCTTATCTCAATAGTTATAAACTGAACCTCTACCATTTTATAAACCTATGCACACATCATATGCTCATGTAATCAAAGGTTGTTCTAATTTAGTGTTCATACTTCTTAGTCATTCGCTTCTTTTTACATCTTTTAATTTTGCTCCAGTACTGATGTATTGAACTCTGTTCAATCCTACCACTTTGAATGTAGGTTACTGTTAATACTAGTAAAAAGATTATTGTTTATTTTGCTAATGTAAAGAATTTTCACCACTTGTCACACTAAGAATTTTTGTGCTTCAAATGCTTAACATACTATAAAAAAAAATTTACAAGCCGTTAGGTGTACATTGAAATTGGTCTTGCTATTCTCTTTCTTTTAAAAGTAATACCACTCAATAATACTGCGTCCGTTGATGAGATGTATGTGGCTGATAGGCTCCCATGTGGGACTCACATGTTGAAGAACACTGCATCTATCTTGTGACACTACTCCTCCTTCTTAATCAAGCAAAAATTACTAGTGGCCTCTAACGATGCCAACCAAGGGAATGCACAATCCAATGATTATACAAGTCAGAATTTACATTGTAATTTCTCAGATCCACCCAAATTAACACCTAATCTACCATGGCAACATAATATATGTTCGAATAAATATAAGAAAAATCACCAAAACAAACTTATTCGAAAACTCTTGAGGATCAAACTAAATAAACACGAGCTTCACAATCTTCAAGTTTTCTTACCTTTCTAATTTTCCTTTCTTAAGTGGAAAAAGAGGGGGCAAGGCACTGCTTTTCACCTGTGTGCAAATGGGCACGTTAATCATTGGTCTAATTCTAATAGTAGCTGACCTTGTCCTCTCCAACCCTTTCTTTACCCTCTTCGTTTGTTGCTCTTTATTCCTCGACCCTTCTTTCCCTTCTTTTGCAGCAACATCACCAAGTGAGCTTGCACAAGAGGATGAAGACGAGGAAGAAGAAGAGGGTGACAAAGAAGAAGCACGTTGCTTCTTCAACCTTAATAACTCTTTCCATAGAACAGTGCACTTTGGTGGCCTCGGAGATGGGTCATCATCAACAAACCAATTTACTCTACTATTATCCTCTTTGTTGCTCACCACCTCCTCTTCTTCCTCTTCTTCTTCTTCCTCTCCATCTTTTGCTTTCAGACTGATCTTGTTGAGTTTCTCTAGATGCTGCATCTGCCAAAAGGGAAGGAGCTTCCCTTCAAAGAAAAGCTCATCAGCAGTTAACACTGTATTGTTGTTACTCACGTTGCTTGAAAGGAACTCAAAGTCAGCATTCCTTGCTCTTTCACGTTCCTTCTCTTGGTCTTTTTCATACTCAGAGTTTGGACTTATGGAGATGAAGTTGTTTTCATCTAAGAACTCTGCTGAGAAAGATATTCTAGGACTTGAAGGTGCATCACTAGATCTGGGGTTACCCTGAACAGGTTCAAGAGATACCATAGTTTTGATGTTTTTTTGGGGTACGGAGAGATAGATGTGTGGACTTGGCTACTGAGAGTGAGAGGGGTGCTTAGGCTCTAGCATATGCATGAGAATTGCGGTTTATAAAGGAGAAGAGGGTGCTTTAATGTTGCATTTAATTTTTAATCTCTCTTCTTTTAACTGTCAAGACGGTGAGATTATAAAAATCAAATGGTCTGGTAAACCCGAAACAAGTGATTTAAGGTTCTGTTTAGAATATAGGGACAGCACATGGACGCCTCGGGAAGTAAAAGACAAAAGCTTTTTCATTAGGCATTCTTTGCATGCAAGCCTCAACCCCCGTGTCTGCATGCTTCTAATATTTTATATTTGTGTATGTGTGTGTGTGTGTGTTTGTGTGGTTTATTTTTTCCATTTTACTTTCCCATAGATTTTCTTTTTCAAATTTATGAAGGGTATTATCAAGTGCCATAATTCTTTGGCGTGAAGTTACTACTGCAGTAGTCTTGTATCTGCCTAAATAATTCAAGACTTGCTCCTAAATAGATTAAGTATGGTCAGTGTCACTTAGAAATTAGAATAGACCAAGCAACGAGAGGTGGGTGGAGTTAGAACGGAATTCTGAAATTATAATGCTTGAAATATCAAAAGAACTTAGTTTGGATAAACTTGAAAATAAATGCCAAACATTGGATTCCCCTTAATTGCTAAAAAGGAAAAAGAAAATAAAACTGTTCAAATTAAAATTCAAATTTATCTGAAGATTGAAAATTGCAAGAAATATCAATGAATTATGAAACAAATAAATTAGCTCACAGAATAAAATGACAACTCCATTTTATTATATCAATGGTAAACATTTTCAAGAGCAAGTGGATGTATGTAGGCTTTTTTTCATTTAGATTACTCAGAAACTATGTAAGGGACCTGCAGTACAGAGAAACACACACAAAAGACAGAAGGGGATTACATTATTTCCGGTTAAATTAAGGCTTAACAAATAAGCTTAAGGATCCTCATGACATTTTAAATTAAACTGCTTAGTCAAAGAAAGATAGGATTGTTAATTTGACTCCCCTGCATGCAGGGACTTAACATGGAGGAGTCCCAAGCATGTGGCCACATGAGAGTAGTTTCTGAGCATGTGACAACTGGGTTAAAGATTGAAGGGATATTCATGAAATGACCAAGTTACCCTCTAAATAGGTTGGTCCCAGCTGGTTGAGTTTGTTATATTATGTATGTGCATACGAGTTAATTGTCCTAAGAAAAGGAAAACAAGTTGTGTGTATCATGTTCAGCTCTTGAAAAAGCTTCCATTAAGATTTGGGCAGGCTCTAATTAATTCCTGACAGCTAATAAACATTGGGGTAAATCTTTCAATTATTACACATTGGCTGCTTTTGTTTATAAGTACATTATCCTTGAGCATTCTGTGGTCCTGCAGTGGACTATTATTGAAATCGACAATAATGTTAAATGACAGCAGTGTGAAAAAATACAAAACAACTTAAACATGTGATTTGTCATTAATTTATAGGCGCAATTATGCAGATCTTTACCAATAGCAGAGAGTTCTACCAAATTCCAGGACAAATAACACTTCACCTTTTCTAACACAATCACATTTCACCGTTATTTTCATTTGTTCTAGTATTCAAGACTGGAGGGTTGTATCTAAAATTTAAGAAATGGCAATGGCAAGTTTTTAATCTCCTTAAGTTATTATTGTCCTCAAGAACTGAACTCCCACATGTGCTCCACACTTTACAGTTCAAGTTTTTTCCTAGATGCAGCAAATTCTCTCTCTCTCATTCTTCAGTTCTGCAGAAAGACCCAGAAGGAAAGGAAGAGTCTAGCCATAAACTTAAAGATCAATGCTTCTGATGGACATTGACCTGTATCATTCAAGTAGGGCCCTTGAAGAATTGATGCATGTACTATCCAACTTAGTCTGTAACAGACAAGAGTAAAGAGTTATATAACAAGAACTTAACAGTACCTTCCAATTCTGCATATATGGGATAGTGAAGCATGTGTTGCTTAGAGAGAAAGAGGGACCACACATTTCTTTTGTCTTTTTGGTGCTTTGGATTTAACATGAAGGGGCTGAAAGTGAAACTAAAACTAGTTGCACTGTGCACGTTTTAAGAGGAAAGAACAGCTACAGTTTACAGAGAAAGACGCCAATGTGACTAAACTGTACAGTACTAGGAGAAAGGGACCATAGACCAATGAGACCATTTCATGTCAATCATAGCTGTTATAAATAAAAGAGAAACAAACATACCAATGCTTTTGATTTGACTACAACCCAAGTTTAACTGAGCTGGTTTTTGTCAAGGGCTGATATTAGGTGGGTTTAATAATGTTGTTTACCTTAATTAATAAATGTTATGAAAATTTTAGCGTTGCTTTTCTAGCACAAGCTTTATTTTCAATCTTTTATTTTGTAAGCTCATATTTTATGGTCCTCTAATTTATGTGTTTGATTCATTATTAGTTTATGAAAAATCTATTCTCTAGAGAATCGTGCTCCGTTTTTTTCTCTCTTTTTAAGAAACAAAAACAGAAAATCATTGATCTGTACTGTTTTCATAGCTCAAACAAGTGAAGGAAAAATAGATGTCTAAAAATAAATTATAGCGAGCGTAAATTGTTAAATGAACTAAAAATATATATAGTCCTCAAAAACTTTTTGAATCCCATGTAATCCCTCTATTAAGCTTTGTTTAGTTTTATCTATCAAGTGCCCACAAGAATAATATGAGGCATGAAATAAATTTGGATATATGATGGAATTATAGGAAAAAGTGGTAGAGACTACAAAATAAATAAAGAAAATTGATAATCAAGACTAATGACACAGATTAACAGGAATTACATAGAAATAATAAAACTGAAAATTAAATTATAATTGTTTAAAAAATGGAAAACTAAATAAGAAATTATGATATTTTAGAGACAAGAAATTAGGTGTCATTGGGTCAGGCCGAATGGTGCACCAATTGACATTCATTGGGTCCATGGTTTAGTAGCAGAGAAAAATTGAGATAGGATAAGGTGAAGATGATCCACGTAACTTATTTGGACAAAGCTCCATCATCTTCAGCTTGACTAAAGAGTTAGGCTTATTAGGAGTGTGTCACATACAATTGATTTTCCAACGTTGAAAATGAACCAACAAGAAGAGTCTTGGGGGGAAGAACTTGTGACTAGGTATTGTTCATTGACTCAAAACCTTTCAGATTTTCAATAAATAAAACGTGGTTAGTCAGTTTTTTTTTTAATTATTATTACAGATAAATTACACGCATTTCACATATAAAAAAAAACATTAATTATATTATGCAAGGACGAATAGAAGGAACGACAAGAGTGGATTAAAACTCCTTTCTTCTCAATGTTATGAATACACACTTGTTCAATTTGTAAGTAGACTCTTGTTCAAAAAAAATATGGGACTTTGAGAGTTTTCAGTTTATATAGTTTGTTGGATATATTAGTATTTTGGAATCATAATCCTTTTAATTGAACTTTTTAAATTTATTTCTAACCCACTAATATTATATTTGTCATCTAACACTCCAAATCTAATGGATTTGACACAATCATGCATTCACTTGAATCCTCAGTCCAGTTTAGTTCTTATAGACTCTAGGCCTTGTTTTTAAATTACTGTCCAAACTTGTACTTTTTTCTTTATTTCTTGAAGCCCATTAGTCTATCTTTATTTAATAAATCTGTCTTAAGCCTTACTTGCCATGTGTATATTTTTTTCTTGTTTGGTTCTTTTTTTCTTTATTTGGGCTTTAAGTATATTCTTGGTATGAGCTTGTGCAGATTCTTGTTACGTTGAATACATAACCTTGTTATTTATATACTATTTTTCTTATTTATAACCTATTAATTAATATAAGATTTATTCTCTAATAGTACGCATTATTTTGTCACACCTTTCCACGAAGACGTGGCCTATGTTATAGTTCCATGTGAATTTGGTTATTGGCATTGTTGATAATGGGAATTTTTACCATCACTTGTAATGGATGTTCACTTTTGTTGCAAACTCCAGTTCAAACAGTTATTACAAATTCACTCAGATATCGGTGACTCTAGTTATAACACTAAACAATTTAATATTACTCGCCTTTTGAATTTTATTTTTTGGGGTCAAAGCCTTTTGCATCTAAAATTCTATAATAAAAAGGGACTTTTCTTCACTAAAACTGACCCATATAACTTGTAGTGAGTTTAAAAAACAAATCCTTTGGTAGGAGATTCTTCGTCCTTAATCTTAATGGATCACGAGATAAAATGGGGTTAAATGTCATTGAGTTGGTTCATCGATAAAGCATAATAACACATGTATTAAATTATCCTTAATTAATAAATATGTAACTAAAATATTTTGATATATTTTTTATCTCAACTTTTTTTTTTAAGTATTCAAACCTTTAGTTAATATTTCACAACTCGATCAACGAATATTTTCAATGATTCTTTTATAACAAGTATTTTAAGGGATTGATTGGTAAACAAGACTAAAATAAGGGTATGTTTGATTTCTCTTTTAAAAAAAGTTTTCAATTAATATAGTATAAATTTATAATATATTTAGAAAAAAAATAAAAAAACTCTTAAACAAACATACCCTAAGTATTTCATTTTTATGCTTTTTTTTATCAAATAGGTTACAAGAGTATTAACTGAAAATAAATAAATAAAATATTTGTACTAAAAAATAAGTGAAATTACATTAAAAGCATTGAATGTTTTTAAGTGAAAAATTAATTATTCTTCTGTGTATGGATTTAGTTGTTTGAGTGTCCAGAGTAAAAAAGAAAGGGCAAAAAAAGGTTATGATAAATTATTTGAGATAAAATATAATTATAGGCCAAAATGACAGTGATACACAAGCCAAAGTATAGGCTAATCAAATGAATCTGAGTTGTTGAGTTTGATCAAGTCAATTTATTTATTTATTTTTTACAAACTTTATTACTCAGTTTGAATTGAAACAACTTGGTCAAATTTAAGTTGAGCTGGCTTGGATCATTGGGGCATACAATGCTTTTAAAACAATCATAAAAAACATAAATAGATTGGTCTATAAAGTTTAAAACGTTTGCAAGAGATTGAATATGAACCTATCAAGTTTTAAGATTATTTCACTCTGTCCAACCTAACATAGTTTAAAGCAATGAATGAATTATAAAAGATAAAGTTTGTTATAAAGTGTGTATTTATATTTTGATTTAAAAATTTTACTAAATTTTTAATATCATATTTTATTATACGTATAAAAATGTATATATAAGTAATTAAATCTCAAACAACGCTTTTAACATATTTAATTAACTTTTTGACCATCGTAAAAGTTGTTATGTTTTAAATTAATATTTAAGAATATTATGGTAGAAACTCAATATTTAATAAAGAAAATGTGTTTCTTCATTTAATGTATCATAATATAATTTTGAAGTTACAAAATTGATTAAAAAACAAAATTTTATCAGTTGACTGAAACAAAACTTTGTCACGTATGATAATGCTGAATTGGAATTACCTTAGATGGATAAAAATTAATCTAATATTTACTCATAATTTTTAATAACTTAATCTTAACAATTTGGATCGGGCTGGGTTACCAACCCCATGACCATGATACCATACCATGCTGACCCAACTTTTAAAATGTGGACGATGCTTGCCGTTTTAGATAATCCTTCGTTTCTTGCCTTCTGAGCTTCAAATACAAGCTACCTCTCTTTTCAAAACCCTAATTTCTTCCTCTTCTTCCAATCTCAATTCATCAGATCGCCTTCGCTGCTTACTCAGGTATGCCTCCCAATTCTGTTATCTCACGCGATCTTTTTGTTTCAGATTCTGATTCTTCAATTTCAAAAATTTCACGTTCGACCTGATTTGCTCGACTAGTTTTCTAGCTTCGAATTATGTGTTTTTCGTTCTCTGTGGCATCGGATGTTGTAAATCACCCAGAAGTTGTGTGACTTTTGCGGTTATTTTGGGGAAGACAAATTGGATTTTCAGTTTCTGGAATTTTTCTGCCCCAAAGATCAAATCTTTCTTATCATTATCTTTTCTGGAAATGCAGAACACCCTCAGATGGATGATTTATTGATCGATATCAAGTCATAGTTCATTATAAATATTAATTGGGGTTGTTATGGCTAGAATTTGTTATTTTTATACTTTTTCCCCCTTTCTTTCTTAAAATTGAACATTAGTTGTTGGGGTGCCTGTGGTGATATTGGAATTTTATTGAGGTAGTGGTTTATTGTAGCATATGAACAACATTTAAAATGAAAATAAACAAGTTAATTGCTATGCTTGTTTTTCTTTAACATTATTGTGATGAGATTTTGAGTGCATGTAAACGGTATGTCCTTTTTTTATAGCTTACATAATTTTATTCTGCAGGAATTATGTCTTTTGCACAGAATCTTCAAGCAGAAGATCGTAGTTTACATGGTGGTTATTGGTCCACCTTTGATGGAAGCAACTTTGGTGGCAACAACAATAGGAAAAGGAGCAGGAACAATTATTACCACCGGAATTATAACTTTTACAATGACAACCGGACAAAATTTGGGGACCATGGTGTTAACTTCAATTTTTACCAGGCTGATCATGCTAATTATGTTAAATATGATGCTGTTCCGTCATCTTTGAAAAGGAGAAAATATTCAGCCCCTGTTTGGGAAGAAAGTCAAAAATACTATTTTCCTCGCATGGTCCATGACAATATCCCTCCATCCTGTAGTTTTCAGGCTCCTCCTTCAAGGTTCAATGCTGATGCCTCTACATCAGCTAGCTGCAAGCTTGATTGCTCTATTTTTGAAGATGATAAGCCTGTTTTTATGTCAAGGGATGAGATTGATAGATACTCTCCATCAAGGAAAGATGGCATTGATGTACATCACGAGACACACCTGCGGTACTCCTATTGTGCCTTCCTTCAGAACCTTGGAATGCGTCTTGAGCTGTAAGATTCATATTACTGGTCAAATTTGTGTGTGTTCTTTTGTGGTCTTGGTTTTGTGGATTTAATTAATCACCTCTTAATACTTGGTATTGGCATAAAATCATTCCATGACCCTTTTGCAGGCCTCAAACCACCATTGGGACGGCTATGGTTCTATGTCACCGCTTCTTTGTTCGACGATCACATGCTTGTCATGACAGATTTGTGAGTTTTTGTTTGTCCTCTAGCTCTAAATACAAGTCTTACTTTTTCTTACTAAATGCTTCAGTTAGAATCATTCATAAACTTTTTTCTAATGTCAGAAATGCACAGAAAAATTGTTGCAGGATCTTTATGGATGTTGTTAGTGCTTGTTTTTTTATTTAAATTAACTGTCCAATGCTGTGTTATTTGTTCCTTCAAGATGCACCTCAATGGCCAAGCTGGGTTTCTATTAATTTTATTCTCTTATGCAGTTGATTGCTACTGCTACTGTTTTTCTTACTGCAAAGTCAGAGGAAGCTCCACGCCCTTTAAATAATGTATTGAGAGCATCCAGCGAAATCTTACACAAGCAAGATTTTGCTTTGTTGTCCTATCGGTTTCCTGTTGTGAGTATACTTACCCAAAATTTCTTCGTCTTTTTTTATTACGTTACCTGTGGACAATATACAAAAAGCACCAAATGATAGCCTTTATTAATTTGCATATGGATATCTGATATGCCTATAAAATTACCTATGCTTATGTTTGCTTATTCACTTTAAAATTTTTAGATAGGCATTATCTGTGGAATGGAATATCAGCTTAAATGAGTGTATTTTTCTCTTGCATAGATCCTTTTGGGTTACCGTTGAATACTAGTTAAACTTTGATTGTAAGTTTCATTTATATTAACTTGATTGGAATTATTTAACAGGATTGGTTTGAACAGTATCGTGAAAGGGTGCTTGAGGCTGAACAGTTGATACTTACTACTCTAAATTTTGAACTCAATGTGCAACATCCGTATGCACCTCTTACATCCGTTCTTAACAAATTAGGTCTATCAAAGACTGTTTTGGTGAATCTGGCATTAAACTTGGTCAGTGAAGGGTGAGTTTTCTTATTTTTCAAACTTATACCTTTATGGCTTTAATAACGATGTTTGTTTGTACCATTCATTTTGAGGACAAAACTAGTTGGCTCAAATCAAATCTGTATGCAATGTTCTGAGCTGTTGACTGATGACATCTTCAGGTATCCCATTTGTTGGTTCTGACTAGGCTCTTGTTATCTAACAGAGTGACTGGATAAAAAAACCTAGTCTAGGAAACAGGCAATGGGGCGTTGGGTGTTAAATCTCATGCAATAGAATGTCTTGAGGTCTGGAGATCTAGTGGCTGAGGAAGATACCTTGGTGTCTCCCCTTCTAAATTTTGGTTCAAAATAGTGTTGATTCTCTCAATGTTTTTCTTTAGCCCAACTTCTCTGTGTAGCTATTCTGTCATGGGATATTGATTCTTTTGGCATGCATATAATTGCAGGATCTTCACAAGATTAGCGTGCTGGCCTGTATGATATTCTTAGCTGGCGGATTGATATGCTGTTCATGGAAAGTTTTGTTTTACATCTGAAGTTGAACTGCTGATGTCTAATGGATTGCTTTACATTGAATTTGTCCCATCAATTTCTTTGAGCTACCCAAGATAGCTACAAGAACCCTTAGCCCCAACTCTGATTTTATGTCTAACCCTCAATGCCTTGTAGTTTATGCTGATTTCCATTAACCAAAAGGGCTCTCTATAATTTTTAGTAACATAGGTGGAAAGAATATCATGGACTTGATTTGACAATCAGAAACTAACAAAAAGAAAAGAAAACAAGTGAGAGACAGAAGCAAACCGTCTAAAATTCAAATATGGAATGAATCTTTAATTGGTCTGAACAAATTTTGATTAGTGATTACTTGTTAATCAAAATGAAATCTTTCAACTACAGTGAATATAAAATGTGGAGGAAAATAGAGGTCTTTTCTACTGCTGGTCTGTTATTATTAAAGAGTTAGTGTCTCTACTGGTCCCTGTGATTTTGTTTATCCTCCTTTTCTTCAATGAAAGGAAACCTTTCCTCTTAGTCTATATATTGATTTGGAGGAAAACTATTCTCAGGCATGAACCAACCAATAAAGGTCTCTCTTCTGAAGTGTTTCCTTTGTGGTCAGTATAATTGCCGATTTTTGGGTTTGTGCTAAGTTTCTTAATTTCCTCCTCATTTCCAACCACATTGAATGTTTTGGTAACTCAAATGGATTATTTTTGACTCATTTTCATTTTTTTCCAGGTGTTTTAAATTTGGATTTAATTTTGTTCCATTTTCAATCTGCAAGATTTTTTCAGTTTTCATCCAATAATTTGTTGACGTATCAGAAAAAGTTTGACGACAACAACTACCTAAAAAATCATCCTTCTTAAATGATGATGAATGAAGAATTGTTGGATGATAATGTTCAAAATTATACATTAACAATATATCCATATGTTTAGCGTTGTGAGCCTTTGCATGTATTCTAATTTTAACTGAGCCATTTCTTTTTTCAAAAGCTCAAATATCTTGTTTTGTTCATGCTATCATGTATTTCCACCCATTGAAAAGTTCTTCGTATCTTTGTTCATTGACATTGAGTCTAGTTATTAAGTCTGTAACGGGAATGGAGGCTAAGATTTGACTGGCCTTCATTTGGAACAGAAAAAATTAGAATTTATTAACTCAAAATTCTGAGAATTTCACTTCCTTGTAGCAGTGAATTTTTTGGTAAGGTCTTCCTCTGTGTTAACACCTAGGTTGCAGCCAAAGTTATTGGAAATTTGAAATGAGAAGCCAATTGGTTAGATACATGTGTTCAACTTTTGAAGTAGATGTCCTAAAGCTTGAATGCTTGACTGATTTTTTTTAGTAGAAACTTTTTGTGATTATAAGATGATACCTTGTCCTTTATGTTAGTCTTTCTCTCTTAGTTGTGAGTCCAAATTGTTTATTGAGTATAATTCTGTTTATGTGTAGACCCCCCACTTCTCCCACCTACACAAAAAAAGCTCTATACTGAAGCTGGCTCACATTTTTCTTTCATTCTTCACACCATTTGGCATCTTGTGGTATTCTCTTTAGGTGTCAGCCTTAGTATGTTATTGGTTGGAGTGATAGATCTTTTTTATAATTTAAATGGCTCAGCATCTTCATGAAGTCTCAATACGGATGGAACCCCTGTTATCTCTGTACGGAGGGCTTTGCTAAATTTGATTGTTTTTGTCTAAAGAGATGTTCTTTGAGTTAAATTGCTCAAAGGTTTTCATGACTTAAAAGCATTATTTGTTGAATGGACAGTGGCTCTCTTTATGCTTCTCATTGTTCTAGGAAGTTTTGCTCTAGTGGCATAGTGTTGTGTGAGCAACCCATCTTTTTATCCTTTTATTCTCCAATCGGATTTAAAATAATACCTTCAGTACTTCCGAAAGTTATGCACAACTATTCTAAAAATTATAATTTACTCCATCCTTTTCCTGTGCTCCACCTTGACTTGAAGACAACGATGAAAAGAAATAGAGGAACTTGTTCCTGTTCTGTTTTTAGCCCTGTTCCCCCCAGAAAAAAAACCGGATAGTTGGTATCTTAGGTGACTGTGATGTAGTGGTTCTGTGCAGACTACATACCTTGTCTTAAGCTGACAATATTCCACTTTTGGCAAATCATGTGCAAACCTGGCTTTGTTGAAAAATAGCGTTAGAGGGGGGTCTTTCACCAAATCTCGTCCTATTTAGCCCCTCAGGTTACAATAAGAACCTCCCAATTGTGGAAACAGAAAGAGGGGTAAAATTACGTGTTTGTACTAAAATGAACTTTATAAATTTGTCCGTGCATCTTCCATGTATGCCAACTTTGGTGTAAAATTACAAGTTTGTACTAAATCATTGACAAGCTTTCTGCTTCAATTTCTTTTTATTTATTTTGCAATGCTAATTCAATTTTTCTTTTCTTTTTTTCGTTTGATGTTTTATGTTGTGGCATGAGTTTTAAAATTCTAATTTGCACCTGCAACGCAGAATTATTTGTTTTGTGGTATGTTGAATAAGTTGCATTCTTAGTAAACATTCCAATGTACATGGTAGCAAGGCTCTCCAGGTCAAAATATTGAGAAGATGTGGCATTGGCATTAGCTTTAGAAGATTCAATTGTTTGCAATATGCAGCACAGCATTGCTTCCTTGCATGCTTTCTCATTTTAGTTACATAAATTTCTGGAGTTTAGAGCCCCCACAGCAGAGTTGGGTCTGGAAGTCTGATAAATTCTCTAGATGAGTATAAGATATTGCTATAGTTTGGTACTCTTATCAGCAAATCCTGCACAGATTCTTGGAATTGTATTCTTCCTGAGTTGCTGCTTTTCTAGTTGGTAAGGAAAAGTTAATAAATTTGTGTTTTTCTCTTGGTATGAATGTTGAATACTATTTGTATTATGTAGTTCATATTATTGCTCATTTTAATAGCTGACATGATCTGTCATGGTGGGAACATATGCTAAGTTGGTGTTGCCTCGGATGGTTAGTTTGACTATTTATGTATCTCTATTTGCATTGAGCAATGGTGGCTGTAGTGATGTCTGTCTTGTATGGAGTACTGAAGCTGAAAAATGTTTTGCAGGCTTCGGAGCTCTCTCTGGCTTCAATTTAAACCCCATCATATTGCTGCTGGAGCTGCGTATCTTGCTGCCAAGTTTCTGAACATGGATCTTGCTGCTTTTCAGAACATCTGGCAAGAGTTCCAGACGACACCATCCATTCTTCAAGGTATCTTGCATCCACTTCCCTCTTCTAATTCTGGATTTATTATTCTATTATGAAATGGTCGGTTCAGTAGCAACAGATTAATGCACAGGAGTTTATTCCGATAATCAAATATGTATTCTGAATCTTCTGATATTAATACTGGTTCTTACATTGATGCAGATGTCTCGCAGCAGTTAATGGAGCTCTTCTGAAAGTATAATAGAAGAACTAGCTTATAGCATCCTTAATAGTAGAGTAGATTGAGTATATAAATCAAAAAATTGCGTACTTGAGAGGGAGAGCCACAGATCATGATGTTTAGGAACTGCGGTATATAATTTGGTGAATTACAGGATTAGTGGGTGTGACCTACGTGTTTTTTCAAGTGTTACCAACTTCTTTATGAATCCTCTGCTAAATGTTAAGCATGCTTTGCAATCATTTTTCTTGATGCTACCTGATTCTGTCAGTATTATATATTATCAACTGGAAGGTAGAGTGTGATTGGATGAGAGGTGAAATATTAAAAAAAGAGAAATAGAGGAGAAAGTGACAGAAGGGTGAGAAATAGAAGAAGAAAGAAATGTTGTTTGGATAGGTTAAAATATGAAGAGAGGAAATAAAAAACAATTTCTCAGCTTATTTGGAAAAGTGAAAAAAAATACAAACAATTGGTTTAATTATATTTAAATAATCATAAAAAGGTCAAATTTCTTAATATAATATTTTTTAACAAAAAAGCTTAAAATATTTTTCTTAACAAAAAAATATTAAAAAAACATATTATCAATAATTTCATAAACAAAAGCTCACGTCCCTTCCCCACACTTCCTCATTTTCCATTTTTCTTATTTCATCACTTCTTTTTCCTCTAATACAATAAATCCTTAGTGAATGAGGATCTTATCCGGGAGCACACGCAAAGATTTGTAACTTTGAATGCGCAACAATTATTCGATTTGGAAATTAAATTTAAGAGTGAATACTTTAAATGGTCCTTAAAAGATTTTAATAGATTTCATTAGATTTAATTTATTCTTTTATAAAAGAAAAATCATCAAAAAGTCTTACTTTTTTTTTCATGGAACATGCAAGTCGTCTTTTTTTTTTGTTTAACTTAACAAAATAGTTTATATTTTTTGCAAAAAAATAAAATAAAATTATAAGATGAAAATTATGTGCCTTTTTAACTAAATAATTGCTTATAAAAGCAATTTTGTTAAGTTGAAAATGAGTCTTTCTTTTAATAGAGACTAATTTGTCTTACAATTTTTTTTTTTAATTTCAAGAGTAATATGATAATTTTTATTTTGTCATGGACTAATTTGAGTATTTGCTCTAAATTGGATCAGCTCTTCCAAATTGAGTTGCAGGTGCTAGATTGTTATGAAGTTGACTTTGACCGCCCACAATCTGGTGTTGATGCAGAATTGATGGGAATAGTCTCCTGAATTTCATTTATAAATGACGTAGGTGTCTGGTAGGTAATGAAAATGCGTTCAACTAGATTGACTGTTACTCAGCTCTACTATGTATCCTATTCTTAAGCTCATTACATAAATTAATTATGATTAGATGAAAATATATATATATAAAAAATTGCGAAGAAGTCTGGATCATTAGTAGCATGATGATTTGTACCTGAATCCGAAAATCAAGAACGACTGGCGGCGAGGTTTGATCTAGGGAGAATCCCTTCGCATGCATGATGCTTGCCATCCTCGTCATTATTGTTCACTCTTTAGCAGCTGAAAAATAGTTACCTCGTCCCTAGTATATGTAGTATAAGCAAATTATAATTGGATACGAGTCTTAATTTATCACTTATATTGCTCAACTTCTCCTTTTAAAATTATGTAAAATTCTATATCCAACCCCATATCTTAAAACATTGGATTATGAGTCCTTGTCTCAACTTTTTCACTCTTGTTTGTTACCTGAACATTGTTTATGCACTGTCATTTGTTCTGTACCTACGTAACATATTTCACATGTATCACTACTTCCACAAGTTTTTAGTTGAGAGTAATGAACTTCTTGCCGTTGAACTAACCAAGTTTGCGGTTGGCATTTATTGAAACTCCTTGTCGACACTTGCAGTGCTTTGTATCCAATTACTTCAACTTTTTAGGTCCTTTTCACCTAAATAGCTAACGAGTACCACAAAAATGTCAGTTTAGAGTATTAAGTTACATAAAGAATAAATTTTTTATTTTTCAATATACTAAAAATGGCCTTACTGAAAGGAAATAATTTTATTTACAGTCAACCAAATTTCTTAATTAAGTTAATTGAATATAGTTGAACTTTTTAGTTGAAATTAGTCGAATGTTAAAGCTTTCGTAGCATTCTGGCAGCCCTCAATAAATTAGCAGTAACGTAACGTTGTCGTGCCTCTTTATAAGGTGGATCTTAAATGAGCCTCGTGTCAGATCAGAGGAAATAAATATCTACGTGTCAAAATGAGATTATTAAGTTCTTCTGCAGAAAAAAAATGTTTGAATTTAGGTAAATTCACACTATAACCTATTAAAGAGTTAGTGGGAACAACAATTAAAAAGGTCGATTTATTCGAATCCCATTCAACTCTAAAGAAACAACTTTTTAAAAAGGATACACTGAGATAAGAATACAAAATGCGAATATGAACACGAAACTCATCGATCTGAATGTTCTTTCATTTCTATTGAAACGTGCAAGGTTTGAGAAACGTGTTATTCTTGTAAAGCATATTATTATAAATGAGTTTTATTCGTGTTGTTCCGTTCACAAATAATCTTCAAGAGACACGTCGCTTAAATGACACCCAAACAATAATCCTTCATAATATTATCTTATATTTTTTTATTCAATTCTACTGTTTATCTTACCATCACATTTTACAATTGATTCAAGCTGGCTGGAATTAGGTCAAATTACTGTAGATAATCACTCTTTCTTCTATAATTTTAGATTAATTACATTCTCTCAGACATAAACTCAAGACATTTGTTAAATTAGAACAGTTACTTTACGCATATAATAGGCGTATAAAAATGGGTATGTATAGATATGTTTATCCCATTATAGAGTATGAGTTAAAATTGGCATTGAATTAAATTTAATTATCCTAACTTGAATATTAAATTTCGATGTACCATATTAAATTGAAGGGATATTTTTTTTACTTTATAATAAAATTAAATTTAGTCTATCTAAATTTGTATTTAATTTTTAAATTGTAAATTTTGATACATTAAATTAAATGAATAATTAACAAGTACAGAGATGGATTGCTCAATTTAAATAATTATTTTTTCATAATTTTTATTCATTTCAAAAGTCTTATTTTTAAAATTATTTTAATATATTATAATAAAATATATTTTTTCATCAATAAAAATATTTTTAGTATATTTATTTCTTAAGATATACAACTTTATTATGATTTAATAATAATATATCCTCAAGTTTTACTTAAATTATATATAAAAAAACTATCCATTAAACGAAAAATGTACTAACTACTGGTGAGAACTTACCTTGCGGAGGATAGTTTCTTTAAGATAAAACGATTTTTTAATACATGACATACAAATAAAAAATTAATATAATATTTTTATCAAAATTATAAATGTTATAAAATATTATACATTAATAATATTAAAATTATATTTTTAATAAAATCTATTTATTATTATTATTATTATTATTATTTTCATACATTTTAAGTGTACTTTAGAAAAATGGAAATAAATTATTTATTGATTTTCATAGTTTCTTTTTACCGTAGATTCGGTAAAGAGGAAAACGTATAAAAAGTAGGGAGTGTCGCTTTGAACCTCAACTCATCCTCATTCTTTGGATATACCATAAAACTTTTCAACAATAACCACCTGCTTTCAATGATTGCGGCACCAATCTATTGTTTGTATTATATAAATGGCTATTTTTAATTTAAAAAATTATTATTAATATAAAAACAGATGTTTTTCTTCGTGTTTAATTTGATAAAAATACTAATTTCATTTTCTTCCGGAATAAATGAGTGAGAAAATGATAGTATTTACAGATATTATTTTTTTGAAACCCTTTCCTTTTCATAAATAAATTGACATCAGATAATAGATAAATTTCGTGTCTTCAATCTTTTTTTTTTGCCCTTAAAAATTATACCAATCAAAAAATAAAATTGAATTAAACAAATAGTCAAATACAATACAACTGTGTACGACAAACTTTCTCTATCTATCCATATATTAAAAAAAAACTTAAATTATAACCGATTGACAAATTCATTGTTAAAAACAAAAGCAATTCTATTGCATTCTCAAAAAATGAAAATATAATTACAATAATAAATACAATTCCATTTTTCAGTGCATTATTGAAATCTTTTATGACAAGACATACTTTCTTATTTGATCTTCTAATACCGTGCAAAAATATAAAATAAAAAATAGTTAACATTTGAAAAACATGAAACTATTTAAATATTTTGATTAATAAATGAAAATAATAATAATAAAAAGTCGTAGAAGAATTTAAAATTATTAAATAATGAAAGGCATGCATGTCTATTGTCTTCTTGAAAGAAAGTGGATGATATAATAATTTTGATTTTTTGAGTAACCTCGTAGTGAGTGCCTCCTCTCTTTCTCCTAATCCTCTTCGTCTCATTCTCCAGATTTTCATATTTCTCTCCTTGCAATTGCCTCCATCAAGATAATCGACACATCTCGAACCAAAACGCTACTTCCCGATTGTCGTTTCAATCCCATGGATCCCGCACCTGCTGCGCAACGTCGTCTCAGAGCCATTCACTCCCACCTCATCGCCGCCGTCGATGATTCTTCCTCTCACCTCCGATCCAACCCCACCGCCGGCGAGTTTGCCTCCGGTACGCTCTCTATCTTCAGATAACGGTTGATATTGCACTTGCGTGCCTCACTCGGGAAATTGGACCAACGAGGATAAGATAGTGATGTTTATGATGCAGTGTGGTGGATCAAATTCTGTGGTTTTTTTTTCCTCTCTGAGGATGAAGTTGATTTGTCTTTTCTGAATTTGGGATTGGAGGCAAAGTAAAAAGGAGTACGGATTTAATTAATGTGTATTGGATAAACTTTTAATCTTTTGGGTGGGTCATTGGAATGGCTTTATGGGTCATCAAAATCCAGAAGAGGGTCAACTTTCATGCTTTGATAGTGCTGGGCGATGTGAGTGGTCTTTGGTTAATTGGATTGTGTGGAAAGTTGTTCCCTGAGAAAAGAGAAGATTCGGCTTGTCTCACTTTTTCAGTGTCTAGGGCACTTAATAGTCCTGATCGCTGATTGGAGGGTTTTGAGAATGAATATGTCCCAGTCTATTTGTTATCGTCCGTTCGTGCATTTGGGGAAACTTTTGGACATTTTTCTTCCGTTGATGTGCACAAAAAAATATAAAAATTGAAGGCATACAGTGGTTGTCCTTTTTTAAAAAAAAATAAAACAAAACTTGCATACTGTTAGTGCTGTTTTTCCATCAAAATTGAAGTTTCACCTCAATAATAATTGTAGTAATAAGTTTTGTCCTGGTAATGTTGGAACTTGGAATTAAAATTTAAAAGAACGTAGACAACAGTTTGGGAGGTGTTTTGTTGTTATTAATGTTTTGGTGAGGCGAACGCTTAGTACTGGACAGACCTGAATGTTGCATATATTGGTTCTTAGTTCCCACTTCATTATCTGGAACTTCTTTTATTTTTATTTAATTCTTTAGTCAGAAGAAGCGGGGTCATGGTTGAGAGGAGTTGGGTAAAAAAACTTTAGATTCTGATGCATGATGAAGCTTGACTTTGTGCAATGTATCGATAGAAAAATACTTGCATTTTTCTAATTCATTCAAGTTATGTGATCTGGACAATCACATCACTAATTTTGGTACGTAAATGTTAATTAACAGCGATAATTGCCTATTAACTAATGATGTGATTGGCTTAGTGCTCTCTGAATCTGAATTTTACTTCTAATCATTTTACATCTTTTGGGGACAATGAGAGGAGCCAAGACTCAAATTGGAATGCTATTTCTCATTCTTTGGTAACAATCCTGAACATTGAACATTTTTAGTTTAAGGAAATGAATTTTGAAATAGTAGACTGCCCTAATTCTATGGTCACTGTTGATCACATTACTCAAAGGTGACTGGTGAATTTTTTTTTCTATCCATTGACTGATGAATGTTTTCATATACCTGGCTTAATGGAATTTTTACTTTACCTTCTTGCAATTACTTTATTCGTCAGGCATATGTGATACTGTTAGTTTTGACCTTTACTCTGAGCAGAACAAGGGTATAGTGTTGTACTCCCAGAGAAATTGCAAACAGGAAAGTGGAATGTGTATAGGTATACCTTTTCTAATGTTCTTATTTCAATTTTTATACATCATTCTAGGGCGAAGTCTCTGACTCTTGTATCATTTTTAAATTATTATGGCAGGTCTGCACGTTCTCCTCTGCAGCTGGTGAGCAGGTTTCGTGATAATCCTGAAATCGGCACCCTGCATGATAATTTTGTGTGAGCATTACTCTTTTTCCATGCAAAAGTTATCTTTCAACTTCATAAGATTGATGAGTAATCTGAATGAGCAATACTTTACTAAGAAACTATTTTTCATGTCTACAAAATTGATATGTATGTTGTTAAACTTTGTTAATAATAGGCGCTCAGTTGAAACTTTTCGAGACTACAAATATCTGGGAACACGTATCCGTGTTGATGGAACAGTGGGGGAGTAAGCAGCTCAATTATCAACCTATGAGGCTTTTTGGGAATTGTTTGTTTTTTCATTTGTTCTTACTTTACATCATTGTCACCATTTCCATTCTTTAAGGTACAAATGGATGACATATGGAGAAGCAGGTACTGCCCGGTCAGCTATAGGTTCTGGTTTGATTTATTATGGAGTCCCAAAGGTGAATGCTAGATTATATTTGGATGGTTGTTGATTATTATTTTATAGTTTACAAAGTATCGAGTAACTACTGGTTTACATGTTCATTTTTAGGGCTCCTGCATTGGGTTATATTTCATTAACAGACCTGAGTGGCTCATCGTTGATCATGCTTGCTCTGCATACTCATATATATCAGTGCCTTTATATGACACTCTTGGTATGTTGCTACAATTTCTCAGGGAATATTTTTTCGTTCATATTTATCTTGATCTTATCTTTAGATTTAACCGCAAGAAATTGCTTGCTTTGTAGGTCCTGATGCTGTCAAGTTTATTGTTAATCATGCTGTTATACAAGTTATATTTTGTGTATCTCAAACATTAAATTCAGTAAGTATATGTGAGCTTCTTCAAAATTTAACATACCTCTTTTGTTACCTTTACAATGAATACCATAGGATCATTAGTACCCTTTTTGATGACTTAGTGTGAATTTGATGGATTTTACATGCAAATACTATATGCATCGAGTATACTGAGTCTTAGTTTTAAGGTCTCTTGGCTTCTGGATCATGTGCACAAATATTAAGCTAATCCAAACACAAACTAATTTGATTAACTTCTGTGGATCAATCATATTTGATAAAACAAAAACTAACTAATTGCTTTTTCAGCAGCTATTTTCACTAGTAAGTAATCAATAATATCTGTAGAATGAGAATGTAAGATCCCAATTTCCTATTCACCCTATAAGTCAAGTTCCATTGATTAGGTTGATGTTTCAGTTAAAAGCTTTGGAGTTTAATGTAATATTAGGTTTTGTTTTTACTTTTCATGGTATATAAAATCACTGAATATATGTTACAAAGATTATCACCTTGTATTTTTGGGGAATAAAAATGTTTTTGTTGTCTGCATTGTGATTAGGATCAACTAATCGATTAACCTGTCATGAAATAAAGATGTATCCATGTTCATCTCCACTTTAGTTTTTTTTTTTTTCTTGCTAGAGTATTCTACACAGCTTCAATCATCTTTTGCAAAGCTTATGTATCATGTCTCCTTTCCCTTGCAGTTGTTGAGCTACTTGTCTGATATTCCAACTGTACGGCTAATCGTGGTATGTGTGAATTTATGGCTTGTGTTTGCAACTGAATGCCCATTCACTAAGTAAGCCATGCTAATTTTTAGTTAGTATGCAGGTAGTTGGAGGTATGGATGATCAAATCCCATCACTTCCACCATCAGCTGGAGTTCAGGTTATTACATATTCAAAGCTACTTAATCAGGTAATTTTATTGTTTTCCCTGTCAAAGAATGTTGATTTTGTGGAGCAATACATAGCAGATTCATGTTATTTATTATATGCTTCCCTGATTTAGTAACGAAATTTCACTTCTGTGGTTTTCTTTTTCTATCTCTGTTGTGGTCTATCAGTTTTAAGTTCCTTTTGTAAATGGTATTGCTAATAATTTGATCTGCTTCTATTTAATGTTTGTTACTCCTTTGTTTGTGTGATTTTTATTTAGGGACATAGCAATCTTCACCCCTTTTGCCCACCAAAACCTGATGACATTGCAACCATTTGCTATACAAGTGGTACAACTGGAACGCCAAAAGTGCGTAGGTTCCCATAAAATTATGGTTTAGTTTTTCTTGGTATATTATTCCTCTAAAATGTTTTTATTAGCTTATAAATCAATTATTCTTCATCTTTCCGCTCAACAAATTCTGGTCAGGGTGCTGTCTTGACCCATGAAAACTTTATTGCAAATGTTGCTGGGGCTACTTTAGATGAGAAATTCAGCCCTTCTGATGTGTGAGTCATTTTTGAATATCTACAGTATTCATTGTCATTTTTTGGCTGTTACAGTTCACTCTAATGTCTTTACCTAATTGTCCTTTGATTTTCAGTTATATATCCTATCTCCCTTTGGCACACATTTATGAACGAGCAAACCAAGTCATGACAGTATATTTCGGCATTGCAGTAGGATTCTACCAGGGGGTGCGTGTCTTTAACTAATTAAGCTTATTACGTCCTTTCATTTGGTTTATGTATAATCATTTTGAAAGATCTTATATGTTTACGAAAAAAATAATGTGTTATAAATGCTGCTTTATACTTGTTTTGCATGGATCTGGTGAGTATAGCTACTTAACTTTTAAATAACATAGAAATAAAGATCTCTCCTACAATATGCTGTAGCATAAGCGGGAGCGGCCCATATAATTTGTTATGTGAGGCCAACATATTTACATTTTCATACTTGCCATTTCACAACATGCTGCATTGATCTGTAAAAAATTTGTTTTGAAAAAGTCTTACATGTATGTATGCGCACACACACATATCCATGGATGGATTAGAATGCAACCTAAAATGTACTTTCTAAATAATAACTACCTTTTTGGCCTGACTGTTCAGCTGTATTTTCTAGTAATTTAATCTGGTTTGTAATATACTATACCTTGTATGATATGCTAAGGTAGATTTTGCAATGGTTAGTTGTTTCATTATTTTCTGAAATATTTTCAGTTAAGCCTGACATAATGACATTTTGTTTTTAACATTTGCATGCAGGATAATATGAAATTAATGGATGACCTAGCTGCTCTAAGACCTACTATCTTCTGTAGTGTTCCTCGGCTGTATAATAGAATATATGCTGGGTAGAGTAATTATACATCTATACTGTATTTTTAACTGTTAGCTTCTCATATGTTCATTGTACCATTCAATTGAATTTTTTATTTTGGCAGTATCATCAGTGCTGTTAAAACATCTGGTGGTCTGAAGGAGAAACTATTTAATGTTGCCTACAATGCTAAAAGGCAGGCATTATTGCATGGTAAAATATATCTGCAATGATCTATCTTTTCCATGGCTAATGTTTTATAGTTATTTTGCCTGATTTCTTCATTATACTACTTAATTATCACTATTGCTTAAACATTGCTTCAGACGATTCTTGTACCAAGGTTATTCTCCTATCTTTCATTCATTGATGGTCATAAACTCCCTGTTTATATGTGCTATCAATAGTTTATATGGCTGTATTTTTTCTGTGGGAGAATGGAAGATTCTTCTCTTCCCACCCCATTTTTATTTCTTGTAATGGGTTGAATTGAATCTCATTTTCAACAATAGTAGCATATTTATTTTCCAAAGCTTGTTTTTATCTTTTACATAGCTGGAACAGAAGTTCTCTTTTGATGACTAAAATGTTTTAATGCATTATTTTTTGCTTTAATTTTCTGCATTTGCTGTACTGCTGCTTAAAATTCTGTCACTTGTGGTCAAATTCATGCTTCTTTGTGTTTGGGTTTTATCCTTTGCATTGAGTTTAATGTGATGGATCGGCAGTTATAGCATGTCTCTAATTGTTTAAACATACTTTTGATTCTAAGACCAATCCTAGTTTTCCAAAGAGATATAAAACAAATTTGTGACCTTAATTAGGCATAATTATTGTAGTACTTTCTGCAATTGTGTACTCCTGTCAGTTCTGACTTTCTGTATGACAAATGGCTCAAAATTTAACTGAAGCTTATATTCTCCAATGTTGCTTATTTCTTATACTTTGTTTGTAAAATGTGTTCTTTCTCAAAACAAAAATCAGTTTAGCTGTAGCTGAGAACTTAGGAATATTATATCCTGCTCATTTGGTTGTGATGACTTTGATGTGCTGTTTAATTACTTTCTGTTCTCTCAAACTTATCTACATGAAGAAATTCCTCTTTTATTTGTGTCTGTGTTCACCGTAGTATAATTTAATAGAAAACTTTCAATGTCCATATTTTCATCTGTTGCAGGGAAGAATCCGTCTCCAATGTGGGACAGATTAGTTTTCAACAAGATAAAGGAAAAGCTTGGAGGACGAGTTCGTCTAATTGTGTCAGGTGCCTCACCTTTATCACCTGATATCATGGAATTTTTAAAGATGTAAGTTTTACACAATATTGATGTATACATTGCTAAAGATAACAGACCTCTTATTATTATTTTTATCCATTTTTCCTTGCTGAATAATGTATGAATGTCTACTTCACAGTTGCTTTGGTGGTCGAGTGACTGAAGGATATGGAATGACTGAGAGTACATGTGTTATTAGCTGTATTGATGAGAGTGACAAACTTGGTGGTCATGTTGGCTCTCCTAATCCAGCCTGTGGTGAGTATTTAGTCGCATAACATTGCTTGCTATACATTAATGATTTAACCTTGATATTATATTTCAGACAATATGCAGCATGCCAACCATTCAACTAACTTTATCATAAAATGGTGAAAACTATAATTCTTTTTTCAATTTATTTTTAAAAATTTTGTCGCAATATCCTATCATTGTGATTATTCAGAATGTTCGTTCCCTTGGTACTGAATTTTAGGGATGAGCTGTTTTCTTTATTTGATGTATTCTTTTATAAAATGTTAGTGAATTCTAGACTGATTTTTTTTATGCTCCTGCTGAATGTGTAGTTTTTGTTTATGCCTGCTATTGGGCTGCTAAGGGACTTTTTTTATATTGAGTTGTCACTTGGATTTTTCACTTTAGTGCAATCTAATTTTTATCATCCGAAGGACCTGAATTATCACCTGATAGAAAATATGGAAATTAATACGTGTTGGGTTCTGTTCCAATTCTTTCCTGCCAATGGCAATTTTCCTTTTGCTTTTATAATAACTTTGTGTTGGTGTTTAGTGTTTTAATTGTATTTTATTTGTCTAGTAACCATGAAAAAGTGGATTTGAACACTTTACCTTCGCCCTTCTAAATTGAGAGAATGTAAAAAAGATGAATTTATATTTAATTTATTTTAGCTGTAGCTTAGTTTGCCCAATGCCAAGAATTTTGTTCTTTTGTTTCAGAGATAAAACTTGTGGATGTTCCAGAAATGAACTATACATCTGAGGATCAGCCCAATCCCCGCGGTGAAATTTGTGTCAGGGGTCCCATTATTTTTCTGGGTTATCACAAAGATGAAGCTCAGACGTAACTACCTTGCCTGTTTGGTTCTTGTGAATGAAATATACCTTGTCCTGTTTAAAAGTACCTGAATTTGAATCAAAATGAGCAGGAGAGAAGTCATAGATGAAGACGGATGGCTGCATACTGGAGATATTGGAACGTGGATGCCTGGTGGTCGTCTCAAAATTATTGATAGGTGAGATTGCATCATCCTAATTATAATTATAATCCCTATTATTTAGTAAAAAAAAAGCTTTTTAAATTACAATCCATCATTAAATTGATTCTATTTGTTTAATTTCATTTCGATCCAAGTGTGCTCTTTCAATGGGTAGACTTGAATGACTCCTTATAGTGAACATGCTATCTTTTATTGGTGCTTTGTTGAGTGAGTTTTATTGTTGTAAGACTTATAACTACATATTGTCTACTTAACTTTTATATATTCAACTTAAGTGACGTTCTAAGAATGATACCCCTAGTGGCCTGTCTACTTTCTCACCACAATTTCCACAACGTTGGATGAATTTGTCTAGCTTATAAATCAAAGTTTTTCATTTCGTTTTAGGAAGAAGAATATCTTTAAGTTGGCACAAGGTGAGTACATTGCTCCTGAGAAGATTGAAAATGTATATGTCACATGCAAGTTTGTGGCGCAGTGCTTTGTATATGGTAAGGAAATGAATCGTTCCTACAATTTTGTTGTGTGCGCCCTTTATAATGTGTCTCTTACTTTATCCATGGGTAGCTTGTTGATGCATTTTTTCCCCTTTATAGGAGATAGCCTAAATTCTTCTTTGGTAGCTGTTGTCGCAGTGGATCTTGATGTCTTGAAAGCATGGGCTGCTTCAGAAGGCATAACGGTAGTATAAATTTATAGGTTGTTTTAATCTCATTCATTGTGTAATTTTGCTTTGTTCATACTGCCTCTTGATTTTGTTCATTTGGTTGAATATCCTGGTGAACATACCATTCAGGATGGCTAACAAATCAAGCGGTTAAAAATATTCAAAGAGGGTTTTGTTTAACATGATTACCAGAAAATCCTGAATTGTATTTTTTGCTTTAAGTTATACTTCTATTTGTCGAACATGTACTAAAAAGTCTATCTAGTCAGTTTTTAAAACACAGTTTTAATTTGAAAACGTCTTGAAATGTATTTTTGAATCAGATTAAGTATGATAAGGACTTACTACAAATTTTGTGAAAACAAATTTGTAGGAGAAATTATTTAGCCTCGTAATATAGGGCTTGCATTCACTTATGCTTGTCAATAACTACCTGAAATAGTACGAACATTTACAATTGAGTTGAACTAGCCTTTTTTCTTTGATCCTAGAAGAAGTTACTTCAGGATCAATTACGGTGCTTTGTGGTGGTTCTTTATATTTCTTTTGATAGCCTTTGTGGTTCTTTCACCTAATTTTGCACCCGTAGCCCTGTATTTGTATGATGGTTCTTCTATCTTAGTAAATTGTGTAGTCCTTTCGAGGTTTCACAAAAATTTACGCACTGGCCGGGTAAAACATGGGAAGTTTATATGTTAACATGAGGCAGGCCCGTGTAATTTTGAAATTCAAGAAGGTTGAAATCTTTTATTTTATATCAAAATTCAAGGGAAGTTTAAGAAATTTACTCTAATAATTTTATTTTGCTGCAAAGTTTGATATTAATTTATAAATATAGGCTACTACTATAACTGATACTGTGGGCATGTGTGTAGTATAATGATTTAGCACAACTTTGCAACCATCCAAAAGCAAGGGCAGCGGTTTTGGCTGAGATGGATGCTGCTGGACGAGAGGCACAGGTAAATTATTCATTTTATGTTACATTTATGCCTATCTTCTAATTTGGCTCGTCTAATAATCTTAAATATCTGTATGTTTATTTTATGCAATGTAGCTTAGAGGTTTTGAATACGTAAAAGCTGTCACTTTGGTGCTTGAACCATTTACGATGGAAAATGGTCTGCTGACTCCAACATTCAAGGCAAGCTATGACTTCTCAGATTGCTTGTTTTTCATTTAGAAAATGTTAACATCAGTCTTTAAAGTCTATTTTAAGTATTTAAAAATGATAAATTTTTTTTAGAAAAATATTTGTTATTCTTTTGTTATAAATACTTTCTTGTCTGATTAAAAACTTCTTATTTTCATTTTAACCTGATATGTGCTGTGTGGTAGTAAATCATGTTTTGTGTATGTGCATGTAACTTTTCAGATTAAGAGGCCTCAAGCGAAGGAATACTTTGCAAAAGCAATATCTGATATGTATAGTGAGCTCTCAAGAAGTGATCCTTCTCTGAAAACGTTGTGAAATTGAGGCCATCAGGAGCAGCTATTGGACTTCTCTGTAAACCCAAAAACAAGAGAGAAACTAATAAAGACACGACTGAGAACCCCTCATCGTAAACTACAATTATACGCTTCGTAAGGCAACATAACAGAAGCATCCAATGGGAACGATCTTGCAACTGATTGTTGTATTATGTTGTATCATTTCATCAGACTAATGCTAGAACCCGATTCATATTGAAACTTAGCTTATGGTTCTTTAAGGTCAAATTGCCTTACGCAATTTTTATAATTTTCTTTTCAATCGATGTTTTTGTAATTTTTTAAAATATGTTTCTTTTCATTTTTTCCTTGTGAATCGATACCTACCCATTCAATTGCATTTTGATGCTTGTTTTTATTTTGGTGGGACTTAACTAACTAATATTATTGCGTGTGGGTATTCTTTTATCTTTTGGCGGAACTTCACTAACTAATATTATGATTCTTGTGAATATTCAAGAATCGAAATAACATTTATTTTGTATTATATAATAACGTAAAAAATTTAAAAAAAAAGAAAAGGGATTGAAGTGCATATTTAAATGCGAGTTAAGTTAATCAAGAATATAGTTTGTAACATGATTTTGTAATTATTATTATTGAATACAACTGTGGTGTGAGCATCCTTTCTGAAAAACTTCTCTCTATCTTTTTTCAAAATTTCAGTTCTGAATTGGCAGAGAAAGAAATAAAAGACAAAAGTAGAGAACCAGACAGACCTGAAACTGAAAGGGAAAACAACAGTCAGATGAGAGTCTTTTTTGCGTTCTACACTGACAGCTGCTTCAGAGTTACAGTTTGGATGCACCCTCCTTGTTTTCAACTATTCATTTTATATATATATATACAAGTATTCTATAAATATATACTTTTTGTTGTCATTTCTAAATATTTATTCTCACTCTTATTTAAAATATTTTTCTTAATTATATTAATAGTAAGAATATTTTAGAAAAAAATTGTTCCCATGTGAGATTGCGAGCTGCTTATATGATTTGTTGATAAATCAATTAAATGTAAAACTAGTCAGCTATTCCCATCTTCTGTTGTTATTTTTCTGCTGTGCAAGTATTGTATCTTTGTAGGAATCCAACCACTCCATCACATCTTAGGCGATGGTTGTGATACTCGGTAATTTTTATAATTTTTTTATAATATTTGAGTGAATTAGATGGCAGTGTAAAGTTTTATTTTGATCACTACCCAACAACGTAAATTAATTGACAAAAAAATGTTACAACTTAATCTCGAGTTGAAAGTCACAATAAACGTTTGTGTAATAGGTTTAGGAAAAAAGTCATCCTTTGAATTAGAGACCAAAAAACAGGAGCCAAACATATGCCATAAGCAATTAACTTTTGGTTCTCTTGACTTTAGGGGGTGCCGTGCCTTGATGCAAAATACTCGGCAAAGAAACCAGTTATGAGTTATGATCAACCTTCAATCATCATTTCCTCGCAGAGCACGCTTTGCTGCGTTAACAATTGGTCCCCGCGAGCTTCCTTTTGCAACCATAGGAGCTCTGATGAGATATCATAGATGTATGCATTCACACCATTACTTCACCTTCTTTTTTCCATTTTCTAATATTAGCTCTTTAAGTTGAGTAGGGTTGGAATTTGCTATATTAAAGATACAAGAATATAATAAATACCTTTTTAAAAAATAAATATTTTTATCATTAATTGTTTAAATTCAAATAATATTGAAAGTGATTTTTTTTTTCTGTTAGACTGTATTGACCAGACAAGTAAGGGTGAATAATAAAAGACAAGTTTGCGTGCCGGGCACCAATTTTTAGGGGTTTCTTTAGAAATCATTAACCTCTCTAATATATCAAGTTTTAACTCATCCGAAAGACAATAAATCAAATGAGACAGAAAAGAAAGGATATGAGAAAGGGAATTTGGATGTTTAGATTTCTATTTATATAATCAATCATAACAATCATAACTCTCATAAATCCTACATGCAAAGAAAAAATACATTGTAATGTATCTAACGTGTATATTTTTCTTGTCATTCAAAACGTGGCTATGATCTAGGAAAAGGTATTACAGAAATTGCCTTGATCAATTCCAGTACAAGAAGAAACCAAAAAATGTCCACAAACCAAACTAAACAAAAGCACTTTCTTACTAAACATAACTAGAAAAAGCCAGTGCAAGGACTGGCATGGCCAAACCCATCAGTCCCTTAAGAGTAATCAATTTAGCAGCATTGCTAGGAGAAGGTGCAGGAACACTAGCAGCTGGAACTGTCGGAGAGGCCAAAGCTGAAGGAGTAGGTGCATCTGCTGAAACCTTGAGGACGTTAATATCAACCTTTTGTCCAGCTTGGCAGTGGCCAGGAACACCACAGAAGAAGAAGTGGTGACCATGATTGGTTATCTTAATGGAGTCATTGCCGGTGGTGAAGGTTGCAATAGGCGATGATGCGTTGCATGCCTTGTACATGACATGCGTCCCTCGCATCACATTATGGAATTGAGCATTGTACTGAAATACTGAAAAGCACAAATCACCAACTATTTCAGTTCTGTCCATACTAATAATCATAATTAAGTAAAGACTAATAAAGACCATGCTCTACAATGATTTTCTGTTGAATTTTTATGAAATGTACTAATTGAAATTTGTAAATGTCCACCGTGAGGCCAACAATCTCATTGCATGTTGTTGTTTTGTTTCTTCGTCCGTAAGAGGTCGTGAGCATCATAGCACAAAAAAGTTAATGCAAGTGGAGGTGGTGGGTCATGCTCGTTTTCATCTATCCTCACGAAACTGATGTGTGAAGGCTCTTCAAGAAAATAGAAAGGCTTCAAACGTTTCTAATTCCTATAAATATGATTAATTTTAATTTTTAAAATTTTTTTACTAGTTTAAAATTTAAAATAGTCCTTGTTGATGACATGATTTACCTGTACTAATACCATGTTAACAATTACCTTACTTAAGATAATAAATAATGCGACATATTTAAATGTATATTATATTAGAAACAGGACCGTTTAAAAAAATTATAATTTATTGGAACTGTAATGAAAAATTAGATGATGAAAACTAAATTCAGTGATATTTTTTAAGACTAAAAATATATTTTATTTAAATATAATTAAAAATAAATAAATATATATAAAGCAGAATTTTTTTATAATGATATAAATTTAAAAACTCTTATAATTAATCTGAATCTTTTATTTAACTTAAATTTAACATGTTATAATTTATTACTTCATTTATTGTTAGATTTTAAGTTAAATAAAAAGATCAAATTATATATAAGAGTTTTTAAATTTATACTAATATAAAAAAATAGAAAACTTAGATTGGATGTAAGAATTTTTAAATTTAAAAAAAACTTTTTCAATAACCAAGGCATTCTTACTCTTTAATAAAGTGAAAGAATATTAAAAATTGAAATGCTCAGCATGGAAGTGCAATGGTGGGGTATACTGGAAGCAAAAACAAGAGAAGTACTTAATTTGAGTTTTCTGCACTAATGGGCAATGTTAGAAAAATGGGGTATCACAGAATTGTGAAATAGCGTTAATATGTTTGTTTTCTTATCATTCTAAGAAGATAGTGCAGAACTAGTAAAAATTACGTTTTCCATTTTCCAGAAAAGGATTGAACTATTCTACTAACAATGAACAAAAACAACAAAAATAAACAAGCAAAACATAGAACTGGAGTTAAGAAGACTCACTGATAGTATCACCAATTTGGAAGCTCTTGGTAGCAGCCCACTTTTTGTAGTCTATGTTGCCAAGGGTAGTCCAACCAGCAGAGTCCCCAACCTTGTAAATAGCTGCATATGAAACCTGCAAAGCTGCCATCACCAAGAAAAACAAAACCACACCTCTTTCTACTAAAGCCATGTTTGTAAGCTCTGCCAAAAATAATTAGAGATTCTTCTCCTTGTTTTGTATGGTCTTTTGCTAAGGTTGGGGCTTTATATATCCTTTTGACTACCTTGGCTTCGAAAGGCGTTGGTTGTTGGAAGTTAGAGAATGGCAAAGCGAAACGATTAATCGTGTCTTGTTAATCGGTTTGTCTGATGAAAACATCCTTTGTAGTATTATTGACAAAGTGACATGTGGTCCGCATAATCTTATTAATCTCACCGCATTCATAGTTTTGATAGTACGGTGGGTCTCTGTAATTAATGCTCCTACTTCACTTTTTGTGTCTTTTCTTCATCTAACGTTCAAAAAGTAAAAACAGAAAGAGACTAACACACCCTTTCTAATATATTTTAATTAATTAAATTTTATTCAAAAATATAAAAAATATATAATTTTATTATTAATCTAATAAATTTTATTTATTATTTTATAATTTTTAATATATTTTATTTAATGTTATTTGAAAATATACTAAAAAATTACTAAAAAGTGTATGATTAGTACTTCTCAATTTAAGAATATATTTTTTAATATACTTTTAATTATTAATTAAAAATTTATAAAAAAAATAAATTATGATTGAAAAAGAGTAACTAATAACTAAAAGTGTATTGCTTGTAATTTTTCTTTTAAAATTTTAACTTTAATCATAAAATATTTATTTTAATTTTAAAAATATTTTAATTTAATTATATTTATGTAATGTAAAAACAAAAATCACGTGTAAGCGTTTCTCATGTCAATACCTATTTTATTTTACTAACTATATTTTACTTTAGGTCCTATTAAACAAATTTAAAATAATAAATAAATAAAGCTTCATTTATTTAAAAAAGTATTTTTTTTGTTTATAATCTTTTGTTAGTATTTGCCTTTATATTTTTGTTCTTGATTTTCTTTTCAAATATCTAACTTATATGATGCTGTGATTGAAGTATATGGAAAAATAATCATCATCTTTTCGTTGTCTAAAAGAAAAAATAAATTATTATTACAGATCATTTCCAAATGTTTTAGGATTCCTACGGTTTTTAATCGAAAAGTTGTTGTCAATTTTATTTTATTTTTTACATTAGCCCAAATATCCATCAGAGGAGATGTCGTTGAGTAAATGTTTTAAATAGATTTGAATATGTTTTTAATGTACATAACTATTAACTATGACTAAACTTGATCATAATTTTAAAAAGCTATTTATTGTAATATTCATAATTTTAAATTTTTTTAACATGATCCCTGTTATTATTTTACGGTGAGATGACATGATGTGTTTAGATATCATTAATAATTAATTAGAAAATTTATTTTTAAAATTTATGAAAACTAAAACTAAAGTATCATATTCGTAGGAATTAAAAAGACATTTTGCTTTTATTATTGATGATATTATTATTTACGATACGCGTATGCCAGAAACTTTTTTCAATATAAAGATCACAACTTAGCACTCGAGCTTACTCATACGGATTAAACTACTCAACCAACTAGTTTTCAAAATGTTGCGATTAATCGAAGTTGCGACAGACAAATCAATTTTGTGTTTAGCTGCGGATGTTTGATCCATTTTGGCAGTTGTACTGAGATGATAAGAATTATAAATTAGTCTAAGAGAAAACATTCATTTATTAAATTGAAAGTAACATTTGATTATCGGTATGATATTCTTTATCCTACTATTTGTAGCATTCATAGTCTTGCTTGTGGGCATGGTTGTGAGGTTGTGAGACTTGAAAGGAAAGAATGTTATGGTCTGTGCTGTTACGGAATCTTATGGGTGTCGTGATGACCATTTTTTGTGTTTTTATTTGTAACAAATGATTGGTAAGTGTCATCATAAATGGCAACCACCATACATTGTTTCCATTTGATGTTCACATTGCTTTGCACACGATAGAAGCATTAACCATGGCACTCATTTTATACAACCTCCCACTGAAAGCTACGTTATTATTTTTCATGTGTATCATAATCAGGTAATAAGCAGTTCTCAAACACAAATAAGGCACATTTTATTGGTAGATACTGTTGTAAGAAACTCATCACAATCACCAGAGAGTTATAAGTTTTATTTTAACCAAAATCTTACCTAAAAATTCTCTACTCGGCTGTTTTTATTAGACTCGATTCTTCTTGCCACCAATTAGTAACACCAAATATACCAAATCCGCAAGTAATTAATGTAATTTAGGATTTCATAATATTAGTATTGTTCATTCTTCTCAATCTTGTCTTCGTTTGGTCTATTATGCTTCTATTGTTGTCGTTTTCTTTTTAGATTCATTTTCTTTATTGTGCTCCTTTTTCCTTAAGCTCTGTCATCTGAGTTCTCAAAGGCTATTTGTATTTGAGGTAATGAGGTTGGTACAACCTAATTTAGTGTCGTTTTCTAATAACAAACGGGTTCATAAAGAATCCCTCACACATTTATTGTGCAATGTAGTAAAATACATCATGACTCTTTGCGTTCTTGATCACTAAGCATGCGTCCAGCTTAATGCTTGTTAATTTATTGTTAGCTATACTGTATTTTCCAATTCTAATCTGAAGCTATTGTTGCATCAGAATAGTTCTTAAACATGTCTTATACCTTGTTGCAGGAAAATAAGCAGAAAATGAAAACAATGAACTAGCAAAAAAATTCAAACAAAAGTCAAATAATATGCTAGAACTAGGCTCCAAGTCAAGAACAGAAAACAGAGGTAAAAAACAACATAGTATATTTGTTATGACTCCCTTAACAGGACAATTGCAGTAGCACTACCATGTTACAGACATAATTTCCCATAAGCCACTAACATAGGGGGAATGATAACTTGGTTAGGTTTAATAATCAAATCTAACCATGTACGCCATTGAGTCCAAAACACTCATTTGACACTAATTTACAACTGAGAAGCAGGATCAAATCCTGTTGACATTCTCATCCCTGATTGGGCAATTGACAGTGGCTACTTCTCTTCAATACAATCATCTTCAATAAACCTCTTCCACAACCAATGCTGCTTCCACACTCGCTCTGTCATCTCTTCAATAGGGACATTCTTTGTCTCAGGGACCAGGAAAAGCACAAAGGTGGACATGATCAAGACGCATCCAGAGAATAACAAGAAGATGCCAAACTTACACAGGCACAGCATTGAGAGGAAGGCCTGAGCAATGACAAATGTGAAGAGCAAGTTGACACAAACAGTGACACTTTGCCCTGCTGAGCGAGTTTCCAATGGGAATATCTCACTGGGAATCAACCAACTAAGAGGCCCCCATGACCATGCAAATGCAGACACAAAAATGCACACCATCACAACCACTAGCACAGCAAAACCTTTTGAGAGGTCCTCAGAATGGTCCTTCACCTTCACTCCTATTACAATTGCAATCACAAATTGAGACAAGAACATTTGAACACCAGCTTCCAATAAGAGCACTCGACGCCCAACTTTGTCTGCTGAATAGATTGAGACAATAGTGGAGAGGACATTAACAGCACCAGTAATCACAGCAGAGTACAAGGAAGCATCATTCTTGAATCCCAATGTGTTGAACAGCACTGGAGCATAAAACATGATGGCATTGATTCCAGTGAATTGCTGAAAAATCTGTTCTTTTGTTGTTTTTTTTTTTTTTTTTACACCCAAATGCAATAAGAAGATCCATCAGCAAATTGCAATTGAGCATACTGAATCACCTAACAATAACATACTGTTTCATGCGTGTTAGAAAAAAGAGTAAATATACAATTTTGTTTCTGAAATTGACAACGTGTTATTTGGTCTAAAGTTTGTGCATATACAGTTTTGCTGGGAAAGTCAACTTTGTGATAGATTGAAGGAGTAAGTTGATAGAAAAGGACTAATTTATAATGAAGTTAACAGATTCATGTACTAAACTATATACTAACTTTTGGGAACAAATTTTTAACGAACTCCTAAGAAAGTGTTTGAAAACATAGCACTGACCTGGAGGGCAATGGAAATGACAAGTTGAGGTCGGTTCCTGCGCTTGAGGATATTCCTAAAAGGGTGTTTCACCTCTTTGGCCACACGACTTGCCTCAACAAGCTCCAAGAACTCAGGCTCAACGTTGTTAATGCCACGAATCTTTCTCAACACAGCTTTGCCTTCTTCCAAGTGACCACGCTCAATGAGACTGTTTGGGGTGTCCACCACCAAGAAAGCCCCCAAGGTTAGGAGCAATGCTGGTAATCCACCCAAACCCAGAGATAGCCTCCAACCCCACCCACCTTTGATTCTGTCGTTGCAGGGCAGAATCTCAACAATTCAGCATCAGCAACAATGAAGATTAGCCCAAGGTAAATCAACACAAAATAAATGGTAGATGATTTGGAATTCATTGTCCTAGACAAATTAGCATTGGTTTTGCATGAAAACCAAATACCTTGCATTTTGTATCACTGAATTCTAGATTACTAGATCTCCTTACATTTCATTGAGTCACGTAAAAATGTTTCATCTATATCTGTTGATAGGCATTGAATAACTGAAACCTTATTAAAATTTGTGAATGTTTAGGAAGAGGGATGGATGTTTATTTAAACCTTTGATTTGAACTAAAGTATCTCACAATCTTAACTAAGTTTAAAGAAGAGGGTGTAGTTCCTTTTTTTGTCTCTTGTTACACATTTACCCGGGTTAGAACTTAGAACAGTCAAATTCTTTTATTTTATTGGTAGTTGAAAAATTTCACATTAATCAACCATTATGCAAGTCAACATTTCTGGGCCTGAACCATAGGGGACTTCAGCAGGATGAATTGCCAAACCAAGACTCACGGCCTAAAAAATGTACCAAACAAAAAAAGCGTGGTTATTTCTTTGAGGAAGGCCTTTGTATCTTATGCTCAGTCTTGTTTGTTGCCGTTGAACCATTTACGGAAGCTCAAAACACTAAGGAGAGTAGTCAAGCATGTGTAAGACTTTTGGGTATGTGAGAGAAGTCACAGAAATGTTTATAATTGTGTTGGTTTTCCATGCAGCTGAATCTCTCTGGAGAACAATCCCAATCAGGCCATCAATTTTGAAAATTTGACCAGCACCACTCTCACCATACCCACTAATTCAAATTGCTAATTACGACTAGTGATGCTTTCACTTGGGCATGTGCAACACGGGAGAGAATAGGTAGCCTTCTTCTGGCTATGATTTATTTGTTCTATAGTACGTTTTAAGTTTTTAACACAACTCATTTGATTCGTTTCCATTTCGAAAGAACCAAATTCAAACAAAAGTATGAACGACGCAAGAACTTACTTGTTGGTTCCATAGTTGACAAGGTTGGCGAAGAGAATGCCGAGGGTGACATTCAGCTGGAACAGAATGTTCAATGCTCCACGTATTCTTGGAGGTGCGATCTCTGAAAGAAAAACTGGCACCGCCTGTCATTATCAAATTAAAGCGAAAAATGAGTGAGTTAAAAGGCAATTGTTATTACTATTTCGAATTATCGTCCCCACGACATTATAATATTTTAGTCAAATGTTGAATTTTTTTTTTTCCGTTGTAAATTGAATTTGATCAAAATCGGCTTAGCTTTATCGTTTATATTGTATACTCAAGGAATCTAAGTTAAGGTCCAAGTAAAGACTAAGAGATAAGATAGAGATAGCATTTGTAAACTGAAAAAAAACAAGTTGCACTAAATTAAGTTTTGGTTGCATTTTCAATGTCAAAAGGAGATTCGTTATATAATTAAATGAGAGAAAATAGGAAGTGATCTCCATCAGGGGTCACAAATGTCAAATAGCAAGAACAATTTAAAGCCGAAAAAGGTGGGTTGGAGTTGAATAAAGTAATGGGCGATTAGGACCTTGGGAGTGCATGCCAAGGAAGCTTTTGTAGAAGAATTTGAATTTTTGACGTTGTTATATAATGTGATACGATTAAAAAAGATTCATTATAATTAATTTTATAATCTATTAATAAAAATTATATATATTATGTTATTTAAGCCATTGTCTTGATATTATAGACTTGGCTTCCACGGAAGCATGGTAATTGATAGCATGGGTGTATAATATGTTTTTATATTGATCATTATTTTAATCGAATAGGTGGGTGTATAATTAAGACACAGTAGAGCAAGTAAAACTAGAAAACCTATTTTTGTCTTATAGGAAGGGACACTCGCATCTGACATCAGATTATTAAGTTTTGAGTTGATAGATCAAATTGCATTAGTATATGCTTTTAAACAAAAGCTTTATTCTGTTGAGGAAATTACCAAAGGAATTTGGTTTAACATATCCGAATAATCCCAAACGGGACGGGCGTGAGTCCATCTTGACCCCTCTTTTTCTTTTAAATGTTAAATATAAGCTTATTTTTTAAATTAAAATATATTATATCCATTTTTATTTATTATAAAATTTGTAACAACAAATTATAAATCTATTTTTCATATAAGTTATTATATTCATTGATTTGATTTAATGTATAATTTACTGGTTTGATCATTTGTTACTGTGATCATTCACTATTTTTTATTAGTTTTAATGAATTATTTATTTGATTCTTGTAAAAAAAAAATAAGAGAAAGTAATATTTTTCAAAAGGAAGGTAAAAATGAATTTATTTTCTTTTAATGATTAACGTTATTTCTCTTGTTAAAGGGTATATATTTTTTCTTAAATACTATTCTTTAATTTTAATTTACATCAATTTATCGTATTGTTAATACCAAAAATTTTATATATTAAAAAAGTTAAAGATTATAAATTTGAATTTTGATATAACATATGAAGTTAATAATTTATGCAATTTATTTGTATCATTCATTCTTATATTCAAAAGTATTTTTAAGATTTATTCTATATAATAATTTTAAATTTTTTATTTATTTAATTAATTTTTATATAATAAAAGTCCTGTTTCTTTATAATTAGCATACTTTTTATTATATTTTTTAAAACAAAAAAAATTATTATTATTTAATAATAGTAATATAATTTTTATTTTACTTAATTTTAAAAATGTATCCATGTAATGCATAAAAAATATTATATAATACAATAAAAGGGATTCACTTACTTCATAAGTGATTTTTTAAACTTGTTGTACTTAATAATATTTTTAAAAAAATACGATTTTAATAAATCTAAGCATTAAATTATATGATATTATTTTAGTGATCATGCATAAAAAATTTAAATAAACTAAATATTTATAAATGTATTATCTTCTTATAATCAGCATTTATTTATATTTTAAATCATAAATTGAAATAAAATAAAAAATAAGCTTTAATTAAGTATTGATTTGAAATCAATTATATTTATAAAAACACTTTATTTTCTTACTTTATACAATTTTTTTATACTTTAAAAGAGTTTAAAAGGTAAATTATACGTTAGAATCACATTATTTAATTAAATATCAAATAAATTTAATATTATATAAAATTTTCTAAATCTAGTTACTTTCGATATTTATATTATATATTATTTCCTCTATTAATTAAATCAAACCTAATATTAAAAATACAATAATAAACATTCCTAATATTTAATTTTAAAAAACAAGTATTATACCTTTCAATAATTTTTATTAATATGATGACATACGATTAATTATTTACGTTGTAAACATATTTCAAATAAATTTTAAAACAGTATAACTAAAATATAAATTTGAACATAGATTTGAATGATATTAAACAGACCTGATTAGCAAACCCAACTCCAGAACCAAGTAAGATCCGGCCAATGAAGAGCATGAGAAGGTTGTGAGCAGCAGCATTAAAAGCAACTCCACTCATGAAGATGAAGCCTGCTATCAACATGGTCACTCTTCTCCCCAGCTTCCGAGTCGTATACGACGCTAAGAACGTCGCCGTTAAACCAGCTATGTACAGAGACGACGTGAACAGCTGCAGCTTTTCGTTGTCGTATTTGCAGTAGTTGCTCTCCACTTCTTTCTCTTCCACTATCTTTCTGTACACCTCCGGAAAAAACTTCTTCAAGAATGCTGGCATCGATGTCACACCACCTGATTCAAGTTAATTATCCCACAATCCCATCCCCAAAAATATAATAAGTATTATTTTATTATCTTCAGCAAAAAAAAAAATCAAAAATTGTCAATAAAAGAAGATAATTAAACAAACAACAAAACAAATAAATAAATAAAACATTCAAAAGTTTCACGATGTCACTGTCAAGGGGAAGAGTTGTATTGTTTATATACATTTTTTATCATATGATTCTTCTTTATTATATTATTTATTTTATTACATTTTTTCCTTTATTTCTATCTTTTTCTACTTTTACATAAAATGTAATACAAAAATTTAAGTGCAGCGTAACATTTCTTGAAGGAGACACATAGGTGATTAAAGAAAAAAGAAAGGATTTTAAATATATTTAGACACCCTCATCGTACATTATCTCAACCAACCACATCAGTTTCATACAAAATTTACGAATCTCATTTTGTGAAAACTAACATTTGACTATGTATGAAGTAAACCAAAAGACAAAAAGAAACTAAGGTGAGAGAGATGGTGGCTAAGGCCAACTAGCTTATGAAAAAGAGTTCTTTTATTTATACAATTATTTTAAATAATATTTTTATAATGTTATTTTTTTATCTCATTGATCATTTTATTTCACAATATTCCCTCTTATTTATTGTATTATTTTTTGTGAAAAAAAACTGTGTACATGCAATTTCTCTGTGAAAAATGGGCCGGGCATGTATGTTGGGTTCGTGCTCCGGTCATACAGAGAGATATATGAAACCTAACTTTTCATGATCGTCATAAAAAGGTATATATAAACAAAAACAACGGAAGACTTTTGCATAGAAAATATGAATACGAAGATTTCATTATACACATACATCAAATACATACATATACATCAAATAGCACGAGAAAATAGTCCCATGAAAAGAGCCAAAAGTTTAAAAAAATGGTTCTAGCGAGATCATCCTCAAGCTCAAGAAAACATACAAAGGTAAATTACACGAACGGATGATTAAAATGAGAGGGGGAATTGAATGGGGGTGAAACCATCCATTACCAGAAACGCCAACGTCGTATCCAAACATAAGACCGCCGGTAGCAGCCATTATGCATGAAATGATGACGATTGGAGTTATCTTTGCCTCAAAACCATCGCCACCTCCGCTTGTGGTGAAGCCTCCGCCAGCCATAGTTTAGTAGATAAGGGAGCTTCACTTCAACGTTTATGTGATCCTCCCACACACGTACTAGAGTGAACAAAAATTTTTACTATCACTTGCCTTTCCGCTTCGATAATTTATAACCATTTGAAAGAGTTTCATTTTGCCCTTTCTTTCCCTAGAAAAGAAGAAAAGATATAAGATAAATATAAAAAGTAATGTATATTTATAAAAAGAAATAATTTTAATATACTATAACTATAAAATTATCTTTGAGCATCCCCCGAATGATGCACAAAAAATTACCTTATGGAAATGAGCTAGCTATAGTAAAGTGGGTGGAAGGAAGAGTGTTAAGTTGTCATCATTCCACAGATTCATGGTTCACAAGAAGAGAATCATGTTGATGATTGGCTGTCAGGTTTCTCACGTAACTTAGTTGATTCTTTTTCTTATTAGATGTGATCATCCACCCCTTTTATAAGATTTTAGTTTCTTTCTTTCGTAAAATGTTAGTATAGTTGTAGATTTGTTGTCTCCCTTTAAAATAAATATAAACAACTAAAAAAAAACAGAATCTCTTTAGAAAAATATAGCACAAAGTTTTGTTTGTCAAATCAAACAAAATTTTGTTTTGGATTGAAACTCTCAATTTACATTTTTTTTCCTTCTTAATCATAGATATTTTTTTATAAAAAAAAATCATATTCGAATAAGTTGAAATGTTATGGGTCATAAACTTTTTCTTGTCACTATTTGTTATTCTTTTCCATACTTTTACCTTTTATTTTAAAAACTTGTGTAAAAATTTAAAAAATAATGCTCTTATATTTATTTAAATTAACATTAAAATATTCTATTATATTAATTTATTTATCTCTCTTATTAATTAATTATTCTTATTTTAAGTTAAAGATGTAATTGAAAAAACTAATTAATATTCTTATAATTTTTTTAAAGTGACAGATAAATAAAAATAAAACATTTCTTAAAGAGTGACAGATAAAAACAATGCAGTTTTTTTTTTTGAACAATTAATCAATTTATGATACAATGTTTCAAAAAGCTGAGTTATATTAAATTATGTAAAAATAAATTATATTATATTTTGTTTTATTGACAATTCCTAGCTAGTATCTATTAACTAAATATTTTTCTTGTGTAATATTGTATGTACGTATTGGATAACGAAATTAAAATGATATTTTCATGTTTCTAATAGGATGTATTTATTCTCAAGAAGGAAAAACATTATGAGGAGAATAGAAAATATAATAAATATAGTTAATACAATTAAAAATAAAACTATAAATTAGGTTTTTTTTTTTTAAATATTATATGTAGCAAATGTAATCTGGGCTTTTGCTGGGAAGATTTTTCAGTGGCAAAATCCTATCATCAAACAGGGTCTGCCACACATTTGGGAGACAAAAGACTATAGGCAATAATTTATATGCGAATCTAATAAGTGTTATTTGTGGATATGAACATGAAAAATGAAGTTATATACAGTCATTAGACCCTCTAACATAATTAGAACTTTTCTAATGTAAATCAAGGATATGTTTTAGTTGAACTACCGATTTGTTAAAAATGTAGAAAATACTAATATGAAAACACTTGTTATGTTATAAGGGGAATAAAGCTTGAAAAAAAGGGTCCAAAATCTCATTTCAAGATAATGAATAGGGTGTATAATCAATATATGCCGCAGATTATCACATGACAGTGACGAATTCTTATTGCAATCACATGTGGGAATCAATCAATGTCACTTAAAACGTGTGATGATGTTTTGCCATCAACAAAATAAAGATTATTTTATTTTAGTTTTGTTAATCTTATTTTTTAAAAATTAAATTTAATAGATCAATGATGATAAAAGTTTTTTATCATCAACAAAATAAAGATTATTTTTAATATGATAAATGTTTTTTTAATAAAGTTTTGTTATAATTTTATTTATATTTTTATATTTTATAAAAAGTATGTAGTAAATAAAAAGTGTATATATTTATCATTTTAAATATATAATATATTTAATAATAAGGAAAATGTATAAAATAAAAAATATTTTTAAAATATTAGAAGTTGATCCATGAAATTGAGATAAACAGAATCATATTCTAGTTTTATTGTGACATTCATTTTATGAATATGCATTTTATTCCAATTATTCCCTTATGTTGGCTTGGCTAGGAATCTATGACCACTAATACCAAGAAAGGACACAAGGCAACTTGAGTTGTTTAAACCAAAGACAGAAAATGGATAAACTTTCTCCAAATACACTAATTAAAGATGATACGTTTTGAGCCAAAACCCCAAAGCTATTAATTTCATTTTCGCTAACAACGCTGAACTCCAATTCTTGTTACTCCGTTGAAGATTCGTTCTACTACACGGCAAATGACTCTTGTTCTCATGGGTTTTTACATTAATAAAATAAAATATTACATGTATACACCAAATTAAAAATTGATTAAAATCAACTTAAGTTATATAAAGAAGATAATTGACTTTAGTTTAAAAAAGTATATAATATTGACAAACAATAACATGCAACACTTCATCCATCTATGGTAAAGTAATAAAGGATCCATTAACTCGACCATGGTTTGGAATGCCTTCAAGCTTCTCTTTCCGTTTGTCCTAATTAGCTTCTTCCTTATTCTGCTACCACAGAAGCATAGACCCCAACCTTTCTAGACTAGAGTTGTTCAAGCAACAGAACTACAGCTAACAGCGCCTTTCAATTGAACCTCAGGACCCTTTTCTCTTCATTATCTTCCAAAGCCACCGCCAATAATAAATTCGACAATACCATAGTCGTAAGAACCAACTCCTCAGACAGTCTACAGCCTATTCATGTAAAATTTTTTGTGAATATTACGTATCGTTGTTTGTCAATGTTTTTGTTAAACAAAAGTGGATTATAATCGATTTTTTTTTTTACATATATTATTAAAATTAATTGAAATCAACTTATATAATACATTTAATTATAATAACAATAAAATTTGTTTTAATTGACTTCTGTATAATTTAAACTAACATATTTTTATAAAACTTTTTAATTTGATATATATATATATATGTAATATTTGATTTTTTATTTTGTTAATTTAAAAAAATCTTTTTTCATGCATCTCGTTAAATGTTGTCCGCGTTAATCAATTATTAAGATTAGTTTTTGCTTAATATAATAAGGTTATACCCATTCTTACAAGTGTTGTTTTGAAGGTTCAAATTCCTTAGGCTGGTTAAATAATTTTAAATGTATCACTTAGAGATATATTTTTCTTAAGTACTCTCTGTGCACAAAATGTTACCGATGGTACGTACGTACTTGTGCCTTAAAAGTGTTAATAAAATTTATGATTATTATTAACATTAAAAATAAATTTTCAATAATTTATTTATTAATTAAGTAGTACTCTTAACATTTTTCTATATAAAAAAATGTTTTTGAGTATGCAAATATTTTGCCCAAAATATTATGTTAGTGGTAATGACTATATGATTGGTTATTTAAAATTTATGTTCAATTTACTCGTTTAAAATAACAATGTTCATAAAATATTATTTATATTAATATCAAGATCATTCAGAGTTTAAATTTATCTTATTTAAATAATTAAAATATGTTTAATTTTAAACTAACATTAGTTTATAATTAAACAAATGAATTTATCAAATATTTAATCAACAATTAAAATTATAAATTTAATTTAAATACAAATTAAGTATAATTTTTTTATAATGTTAATTATAATTTATCATATCAATAAAAATTATTAATTTTATATTAAATAATATAAAAATTATATGTATACTATATTTTAATTAATTAATAATGTAAAATTATTTGCCACAAAAATTTGTCAAAATTAAATTACTAAAACTATAATAATTTACAAATATTTTAACTTATTTACTATCATATGTGCACAACTATTTAAACCATTTGTTTGCTACTTTAATCTGACGTAATCCGTTTTCATTGGTTGGTCTCTTTCTAACTAACTTCTTAATATGAACATTTTTAATATCTTAATGATCAATATATATATATAGAGAGAGAGAGAGAGAGAGAGTTAGAAAGATAAAGAGAGAGAAGTATAATATAAAGATGTAAGGAATTATACAAATATGTAAAATTAATATAGCTCAAAGAGGAGGCAACAATTTATTGTCCTCCATTTTTTTTCTATGTTCCCGCAACATTTCCAAGAAAAAAAAAGTGGAAATATGGATGGTTTAACGATGGAGTAGATGACATTTTTTAGGTAAACCAACTTATTGAAGGCTCCCTGCACCCTGTGGTTGTGGATACAAGTGGCAGCAATATGATTATACCGAAAAGAATGGCTGTGGAGGAACTCAATCATCCATATATTTCTTCCAAAACCAGTGTTCTCTCCATACTTTCTCAGTCATCTCTTCAATGGGTACACTCTTTGTCTCTGGAATTAGGAACACTGTGAATACGGTCATGATAATCACCCAGGCCGAGAAAAAGAGGAAGATGCCGTACTTGAGGGTGCACATCATGGACAAGCATGCCTGTGCAATAATGAAGGTGAAGAGCATGTTGACGAACACCGTCACACTCTGCCCAGCCGACCTAGTCTCTAATGGGAATATCTCACTGGGAATTAGCCACCCAAGTGGGCCCCATGACCATGCAAAAGATGACACGAATGTGCAAACCAACACCACCACCAATATGGCAAATCCTTTGCTCAAGTTACTTGAGTGGTCTTGTACCTTCAGCCCCAAAATTACTGCAATCAGCACCTGAGACACAAGCATTTGCGCACAAGCTTCCAACAGCAGCACCTTCCGACCAGCTTTGTCCACGAAGTAAATAGACACCAAGGTGGACAGCACATTCACTGCTCCTGTTATCACAGCAGAGTACAAGGAAGCGTCATTGTGAAATCCCAACGTGTTGAACAGCACCGGAGCGTAGAACATGATCGCGTTGATTCCAGTGAATTGTTGGAAAACCTATACCGAAATGCTAA